TTCAACTGATTTTTACGAAACTGATAAAACGACGTCGTAGCAAAAAAAAACGAACAACGAACTAAACCTAAATAAGCAATCGAAAATTCCCTCTCGGCGTCTTCTAATCTCAGCCTCTTCTCGTTTCTCTCCGGCGTCGTGAACCCACTCTGTCTCTGTTCTTCTATTCCGTTCCTGCTAGAGGTACAAAGCTCTCGCTGTTCGGTTTCTCTCTCTCTCCTTCTGTCTCGAGACTCTCTTATCTTATCTCCTCTGCTTCGTATTCTATGATTTAGTCTTTTTATATATCTGTGGAACCTTTCCAATAGCAAATTGGTGTTTAGGTGAGGAACCAACTTCTCTTAGGAAAAAGACTGTAACTTTTATACAATCTATATGCTTTTCCAGGAAAATTGCAAAAAAAAAAAATCATCAACGAAACCTCAATTTCAAATACGAATTCAGCAGAGACCCTTATAGTTTCTTAGCTTAGGATTTGGTTTTGGAACCTTATGATAATCATATTACCTTGACAGAAAAAAAAGTTGCTGTTGATAGGCACAAAGTTTCATGCTTTTAGCTTTTTTTTTTTTTCTTAATTGTCGTTGTCTTCTCGGAATCGCTTACTTCAGGGCTAATCATATCTCTTGATAGTTGTTTGGAGAAACTTGGGGGATGATGGACAACGGAAATGATCAAGACATCGATGTTGGATCGGTTGCTGAAGCTGTTTCTGCAGATCTCTCCTTTGGCGTTCCCCTCTACGTGGTTGAGAGCATGTGCATGAACTGCAATGAAAATGTATCTCTCCCTCTCTCACACACTTAGTTTCCTGATATTGGTTATGTTGAAAACTTTGTTAACTATTATTGGTTTAGGAAACAAGGCTAGTTTCTCTTTAGGCTTGTTTCCAATAGTGTACAACTTTATATGTGTATACCTCAGCAATATCATTAGTTCTTTCTGCAACTCAAATTGGATTCTTGAGATTGTTATGAACTGTAGCTGAGATGAACACAACTTATTGGCTACATTTTGGTGATGTACTGAGAAATTTTGAGGCTAAGTATATTCATATTTGTGGTTAAGTGGCAATCAATTGAATATGGTGAAATTTCAGCTGCCAGTGTATTTTTGTTTTTATCGAATTCCTTACTTTAGTTGTAATGAAATTTTCTTGGTCTTTCTCCTGATTACTCTTCTTTTGCAGGGAACAACTAGATTTCTATTGACCTTAATTCCTCACTTCAGAAAGGTATGTCCTACTCTGTTTTCCATGGGAACAATTTTGTTCATTTACAGTGTGTTATTATTTGGTTTTAAAGACAATATTTGAATTCTGAAAAGCTTACTGCTAAACCACTTCTGGTTACAGGTCTTAATATCTGCGTTTGAATGTCCGCATTGCGGAGAAAGGTACAACTTTTAACGACTTTGTCTACCTATTCGATATGAGCAAGTTTTTTTTTTTATAGAAAAGCACCAAGCATTTTCTGTTTTTTATTTTCCCCTCCGTTGATTCTATCTCCTATCTATTTGATAGGAATAATGAAGTTCAATTTGCGGGTGAGATTCAACCCCGAGGGTGCAGTTACCATCTAGAGGTTCTAGCTGGCGATGTGAAGGTTGGTACATCTAAATTTCTATTCCTTTTTCGTTTTTTTTTCTTCATTAAAAGTTGCACTTTACCTGTGGTAGAAGAATGTAGCAATCCATGCTTATTATAAGAAACGTGAATATCTGGTTTTAGTTGTCTCTCACTCCTTGTTTCTGTCTGAATGCAGATATTTGACCGACAAGTTGTGAAATCTGAATCAGCCACTATTAAGGTGAGTCCTCTTGCAAAATATATGCAAATCTGAACATGATTCCTTATTTGGAATCAAAATATATGCAAATCCAGTTGCTTCATACATTTATATGAAATTGTTTCTCATAAATCTTCCTGAAAACTGTGAATTAGTTTGCCTTCCTTATATTATGAAAATTAGACTGACAGTACTTTGTGAATATATGCATTCAGATTCCTGAACTGGAGTTTGAGATTCCACCAGAGGCACAACGTGGAAGTTTGTCTACTGTAAGTCCTTAATATCTTAACCATCTTGTTATGAACAATTCATTTTGGAGTAATTATTCCCTATCACAACCTAAAACTCATCTGGTCTACTCACGAAAAACAAATCGGTGGTCCGCTTCATGACGATTTAACCATCAGAGTCTAATAGAGCTATGCAATTTTATTTATAGGTGGAAGGGATATTAGCAAGGGCTGCCGATGGACTGAGTGCCCTTCAAGAAGAACGCAAGGTAAATTCTGACTCGGAGCTGGACATTCATGTTTAATTGTTTTACTGTCAGGAATCTTAAACAATATATATTTTGCTGGACACAGAAAGTTGATCCTAAAACTGCTGAAGCAATAGACCAGTTCTTGTCAAAACTGAGAGCTTGTGCTAAAGCAGAGACACCATTCACCTTCATTTTGGATGATCCTGCTGGAAACAGTTTCATTGAGAACCCGTAAGATAATTCAATCTGGAAAATACCCAAAAATAGGAGAATTTATGTTTCTTTTATTTGCTTATTGACAATTTTTACAACATGACAGACATGCTCCATCACCAGATCCTTCTTTAACCATCAAATTCTATGAGCGAACACCAGAGCAACAAGCAACACTTGGATACACTGCTGACCCGTCGCGGGCTGGACAACCTGAAGGAAGCCTTGGTGCACCTTCTGCTGCAACAAAACATATACCTCATGGAACAATTGGAGCAACAGCTGGTCATCGGGCGATTGCTCAGAGTAATAGCACCGATATTTCTGATAACTTGTTCAGATACTCTGCGCCTGAAGAGGTAACTTTTGCCTCTGTAACTATCTATGAGATAAAAACTTAGCTTGTGATAAAATATTTATTCATATCACGTTACAATTGTTGTAACAGGTGATGGTGTTCCCTTCTACTTGCGGAGCATGTACGAAACAGTGTGAGACAAGGATGTTCGTGACTAGTATCCTTTCAAAGTATGGATCCGTCCATTCATTTGTTTTCTGCAACAGGATTTTTTTGCTTATTTGTGTTTGTTGGTGAAGTCCTGGAAGTTGTTTACCACTTGACTAGAAAATAGAAATCCCTTACTTTCAAGAGGTTATTGTCATGGCGTCTACATGTGACGATTGTGGCTTTCGCAATTCTGAGGTTGGTTTTTTTATCTGTTTGATCATTAGAGATTTTTGCAGACATATGCATGGTAAAGGTTATTAACTTCTTTTTTGGGTAATCGTGAGCAGTTGAAGCCTGGTGGTGCAATTCCTGTCAAAGGAAAGAAAATTACCCTCTCTGTGAAGAACATTGCTGATCTTAGCAGAGACGTTATCAAGGTTAGTTTCGCTTCACGTTCTTTGTATACTTAGTAGACGGCAGATCATGAGAGATTTCACCATATGCTTCTGTATCTTAAAGTTGTATCTCATGAGTAATGAGTTTTTAAATTATCCCGTGTATTAGTCGGACACTGCAGGAGTGATGATCCCAGAACTTGATCTGGAGCTTGCTGGTGGTACACTTGGTGGAATGGTGACAACAGTAGAAGGGTTGGTCACACAAATCAGAGAAAGTAAGTATGAGTCTGACCTTTCAACATCTCAACACTAGTACTTCAGAACAGATAAATTGAACCAAGGCATAAGTCAGTATGTCAAATAGAAGTAGCTGATCCATGTATCCTATATTCTGCCTTGCAAAGCTTTCCTTGCTTTGAGTGTTCGAAGCGTTTCAAGATTTGTTATAGATCTTAGCTACTGACACAAGTGTGGTATGACTTTCTAACAGGTCTAGCGAGAGTTCATGGGTTCACTTTGGGTGACAGTTTAAGTGAGGATAAGAAGAACAAGTGGAGGGAATTTGGAGCCAGGCTAACTAAGGTAGCATCTTAATACCCTTGTCGTGATCTTGATGTGCAAGAGAAAGTAAAGCAAGAAGAGGTTTTGTTAATGAAGATGTTTTTTCTCTTTTCTTGCAGCTCCTAAGCTTAGAACAGCCATGGACTTTGATTCTTGATGATGAATTAGCAAATTCCTTCATTTCTCCAGTAACAGATGATATGAAAGATGATCATCAGCTCAAACGTAAGTTCCTTGTTTTCCCTGACTACAGCCTTATGTTTGGATTCGAACAAGATCGAAACATATGTTCATACGTTGATTCTTCGTATCCATTGTTATCTTGCTTTTCTCACGGATATGTTTGACTTTACAGATGAAGAGTACGAGAGATCATGGGAGCAAAACGAGGAGTTAGGTCTCAACGACATGGATACTTCTTCAGCCGATGCGGCTTACGACTCCACAGAGACGACTAAATTATCTTAGACCAGAAAAGCTTTCTGGATAACTAAATTTTGGGACAACGAGAATTACATTTATGTTGTATGGTAATAGTCACAGAATCAAAGAGTCAAACTGCTCATGTTTTTAAAAGTTATTGAGATATTTTGGAAACTAATACTCTCATCGCACTCCAGACAGAAATATCCAGTAGCGATGGTGAACATTTGCTTTATCTGGCAAGATCGCTTGCAATAAGCTGCTTGATGGTGAACATTTGCGATCTGCTTTATCTTGCAATAACCTGCTTGATCCACTAAACCGGCAAAAACTGGACACCAAATTCAAATGAAGACCAGAGCTACAAATCCAATCTGGCAAGCCTAATATAACAATGCTACAAGACGCAGAAGGAATAAGGCAGAAACACACACAGTTCGGACCGTTTTTAACACTAGAAGATAGTCGTTTACTGTGTAAATCTATTTACATGCCAAAAAGCTTTACACAGCAGAGCAGATACATATGTAGTTAAAAGTTTCCTTACAACTTAAAGACGAGAAGCCAACTTCTACATTAACCGTTGCATACATAATAAAGAAAACTATGAAACACCAAAAAAACTCCTTCCATGGCTTCTCCCCGCCGAAACCCAAAAAAATTCGAACCACCATCTTTATATTAATCTACTCTGGTTCGACATCGACGACCTCAGTTCCCTTCTCCTCATACTTCACTTCCACCAAGAACCTTATACTCGTCTGCCAAGCAAAGCAAAACCAAAAGCAAGAACTCTGAAGTCTTTTCGAACAAGCAAAGTAAGGCAGAAACAGTTTCAGTTTTTAGACATTTTATACCTGTTTGGGATCATACACAGCGTACTCGTTGTACTCAAGAGGACTGTCCTTATGCTCTGATGGAACCAATCGTCCACAAGGAACCTTGATGTCATCTCTCCACATGAAATGCTCTGATTCATCAGTCTTCTTCCTTCCTAACCCTTTCACTCCAATCTTCTTATCTTCCAGTGTCTTCGTGTCCTCTGGTGGACTTGTGAACTCTGTAACTTCCTCACCAAGTGATGCCACGGCTAATACAAGAAAACCTTCCGGTCTATCTACAGCAGTGAAACCGTACCTTGCCGCTTCTGCTGCTGCATCTGAACACACAATCGCTCTCCCAAACTGTAAAGTGGAAACCACCACAGAAGTGTTATGATCTATAGATTCAAAAGACAAAATGAAAAGCATTTTTTATTACCATATAACCAGGGACCGGAAGAGAGCAGACGGCAGGTAAGAACCCTTTGTAGATGTGTCTCAACAGATTTGAGCTCCGAGACCCTATGAGAAAAAAAACATTAAGACAAAATTCGAAAATGGAAAGAAGAGTAACCCTGTATTTTGCTTTCTTACCACACCATAACAGGACATTGTTTGGTAACTTCTTGATATCGTCTAGTGAAGGAATCGCCTCTGATTCAACCGCAAAAACATTCTCCACAGAGACACCATACTCCTGAAACAGCCATATCAAAAAAAATTATAATCAATTCATCATAAACATTTTGTGAGGTCCATAGTCCATGCCAGGAGACAGAGCCTTACAACGTCAGAGACTTTCACGGGCTCATAAGTAGTCTCGAGGTATTTCACAACCATCTTGTAATCTTCGGACTCTTTGTCCACCACAGAAATCTTGCATCCAAGTTTCTTGTACCGATCAGACAAAGGGTCATCAAGTGTGTCTCCTCGCATGTCTCCTATCAAACGAGAGGCTGTGTTTATATCCCTCACGGTCTCAAAAGCAGACGCCGCCTGCCACATGGATCCAGTGCAATTAGAACTTCATTGCAATGAAGTGAACACACAATAGCAAAGAGATAATCTTAGTTTACTTACATGGTCTGCGAGTTCATGGACGTCATGCAATCTCATAGGCCTTGTCGTGTGCATCAAAGAGAACCACCGTGAGCTGAAGTCTGCCCACATTGCTTCAGCTTTCTGACCCGTCTCCTTCGTTGTCTTGAGCTTCTCAACAAACTCCAGAAGTGCCTCCTCGCCTGAGGAGAGAAACGCCACAAACTCACAAGTCAAAATCATAATAGCAACAACTAAAACCTGAAGATTTTTGGTCCACCGAGCCTTACATCGTTTCAAGTGGATATCAGTTAGCATTCCCACAGGCAGATCAGGCGGATCCAAACCAAGCTCCATCAACGCATATCTACAAGAAAACAGAGCCAAGATCATCAGAAGTTTCACAAAGAGGATGGATCTTAATATGAGAAATGTGCCTAGAACATTACTTGTAGATCTCTTGACCACACAGAACTTTAACAAAGTTTGCAACAAAGGAATCAAGCTTGCAATGAGCAGCAGCAACGCCGAGCTGCCTTAGACCAAGCGCCCCACTTCTCACTTCGATTCCATCATCCTGCACAACAGAACATCAAAATTCTCAACAATCACCCAAAACACCAAGCAACAAATTAGGAGACTTGAAACGCAAGGTACAACAGTTATACCATATCAACTGGGAAGAACTTGCGAGGCTTTTTCTGAATCTTCTTCTCACGTTCCCATGGCTCGAACTCATTCCCTGTTATCTCCTCAAAGAGCCTCTCAAACTCTTTTATGGCTTCTCCTTCGTCCTCCCATTCCTCTTGCCTCTCTTCAGCATTAGGGTCATCACCAACTTTTCCTCTCTTGAAGTACATATTCAGGTTACTATCGGGTACTGTGATTAACTGCATAATACAATACCTGCAACAACAAAAAGACCAGCAGATCAAAAACCCTTCAAGCCTAATTAGGTACAGAAATCCTAAGAGGGTTTGTTGGGATCATACTCGTTACGCCCTTTTCCTAAATCACATATCGAAAAGGCACAGTTATACAAAAGCCCATCTTTCTCCAGAATCTTTCCTCCTCTCTCCTCAAGCTTTGTGTCCTTGTAGACTCCTCTTTTCCCATACATTTTGAGCTGAAAGTTACATACACAAATCCAGTTTTCTTCGAACTCATCCCACTCGAACTTAGCATTTACCTAAATGGTTAAAATCTATACCTCAGCAGACAAGGACTCAATTGCCTCCTCGCTTGGATCCTGCTTCTCCCATGGGATTCCTTTCCCTTCCACTGAAAGATCAGTGACCACATCATAAGCTTCGAGTGGCTGAGCTTCTTGCTTCTCCACGCTGTCCATCAACCATGCTTCGCTTACAACTGGTAGACCTTGCTCCCTTGAGACACAAGGAACAAAACCAGCGTTAAGGGTTTGCGAAACGGAAACAAACACATTATATTACAAAACCTTCAAAACCCTCACATTGCTTCCACCAGTTTCGAAGAACCACCTCGTTCTCTTTCAGCTGGTGAAACCACCAAACACGTTACACCTCGAACTGTATTGGAGACTTTCCCACCATATCTCTCTATCTTTTTCTTCCAATATTGCTACACAACAACAGAGACATGCAGGAAAACAACTCTTTAAGTGTGTAAAGCAAAAGACACACAATAAAGATCCCAGCAAAGTCAGGCTACGTTACATGTGTTCTTGTGAGACGTCCCATGAGAGAGATCATCATTCCCGTGAAGGGTTTGTCAGAGGTCAACTCTCTTTTAGGTCGACTTTTTGGGTCCTGGTGTTTCTTGATCAACTACACACCAAGACAACAAATATGAGAACAACTAAATATCTCTGAAAACAGAGTTTTGATTTACTGGATACTACAGTTTGGGAACGTACATCAGATATAGCAGAGTTCATAACAGAGTCTGGAAGTTTGATTGGCTCCTCTGTTCTAGGGGGATTTTTCGTGCTATACACGCAACTGCACCACTCACTAATCTCACCTCCACATATGAATCTCTTCTCACTGTCGCAGATCAAATTTCCTCCTCCACATAAAGGACATTTAGCTAACGCCCCATAGAACAGTAAATCTTGGCTTCTCAAGGAAAAAAAATTAACTTCAATATATGAAAATCTTTACAAATTAAGTAGTAGTTTTCAGACATTAATCTATGAGACTGACCATTGAGCTAGCAAAGCCTCTTCCGGAGCAGAAGTTTCTTGACCGTTCGCTTCAAGAACTTCTTTGATCTGATCGATGGACAGATTTTCCTCAACCGCTTTGCAAAACTCGTTATACTCTGACGCAACATCTCCAGCACCGTTATCGTTCTCCGGCTTCGCCTTTTTGTGAGACTGCTCAGATTCTGGAAGCTTCCCTTCTGCTTTGTGCTTCCGCAAATTTCCCCTCTGAAAGAAAATTAATGTGAGGGAAATTAAGTAGAATTAAAACACATTTAACACAAATTAAAAAAATAATCAGTTGAGTAGAAATTACCTTCTGTTCGTCCCCTGACGTGTGAGCGTGAGATCTCGTCTCGTGCACCTTCATCGAGCAAAAAAGTCTTTTAACGTTCTGTTTTCAAAGACAACAAAAGAACAGAAGACTATAAGTTCTGTTTCTGAGTGTGTTGAGAGTTCGGAGGTTTTGTTTCCAGATATGCACAAAGGTAATATAGAAAAGACGACGAGAGGTCCTCTCTGTTAACGGTGCAATGAGAATGCTGCTCTGTCTTCTCCGAGGACAAACAAGTGTTCGACGAGCATGTAGGGACTAGCCACGTGTCCAAATGGGTCTCTTCTGTGGACAGGTGGTTTTGATCTCTAGTTATTTCTTTGTTTTTATCTCTTGTAAATCTCTGCATGTTGACGTTTTCGATCTTTTTGTATGTAATACCGTGTCACTGTTTCTATGGCGATTCGTTTGTTCTTGAAATTAAGCATTATCTTCTGTTGCAGTGTTGTTCACTTCGGTTAATTCGGTTTTGATTCAATTTGGTTTTGGTTTCTTCCAAGTTCCAAATACTTTGAACCGGTTCTAATTTCCGATAAATCTAAAATTAACCGTGCCGGTAATTAACTTGAAACCAAACCAATGAATCTTTTTTTAAATAAGAAATTACTTTTCTGATTTTCTCCAAATGGTTAGTAATCTTTCTTATATACGCAACCTTTCTACAAATGGTTAGTTTACCACGGAATTCAATTTTCCTTGTGATCACTTAATCGTCCATGTGCAAACCTTCTCCTACTTTTGAATTGCAAACCAAGAACTTCATGTAAGACTTGTGAGAAAGAAAACTTTATTTCCATAAATAAAATAAAACTTTATTTCCTCTGGTTACAACTTACAACCTTTTTTCTTTTGGCTAGTAGATCAAAAACTTAGAAATGCCAATGTATTATGTAGTGAAAGGCATACGACCTCTGGTTACAACTTACAACAGCTAAACAATTCTTTTAACTAGAGCTTTAATATAAAAATAATCAAAAACACAGAAAAAGAAAGAAGAAAGTAATAGCAAAATAGAAAAAGTAAGAAGATGGACACAGAATTAAAACACATCTGCAAGTAGAAAAAATTTCCATATGTAAAAAAAGATGAAAATGTTCATATACACACGCAACACACACTTTCGTAATAATTTTGTAACTTTTTTATTGGTTTCAAATTTCAGTTTTTCATCTTATTTTTTCTTGATATATTTATTAAGATATGAGATTCATTCTTGTAACCAAAAAAAAAAAAAAAAAAAGAGATTCATTCTGTTAAAAGAATATTTTTTCAAATAATAAAATTTGTAGCTGGAAACGCTTAATATTTGACATGCCTTGCTGTTAAAAACTGTTAGTTTTCTTTTTAGAGCTATTTGGTTCTCACTCATCTGTTTTTTTATATAAAAAATGTTTACATGTGTTCATCTGATTAATTTTTTATATATATCAGGATTCTATGAGTTACAATACTGCTATGTGTCAAGTTTAATAACTACCATTCAATTATGTATACTATTTCATGAGAACCAACAAAAGATGGGATATGAAAGTTAATAACTAAAAAGAGAATGGAATTATAAGACAGCAATTGTCTCTATGCATGTCAACGTCACAATAATGCGTGCTACTACCTTCTCCTACTGTCTGCTGCGTCAACAAGTGGTTTCCAGTCTGACGCTGATTGTGTCTGTTTTCAACTTTTCGTTCTCTCCCTCTATCTCTATTTTTGCTCTCTCCGTGCTAAACACATAATTTCACAAAAATTAGAGAGAAACTCTGTAAATATTCTCAAATATGGATTTTCTATTATAAAAAGAGACCAATCGTTTCACCTACAAGGCTAAAAGCATCACTCCCATTTTATATCCTATTCACCTTTCTTTAGGTCCCCTCACTAATCTCTCTTCCTCGTAACCAAACATTTATTTTATGTTCACTAATCTTAATTTTATTCAAGTTAGAATTCCATAGATTAATTCAAGATCTTTAAACTCATATCTCCTCTGTTTCAGGTCTAAATAACAATAATGATGCTTCCGGTGTTCGTTGCGATCCTCGTCTGCCTAGGCTACATTTACCGATCATTTAAGCCTCCACCACCACGAATCTGCGGCGTTCCTAATGGTCCTCCGGTTACTTCTCCGAGAATCAAACTCAGTGATGGGAGACATCTTGCTTATAGAGAATCAGGCGTTGATAGAGCCAATGCTAACTATAAAATCATCGTTGTTCATGGCTTTAACAGTTCCAAAGATATGGAATTTCCCGTTTCTAAGGTACACTCGGATTTTTCACTGAACTCTGCTCTGCTCTCTTATCGATTCCTTTCACACATGTCCCACAAGCCATACTTTTAACCCAAAAGAACATATATATATATATATATATATGTCCCTTTTCACCACTTTAGAACTCTATAATTTATTAGCATTTAGGTTTGCCTTCACATGTCATGATATGATATGATGTTTTTTGTTTGGTTTTATGATATGATGTTCTTTTAAGAAAAATCAATTTGTCATTTTTAATAAAATGAAAATCCGTTTTGTAAGGTAAAACTTATTTGCTTTTTAAGCTCTACAGTCTAGACAAATAATTTGTAAAAACACTTGATTTTTTTTTCTTCTTTTAGGTTACTTTACAAAAATAAAAGTATTTCACATGTAAACGCAAACGCAAATTAGGAAAAACTTCTCCAGTTGTCTGTATTCTACAAAAATGTTTTGTGAGAAACTTGGATGTGACATCTTTCCAAATTTTTACATGTAGACATAGACGCAAAATCTGACGGTTGTAAAAGTTGCAACTTTACTTGTAATGTAATGAACAGTTGTTTGGCTTTTTTTCTTTGTTTGCAGGATCTTATTGAGGACCTTGGGATATATTTCCTGTCTTTCGATAGAGCTGGATATGGAGAAAGTGATCCACACCCATCACGCACAGTTAAGAGCGAGGCATACGACATTCAAGAACTCGCGGATAAACTCAAGATCGGACCAAAATTCTTCGTTCTCGGGGTATCACTCGGTGGTTACTCGATTTACAGCTGCCTCAAATACATTCCACACAGGTAAAATAGATTTTTACACATTATATTCTCATGTTTGAATATCTTCAATTTTCCGTACAAAAAAAGAAAATAATATCTTAAATTTTAAATTCCTTTTTGGGTTTCATAGACTAGCTGGAGCAGTCTTAGTGGTTCCATTTGTGAGCTATTGGTGGACTAGAGTGCCTCGCAACATATTGAACAAAGCGTTGGAACTAATGCCAAAAAATGACCAATGGACGTTTAAAGTGGCTCATTATGCTCCGTGGCTGTTGTATTGGTGGTTGACTCAAAAACTCTTTACGTCTTCGAGTATGATATCTCGGACCAGTGCATTATCCAGCGACAGAGACTTGGCCATCCAAAAGAAGAGGTCGGAGCATCCAAGACCTGGCATGGTAAATAGCTAAAACCTTTTTTGGATATTGTATGACAATGAAACTTGGGTGTGTGGTTAAATATATATTTTAAATACGTGCATGGGTTAAAAAGTAAATTTGGAAAATGTTCATGAGTCGAATTAAAACACATGAAAACGTTCTTGGAGTTTTAACTTCTCGACCATGTATTTTTTATTTTAGGAAAAAGTTCGGCAACAAGGAGACCACGAATGTCTTCACCGGGACATGATAGCTGGATTCGCGACATGGGAATTCGACCCGACGGAATTGGAGAATCCGTTTGCGGAAGGCGAAGGATCGGTCCACATGTGGCAAGCGATGGAAGATAGAGTCATTCCCCGCGAGATTAATCAATATATATCGCAGAAGCTTCCATGGATTAAGTACCACGAGGTTCCACATTATGGACATCTTCTCAATGCCGACGAACATAAATGCGAAGAAATTATAAAGGCGCTGCTTGTGGAGTGATTATCATCTATATCTTACACAAGATGTTCTAACGTCCTACACTAATGCTAGAGAAGATATCTCATTAAAACTTTGGCTGGCTTATTTAAGGGTTTTATTCGATGGATAAAAAATTATTATTACAAGGTTATGACTAAAGTGAGGGATGTCCACTGAGTCAATAATTTAGGGTCTAATACTTAAGGTATGGTTTTTACCCGATTAAAATAAAGATATGTTATTACTTACTCTCTTCACATAAAATGGTAATCTAGTACTTAGTATATACTCCCTCCGTTTTTTTAAGATGAATTTTCTAGACATTTTTTGTTGTTTTACAAAGATAAAAATTGTAGATTTTTGAAGTACTTTTTTAGTTTTTAAGAAACAATAATTGGATTTGTTAGAGTTTTATTGGTCTAGATTTATAGAAAGTTGTTTTATTGTCAAAATCTATACACTAATGATTGAAAATCAACATTTTCTTAATATGTGTGAAAATTCTAGAAAATTCATCTTAAAAAAAACGGAAGGAGTATATATTTTATTTTATAGTATTTTTTTAGTTATGTTGGACACATTATAAGTTGGTGCGTCGCTGTTTCATTTCACTTCATTAAATCACACTTGCTCCAAGTAAAGGTGTGGATAGCTGACCTCGCTAATTGGATTTTTTACCAAGTAACTACCAAATTATTTGAAGTTCCATATTTTGATTATGAACATCGACTGATAGTAGCTTAATTAGCTGACATATTTTTTCGTAAGTTTTTTACAAAATTCAAGATCTCACATAAAAAAAACAAAAGTCAAACAAACTAATTCAAAATGAAAAAACAACTGAATTTGAATATCTGAAAAGAAAATTTGAACATCATAAACATTATGTTAAATTAAATCGAACTGAAACTTGTACAGTTGTACCAAACTGACATACCGGTCAAAGCCGTATAATTGACCCGAGAGGGAGAGAAAGAATGATGACGTCAAGTGCATAAGCCACACGGAATCTGTAAAATATACTTTTGTGTTTGTTAATGGACGTAGCAAAATCGCCCAAAACCAAAGCCCGACTAAAAGGGATATTTTTATTTCTTTTTGGTTTCCCTCTGATCTGCCCACAAGCTTGACCTCGTTGAAAAATTTCGGGTGAGAGATATTCAAAGCTCTGCTCCTGTCCCAATTACGCTTGGATTCCCTCGAGTTTGATACCTCAGTTCCGTGTTTTGATTCTTCTCCGAAATTCTAGGGGTTTTTCCAATTCCTCGCCGGGATTCGACGGCGGGCTTGGGTGAATTTTAGGGTTTTCCGGTTATATGTTCGGATTCATGACCTGGGATTAGATGCAAAGGTGAGTTTATTCGAATTTCTTTCGCCAATTCTAGAGAATTATGATTTTTTTGGGTCTTCCTCTCATTGACATTTCGCTGAATTTCAAAGTTACTCAGCTAATGAGTAAACTGCTTCAGTGTTGCTATATGATTGCCTTGTATTCCTCTCGTTTGTATTTGGTTCAAAATTGGCGTTGCTGGGTTCTTCAAATCACTAAGATAGTCGTGTGTGATGCATAAGAGTGATATTACTTTATTTCGGAATTTACGTGAATCAGGTGCTTGTTGAAGAGATACCTTAATTGCTTGCTCATGGAAAGTTTATATATTTTGCAGGGTTGAGTGGCTTTTAGAGTGAAGCTGCAGGTGGAGAAAGGCATCATGCTAGGATCTGGTAACAATTTGAGCAGGGGTACCATAGGATTATCATCTGATACCCCAAATCTGTCTCAAGTCTTAACTTTGGAGCCGATTAGATTAGGCAATCAAAACTATACTCGTTCAGGAGAGTTTAGAAGGGTTCTCGGCGTTCCTAGTAGGGCCTCATCAGAAGAGAATTCTTTTGGGATGTCCCATCCCAAACCTACTCCTCCTGTCGCAACAGAGGAGCTCAAGCACTTCAAAGAAAGTGTGCAAGATACTTCCAGAGAGGCCGGGTATGGATTTTGTTGTTTTCTTTAGCTTTTTGTGACTGATCTGTTACACATTTATTGTTGTGACCACTGACTAATCTAAGGTGCATAGAATTTGGTTTAGAAGTTTATGGTTTCTTTTAGTATTTTTTTTTTCCACAGTATAGCAGGGTGTTTACTAGAATTATTTTCTTAATTTACCTTATGTTCATTGTAGGGATCTTGCAAAGAAGCTAAGTGAATCTATTTACAAGTTGGATAAATATTCGGAGATATTAAGTACAAAGAAACGACGGCGAAATGATATACCACCTGGTGAGAGAATGGACGCAGCAAACTTTGATAAGGTCAGAAACCAGGTTCCAAGAACACAAGACAGTATGGCTCAAAGATCCGAGGAAAGAAAAAAGATGCTTGGATTGAACAAGCGTCCTCGTACGACAGTCGCAGATGTGCGGGTTTGTATCTAAATCTCACTTTTGATCTATATGACGCTTATGTATGTATATAAGATTGTTTATTGTCTGTGGCATTCTATAAGATTGTTTTATGTCCGTTACTGTTGTTTAATGGTTTTCGCCTGTTATTACTTTCAGGGTGATGGTAGAGTTTCTACTCTTGCAAGGCAGCAGGTTATAGAAAAGGGCTCTGATTCACCACCAAGTGTTTCTGGAGAAACAGTGCGAGTAGAAGAGAAGATCCGCAGGCCTGTTGTTGGTGAAGTATGGGAGACAAAAATGAAAAGAAAACGGTCTGTTGCAACTATAGGCAACAGAGTTATGAATCCTGATCAACGAGTCATGCAGCCAAAGCCGGCAGCTGACTCTAAGTTGCGTTCTTGTGACACCCAAAATTTCAGGTATGCTTTTGAGATATTAGTAAACCTGGTAGTCATCCCTGTTGGTTAGCTAAAGCGAAACTAAAAAAAAGTCTAAACATATAACATTGAACACCGTTTGAGGATGTTTTACTGATTTTCTAGCCCTATATAACTGGGCCTTTAAGAGAGGAAAATGATTTAATTATGCTGTATATATATATATATATATATACATATATGATTTTCCGGATGGATTCTCTTGATGTCTTGCATAACTTTCCTTCTCAAAGATAACATACTTAATGTGACCCCTTTGCTGCAGATTGAAATCTTCCACCGGGGTGAGTGGAATTAATAGACTTGATTCTCCATTTGAGCCGGACAGTCCAGGTCTGAGTGCATTATCCAGGCATGAGTTGGAGACTGTTTCCCTTGCAAGGGATCGGTCACTAATTGCTGAACAGAGGCTTATGGCCAAGGGGAACAATAAGTGAGCAGAGACCTTAAGCTTTTTGTTACAGAGTTTATTTATATTTAACTGCAATTTATTTACGTGACTGATTAAAGCATATTGTGCAAATCCAGGAGAAATTTCCAGGATGATAGCCCCACAAACAGCTCTTCTGCAATATTGAAAGGAAAAGTTTCTAGGGCTCCAAGAACAGCACTTGTTATGGGTGTTGAGTCTTCATCCAAAGTTGAGCCGCCATCTGGAGTATTACAAGGTTAGGGGCGATCTTAAGTGTTGTCTAAATACAATATATGCACTGTGTATGTGAAATAATCTAAAGCTTCAATTGCCAGCAGGTTCATCTGCACATGCAATGGCTCAATGGGTTGGGCAGAGACCTAAGAATTCTCGAACAAGAAGAACAAATGTAGTTTCGCCTGTCATAAAGCATGCTGATAGCAAGGTTTCAGCTCAAGGTTTTGCAACATCTGATTTTAGTCCTAGAGCTTCCCCTGGAACGAACGGGCCACTCTCAGTTGTTGATAGCAGCCCTTTAAGAATGAAAAGGGAGATGAAGAATGCTTCATCACCATATGGGCTATCTGAAAGTGAGGACTCAGGAGCTGGAGACAACAAAACAAGAGAGCGTGCTCTTGCAAGTGGTGACTTGTTCACAACTCCTAAAACAGGTTCGCTGTTACTTCCAGTAAGGAAGAATAAGATTCAAACTAGTCATAAAGGAGGTGGCGCGTGGAAGCAAGGAAAGAGTGAAAGTGTTTCGTCGTTGACGACTCCTGGCTTTCATCCTATGGTTAAGTCGGAGAATCTACCAGTAGAGAAGCCTCTGCACAATGTCAAGATTGCTTCAGATAAGAATAGAAGGTAACTTTTGCCTAAATCCGCTCTTCTTCTTGTCCCTTGCACCTTGAAAGTATGTTATTGTCTTATAAATCTTAGAATATGTGAGACCAATTGTTCTGCCTCTCTCTCTCTGGACAGCAAATATGGGCGTCCACCAGCAAAAAAGGTCAAGGATCGTAAACCTTCTACTCGTCTTGCCTCAAATTCAATTTCTACTCCTTCAGATATCACAGGTAATTATTCTCTCTTTCAATCTTTCATCATTTCACGTTTATTGGGTTGTGTTGTTAAACTATTTGCTGGGAAGTGCTACTTATATCCCGCACAGGATTTACTCTGAATATCTGAGGTTTGGTAACTATTAGCTCTTTCTCACTTATTTCATTTGTACAAAGGGAGGTAAATTAATATCAAAGTTAGGATAGTGGTCGTAGTTGGATGTCATCTCTGCAGATAAGCTGTATGATATTCTAGGGAGCACCCAAGCATAAATTCAAGTTAATTTTTGGCTTTTCAGGTGATTCCGACGATGATCGTGAAGATATTTTTGCAGCAGCCAATTCAGCACGGAAGGCAGCGAGTATTCATCCTTCCATATTTCTTGTCTTTCAAGCTTTGTTGCCACAAATTTCCTTCTAACCACAAATATCTTGTTGTAGATCTTGCTTGTTCTGGTAAGTTTTGGAAGAAGATGGACCACATCTTTGCTGCCGTCAATGCTGATGACATGCAAAACATGAAGGATCAGGTAATAACCAAGATACCATCATATATGATGTATTTGACTTCTCTCTAGGATGCCAACGCTAACTTTCTTTAACTTGTTATTGTCAAAACAATAGCTGAATTTTGCAAAAGAACTTGATGAATCTCTGTCAGAGGCAATCTTAGATGGCTATAACATCATGGTAAGCTGTATTGTCAACTTCTGCAGCAATGTCTAGTTTTATACTCTCTTTTTTATTTGAAGTATGACTGAAAGAGAAATTTTCCTGTCTCAGGGTGTCAAATTGCCGAAAACATCACGTCGCCCTGGTGAGGGAATTGTTGACTATTTAGGTCCAGCCTCATCATGTATATCTGATCTTTCATTTGAGAGATTGGACATGAGAAAGTTGAATGAGAGTACTCCGTTGTATAAGAGGGTACTCTCTGCTTTAATTGAGGAAGACGATGGAGAAGAAGTTGTACAGTTCAATGGAGGGAAGAATTTGTCTCTCCATTACGCTAGTGATGATTCTCACTGTGGTTCCTGTACCTATATTGACACTGACTTCAGAGAGAGAGACAGAATGGAATTTGAAGTAGAGTCAAGCGGGGATCTTCAGACCCCCAAGGGTTACTTGTTTGACAGATTTTCCAGTGAGAGGAGTGTGGTGTCTAATCCTTTAAGAAATGGTAGCATGTCTACATCAGTCCATAGCAATGAGCATTGGATTGGGGATGATGATCTATCACATTCGGACGCTGCACTCGGCTGTGAAACATATTCGAACAGCCTGGGTCAATTGCAAGCTAGAGAAGTGAACATTCCCAACTTCCCAGTATCTGACTCTCAGTATCAGCTTATGTCTTTGGATGAGCGACTTCTTATGGAACTACAGAGCATTGGAGTGTTTCCTGAGGCAATGGTAAGTTACGTCCCAAAGTCATTTATTTTAGCTAAAGCAAAAAAAATGTGTTACTCTAGCTTTTCCACTTAATTCTATTTTTTTCTTTCTTTAACTCGCAGCCTGATCTAGCTGAAGAAACTATGAGCACAGATGTTATGCAGTTGAAGGAAGGCATTTATCAGCAGGTGAGGGCAAAACAAATATTTCGTGCTTTACTTCGTTTGTGTTACTAGGAAGAGTTTAAATCCGGTTTCCTGTTGGAATTTAATCTTTGACGCATTGTAACCACTTCTCATATTTCCATCTTTTACCAATAATAACAGATCCGAAACAAGAAGAAAATGTTGGAGAAGCTAAATATTACCATCCAGAAGGGGAAAGATGTTGAGAAAAGGTTGGCTTAGGGTTTTTCAGATTCGTTATCTTTCAATTTACACGGTTGTGTTTGCTAAGATTTTTGGTATGCATGCAGGAAAATCGAGCATCTTGCTATGGACCAGCTTGTGGAAACAGCTCACCGGAAAAGAATGGTAAGAAACTAGTAAATGCCTACACTTGATCAAAATCAACTTGGATGAATGAATTGTGGGAACTGTGATGTATATATGTACGTCCAAATTACTGATGTTACTCTGAAAACAGGCAAGCCGTGGAAGTAAAGCATCTAAAGTCAACAAGGTCACAAGACAAGTGGCCCTGGCGTTCATCAGGCGGACACTTGCCAGGTGTCGCAAGTTCGAAGAAACTGGGCTTAGCTGTTTTGCTGATCCTGCACTTCAAGACATCTTGTTTACTTCACCCAGCAATGATGCAAAGTCATCAGAAAATGGCGGCTCTGGAACAGCCAGTAACACGCTCAATGAACCTTCTAATCATCAGGCTGAGGCCAAGGGTTCAGGTACACTAAATCTGAACTCTATATGTTGAGCCCATAATTTATCTTTAATTAGTTGATTCTGCTATAGTGACAACATGGATAAGATGATTTCAGATTAGGCACACACACTCACACACACGTGTCATAGCTGCATTCTGTCTTCTTCTCTCCACCATATCGATAGATGTATATTTGTTAGATACTAATGGTCAAGTCTCTTGTTGAAACAGCTAGACAGTGGTTACATTTTGAACCTTTTGTGGTTTTGTAGGTGCAGTGTCTAGTACAAAGAGGAGAGAAGCATTGATAGACGATGTTATCGGATGTGCTTCATCCAAAGTCACAACGAGCATAGACAGCGCGGTTATTAGTGGAGGAGGGGCTCGAGGGAAGATAAGCGAGAGAGAAGACGGATTGAGGAACAAGAACAAACCGAAACCCAAAGAGAAGAACAACAACAGCAACAACGAAAACCAATCAAGATCGACGACAACAACAACAACTCACCCGACAGGTCCAGCAGGCAGAGGCACCTCGAACCGAGGAGGTTCCTCTGGAGATGGTGCAGTTGACGAGGAAGCTCCAATTGATTTCTCGAAGCTAGCGTTCCATGATCTCGAGGAGATAGATGAGCAGGCGGATATTGGAAACTGGTTCGAAGGTCTTCAGGATATTGATACAGCAGGGCTTGATGAGGTTCCTATGGATGATCTCTCTTTCATGTTCGGATAAGGCGAGGGAAAAGCATTTGACAGGAGAAAAGAAATTGGTCTCTGACGCATTACCTCACAAGTGATTAATTTCTTATGGTTTTGGTTCTAACTATTGTTGTATGTATATAAAGGGATTTGTAGTGAATAGTGAGTGATTGTCTGCCTTGAAGGCTGAGTATTGAACATTGATTTAAAATATATATAATATATGTATTTTCACTTCAAAACTACTTCTCTGTATTCATAAATCATAATCCCCATTTTCACTTCAAAACTACTTCTCTGTATTCATAAATCACAATCCCCTTGGCATACATACTTCATAGATAACTTCACCAAAAGCTACCGTAACCTTAACATTCACAACAAGAAGGAAAATCGTATCGAACGCTTGAAGTTAAGTTCTAATTGGGCCGTATTAGACTCTCTTATTGGGCCTAAATGGCCAGATTGGGCTTTAATTAGGGTTTTCCCTCGTCATCCACGTACTCTCTTCCTCGAGTTTCTGGCTCATATAAGTTTACACACGAGACAATCTCTCGCCGTTCTTTCTCTGTTTCCGATCTTCCACAGGTACTCTTCTTCTTCTTCAATTCCTCCCCTCACTTTCACTCTTTGTGCCGGCAGACTTGTTTCCCTTATAGTTTCTCTTTATCGAATCTGTACGTTTCTCGAAAACGCTGGAAATCTGATGGAAACTATCTTAATTTTTTTCGTTTCAGGAGGCAAGAGTAGCTAAGGAGTGCCAAAATGAGGTTTGTATGCTCAAACAAATAAACCTGATTTTTTTTCCTTGTGGTTTCACACGATATGATTCTCTAGCTACTTACTATGTAATGTTAGTAATGATACAGTCTTGTACAAAGCATTTCATAGCACTGGAATTCAATTTATTGTACTTTGATTTGGATACTCATAACACTGTTGACAGTATTATGTTAAATGATTTTAGGATAATCGTTTGTAGATTTCGTTAGGTGAACATGATTTATACCTTATACAAAAAGTATTGGCCTTGTGTTTATGGTAATCATCACTTTGATGAGGGAGTAAAGTGTTGAGTTAGGATGAAAATTCTCTGTCATTTTGGTTATATGTAACGTTGGAATTCGATTTTTGTGAATGGTTGCAGTAAGCTCCAGGGAGAAGCCGTGAGAGAGGCGATATCCGCCATTGTCGCTCACTCCAAGGACACAAAGCCTCGCAAGTTCACCGAGACAATCGAGCTCCAGATTGGTCTCAAGAACTATGACCCACAAAAGGACAAGAGGTTTAGCGGATCCGTGAAATTGCCTCACGTTCCAAGGCCAAAGATGAAGATTTGCATGCTCGGTGACGCCCAGCACGTTGAAGAGGTTAACTTTTTCTTCACATTTTCACTCTTTAACAGGATCAGAACAATAGTGTGGTTAGTAGTAGTATAGAAGTGTAACTTGGGATTTGGTTTACTATAGGCTGAGAAGATTGGATTGGAGTCTATGGATGTTGAAGCTCTTAAGAAGTTGAACAAGAACAAGAAACTTGTTAAGAAGCTCGCCAAGAAGTTCCATGCTTTCCTTGCTTCCGAATCTGTCATTAAGCAGATTCCTCGTCTTCTCGGTCCCGGTCTCAACAAGGCAGGCATGTCTATGATCTTCCATTAGCTGCGTCATCATCTCCATATGATTATTTCTTCATGTTTTGATCACATTTTGTTTAATATACTCTTTGACTCTTTTGAATGAACAGGAAAGTTCCCAACACTTGTGAGCCACCAAGAGTCTTTGGAAGCCAAAGTGAATGAGACAAAGGCAACAGTGAAGTTCCAGCTCAAGAAGGTTCTTTGTATGGGAGTCGCTGTTGGTAACCTTGGCATGGAAGAGAAGCAGATCTTCCAGAATGTTCAGATGAGCGTTAACTTCCTTGTCTCGCTCTTGAAGAAGAACTGGCAGAACGTTAGTAAAAATCTTTCTTCTTGATCTTCCTCTTATCATCCTCATACATTTATATCCGTCTTGGTTCCTAAACATTGTTCTGTTTGTTGAATTTGTTTTGCAGGTGAGGTGCTTGTACTTGAAGAGCACAATGGGTCCACCAAACCGGGTTTTCTAAGTTTTATTATCTCAGAGTTTCTCTCAAGGTATTATCATCAGACGTTGAAGAAGATTGATTTTCTTTTTCTGTCATGAGCCTTGTTCTTGTTCTTCTTCTTGGGTTAATTCCAGAATCATTACTTTGTAGGATCAAGATTTTGTTGAAAGACAGTTTTGTTTTTACTGCTGCTATTATTATTAGTGGGGTTTTCTCCATTTTAAAATTTTCAAGTTTTGCAATTTCATTACTATAATTGGTCAAGCTTTCGTCCCTGTCTTCTGTGAATCACAGACTGATTATGTGTCTAATACTCTAATCCTTCAAGTCTTAATTGTCTCCAATGTTTCTCAAATCAACCAAAGGGGATTATGATAATTGATACATCATCAGCCAAGTTAAAGTCGTTTCTCGTTAATTTGTTAAATCATCAACTTAAAGCTAATTTTTGGTTGTTTTTCTTCATTATTGGTTGCAAATTTGTAATTGAAGACGAAATTTCACTATAATACTTTCAATCTTATTATCACAAACTTGGTACAAAGGAATTGATTACAAACTAAAAGGAGCCAATAAACAACATAATCTTCTCACATAAACAAACATTATATGATATCTCTCTCACTAAACCAAAAGCTTTAACTTTGCTATATTTTTCTTTCTTGGCCCACATTACTTATGATTCACGTAAACAACAAAACACATGAATAAATATGTCTTTCAAGTCTTGACAAGAACACTTGATTGAAATCATGGTATGCCAATGATTGGTATGAAGGGAAAGAAGCTCATAGGTGGGAATCCAAAACCTCCTGTCCCCGGAAAGTTAATAGTCTTGGAATCTCCGATCATATTTCCGACATTATCTCCGGTTGGTTTGGGGCATGAGAGAGAGAAGGAAAGTGGGTTTAAAGTAGTTAAAACTCTGGAATCGTGTTTGGACTTGACCAATTCAGAGACCAAGTTGTGTTTGTGAGCATATAGCTGCTCAGGACCTCCCAAGATCTTCGCAAGACAATTCTTAGAGACTTTTTCGTTGGCCGTAGAAAGCACTGACCTGAAGGATCCGTCTGAAGCCGCCATGGCAGTCACCGGTTTCTTTTCTCCGTCACACTTCAAGAGAATCTTAATGCCTAAATAATACAAAAACTTGTGCTGAAAATTTAGTTTATTGATACGGAAACTTTTATCCAAAATCAATTTGTAATAGTAGAAATGTATAACGAACTTTATTATGTTTTCAAAACGTAAAATGAAAAATTAAGCTGGAATCATAAGTTTATATGGATGAGATACACTAAAACCCTAAGAGATCAACTAGTGAACCTGAGAAGTCGAAATCGCGGTGGCAGTCAAGGCAAGAGACCTTGCCACGAACAAGAGAAGAAGCTGAGAGGTCAAAGTTGGAGAAGACGGCCAAAACGAAAAGTAAGAAGGCTGCAAAAGCTGCCTGATTCGCCATTTTATGAAGCTCAAAAGAAAGACAAAAAAGTTTTTATGGATTTGATGGCTTTAGATATCTTCTTGTCTGAGTGAAATATGAGAAATGTATGCTAGCTTTATATAAAATAACTATTGAGGATTTTGTAATTAAAGGAACCAAAAATGGGTTGATCTTTGGTGGTTGGCTTCTTACACGTAGAGCTATTGTACGTTTGCATTTTTCTTCTATATTAACGGCTCTTTAATTCGTACCCTCGTTTAATTTTGCCGTAACTTATATTCAACCTAACAATTTGTTAGTTTCAAATGATTTATATACGTACGAAACTACGAACTCCATCCATTTATTTTGTGCTTTTAATGAACTTGTTTCTTCTTCGTTTTTACATCAGTTAATTTTAAAAATATCCTTTAAGATTTCTTGTTTTTATTTTCGAAGAAAAATCATTGTCCACTGGCTGGTTATCATTCAGGTTTTTGGTTTCCTAACTCTCTCTCTCAGTTTAGATCTTAAGTGGTCCAAAACCACTAAACCAAATAAAAATAAAGGAAAATATCAATCACAGCCCGGTTTTTTTGGATTAAAGCGACAATTGATGTTTAAAAATCTGACTATGATTGATGTTTTAACCATATTTCACTCACTAGAGTTTAAAATGATACTAAAATTAGAAAGCCTAGTGGGGATCCATATTCTCCGTAGTCCTTACTGTCGTTATAATGAGCCGTGAAGGTTTGCTCAACAATAACTAACAGCGTCAGTGGTTGCATCATTCATAGCCAATAAATTATTTCCCACTTTGTCCATCAAATTTGTTTCAATTTTCCTACTTTAATATGTTTGTTTTTTTGTTTGCTTTTGTAATTTTTTGGGACCATTTTTCTTTTCCAATACTGAAATTAGTTTATAGGAGACGTCTCCAGCCTCTAATATGCGAAACACCTTTTAGTTGTCATTGTCAACTTTATGTTTATTGTATACACTACATACTTAAATAAAAAACGAGATTTAACCTTCACATAACGCGGAACAAACATATATTTTACAACGGCAAAAGAAGTAAGATTCGGTCGCAAAGTGATATACTGGCATATGTCTTGATTTAAACGATCATATATAAAGAAACCAATGACAAACGATTATAATAGACAAATTCCAATATGGAGTGATATATAGAGGGTAAACAAGGACAGCATTACTCTTCAAACTTTCAACGACTAATACTTTCAATATATAGTAGGCTTAAAGTCTATATATAACCCATACAAGACAATATCTTTTTACTTGACTTCATATAATACTTGTATTTGAAGATTACTTCTTCAGAACGTGTTTGATGAGGCCATGGATATGTGTATTCATAAAGTAATCTTCCCAATCAATGCTGTTGGGATTGAAGCCAAACATTTTGTCCATCTCTTCAGCTTCATTCTTGACACGTAATGTTTCCAGGTTTCTATCATCGAATCTGTATATAGTCCAATATAATTTTAATATACACTATAAATGTAAAAAAAGGCATGAATAGATAGTTAGATTACATTAAAAATGGAAAAGTAAATGTAAAAGCAAGGAAAAGTTTGAAGAAATGTGAAAGTAAACATACATGCCCTTGTAGAGTAGATAAGGCTCGTAGAGTTTCACCAATCTCATCGCCGTGTTGAATTTACGGTTGTGATATTCATATTTATTTCCGAAATGCGATGGGAAAATCATACTAAGTACTCGCAATAGCTAAATAAAAATGAAAAAACAGAGCAAATGTGAGAGTGTGAATAACAACACTCTTAGAATAAACTATATTTCAGGTGGAATTTATGCAAGTGTACCTGTAAAGGTAATTTAAAGCGAAGGCTCGTGAAGAGACGGAAGCAAGCCATTGTGGATAAAACAGTAACGTTTGGGACTATATGCATGCCATTGCGACCGAGCAGGGGGCTTTCCTTGAAATAACGAACAATATAAACATATATTTCTTTATACATCACCGGATTCCGGTGAGATGAGCCGACATGGTAAACGGTATGACTTCCTGAGTCACCAAAATGTTCAGCTGCGATCGCGATCATTGCGTTTGCCACCATATCGACCGGTATCTTGTTATGAAAATACATATTGTTGCTCAATTAGCATAATGCTAGTATCCAAAATATTTCAGTGTGCCTAGTGAACTTACCATATCACATACTGTCTTACGATCAGCGAGAAAACACTTTAGCATTCCCTTTCCGTATAATATAATCACACTGTCTATGGTCCTTCAATACAAATACAAAAGCCACAAAACAAGTTGAGTCAGAAGGAAGTTATAGACTTGAACGAGAAATTTAATTAGACTTGGTGATAGCTTTACCTTAAACCTTCAATCCACCCGGGAAATGGGTCCGAGATAGTGCTTGTGATTATTGCGGGACGTATGGTTACAATAGGCATATTTTCTCTATAGTGTCCCATAAGCATTTCTCCCAGTGCTTTGGTGAAGACATAAGTGTTTGGCCATCCATAAAGCTTTGCCCTAGTTAACATGTTATATATATGGAAAACGTGCCTCAAGTTACTTCACATTATCGTCCAGTGGAGATTCTATGGATCGAGTTTCTAATTTTTGTATTTGAAATTGTACACAGACCTTTTTAATCCAAGATCTTTCATGGCTTCATTAATTTCTTCTGAAGAAGAACCTTGTTCTTTGAGTTGTTTTGAATTTTCTTGTACCAGTTGCATTTCCGCATGGATATCTACCTTGGTTTTTCCGTTAAGAGTTTCTCCCATAGCAAAAGGTTTCTCAAGTATGAGTCCCGATCTTTCCCCACACACATAAGCTAAAGATCGAAAAGGAATTATACATCAAAAAAACTAATTATAATGAGTGTCGATTCTGACCAAAACTAATAATAAAGAGATTTTTTTTTTCACTTTATTTAATTCAGTTTGATATTTTGTGACGATCTGTAATTCTGTATTATAGTGTATCTTCTTATTGGCCAAAAAAAAATTGTTAATGATTTTTTTTTCATTTATGCAGTTTATAAATCTCCATATTCACAAATATTTTATACAATGGAATGGAGGGCATATAAATATCGATCAGTTTGGTTTTTAAAAGTAAAAATGATTACCAGTTGAGACATGGAGAAGCAATTGTGCTTTCACACACTTCTTAGCAAATTTAAGAACATTGAGTGATCCAAATGTGTTGATCCCAAGTGCAACATCATATCTTTTTCACATACAAACGAACCAAAAACTAATTAATATGGGTCGTTAATAAAAATAGATATAAATATGTATATGTTTCTTTTATTTATTTATTACAAACTAAGTGAAGGTTTTACAAATACCTGTCGTCGAATTTCGTGGTGGCAGCAGAATGCAAAACAATGTCGATCTCTTGGACCATATCTTGTAAGAGATCAGAGTCACTCACTCCCATATTGTTCAGTGATATGTCTCCCGGAACAGGGACAACTTTTTCCGAGATCAAGGCGTTCAGATTTTCATCTCCGATATTCTTTCTTAACACCTTGAACAAATCTTTCTCGAAAACCTGTGACAAAGTTATCAAATCAGAACATTAAAATTCGTATGAACCGTCAAATCGAAATATTTGGTCCTACATATTTAAATATACCTCACTCTGTAATCGTTGTGCCGCTGATTTCTTGTCGGATGCTCTTACGAGAAGGTAAAGCCTCTTCACGTTTGGTTGCAACCTCAGAACTCGCTCCACGAAAACTAGGTTTTAGATATTAAAATTACTCATGAATATATTGTATAATAAACTACACGAATGGATTTGTTATAAAACATAATATTTACTTGATTGATTTATCGTAGTCCAGGAGACAATGAATAACACTGAACAAAGAATTACCTTTAGCAAGGAAACCCGAAGCGCCAGTGATGAGCATTGTCTTGTTCTCAAGAAACTGAACACAAGTTGGTTCCATAGTTGAAAACTTAAGTAAAGAACAACGAAGTGAAGTGATTGTTCGTTGAGAATGTTTTGATTTGAGCACTAAATAGCACATGTACTTGTTTCTTATAGACGCTTTGTATCATAAGGGTTTGACTAGTTCAAAAGTAGTGGGCCTTAGAGTGAGGTGCCAAAGTGCAGAGCGGGTAGCTATGATATCAAATGTCAATAAAGTGATTTATACAACTTGTATAACAGTTGAAAACAAGTCATTTACTATGTCTGGCAGATCCGCAGCGATTGTGAAAATTGTTTAACATAAAAATAATCAATATATAGATATATAACTGAAACTGTAACTATATATAAATCATAACATAAGTAGCGGTTTTAATATATCTTTTCATAAATACAATTGTTTTAGGTTAACTAATAGGAAAATTTTCATATGCTATCATACGGAAGAAAATTAGTTTTCATGCTATTTCAAAGAGTTTTTTTTAAATGTAAATATAACAAGTATATAAAAGTTTAATGTGATAATATTTGATAGAAATAATAAAATATCGGTTTTCTAAAATTTTAATTTTAAAAAAATATATTTCAAAGATAGATTTATGAAAGGAACTAAAAAAGATCTAGCTGCCGGTTATTCGATACCACAAAAGCTCAAGGCAATGAACAACCCTTAATTGTAATGTGTGGATCAGCATGTTTAACACATTAAAATTTTCGCCAGAATAAAAATCCTTTGTGGACCTCAATCATGTGATTGTAATCTTCCCGATAGTTAATTTTCTGACGAACGTAATTTATTAGTATCTATTAAAAAAAATCATGGCTTTTTTATTTATTTTCGTCGGCACTAATAATATAAGTGTTCACTATCAAGAAACCTCATGCTATGACAGATGTAGCTCATATCACATTTGTCGTTGGAAATAAGCTGCCTAAACCAACCACTACCAAAGCAATTACTCCCATATCCAAATATCAATTCTTACAAAACCTTTTGATTTGTCCCATACTCCCATTAAAAGCAAAGTTCAAAGATGTACTAGTACTGCCCAAAAAAGGAAATAGCTTTGCTATGCAATATAATACCATTTTTTGAAAATTACAGTTCCATAATATCATGAACGTAACTTTCAAAAGATAATATTATAGGGCCAATAGTATAGAGACGAACTCTTCGTAATTAGTAGAATACGAATATAGAAGACACTTTTATCCTTCTTATTATGCATATATATATCCTACACTAGAGACGACGTCATGTTTCTCCTCTCTTAAAGTTAAACGTTTTTGTCTTCTCCTTAACTGTTTATATGGTTACTTCCTTCTTGTGAATATGAATTTTCTTTTTATTTATAAAGTATCCTATTTACTAATTTTTCCAATTATATAAATCAAAAACAAGATGAAGGATTCAAATAGACAAATTCCAAATATGAGATAATACATTATAACAACTGTAGTACATAGAGGGTAGCAGTGAAAACAAACACGGCATTATTATTATGAATTATTGTATAAATTATGAAATTATTATATAGCAGGATTAACCCATACAATACGATATCTTTTTTGGGATAAAATTTCATAGAAGGCAATATCTTTTTATTCGACTTCATATAAGGCTTGTATTTGGAGTTTATTTATCGATAACGTGTGTTACGACGCCATGGATATGTGTATTCAGAAAATAATCTTCCCAATTAATGCATTTGGGGTTGAAGCCGGACAAGTCGTGCATCCCTTTGGCTTCATTCTTGATTCGTAATGTTTCTAGGTTTTGATCATCGAATCTACATGCAATACAACATAATTTCCAAATATAGTTACAGTGTGAATTAAGGCATGATATAAAGAATCGTTAATACTAATAAAATTAAGAACCAAAAAAATTAGTACATTTTAGTGGAAGTAAATTTATGAAAATTAATAAGCGATTATAATTTATTAAAATAAATGGCCTTATTAAATTATAATAAGGAAAGTTGTAAAAAATGTGAGAGTTGGACATACATGCCCTTGAAGAGTAGATAAGGCTCGTAAACTTTCATCAATGTCATGGCCTTCTTGAATTGACGGTTGTTATCTTGATATTTATCTCCGAGTTGCGATGGGAGAATTACACTAAGCAATCCCAACATCTAAAGACAATAAAAAAAAAGACCAAATCCGTGAGGATGTATTTAAAATTTTAGCCTTAAGAAAAAATGTTTATACGTGTAATTTATGTAAGTGTACCTGTAAAGGTAATTTAAAGCGAAGCTTCGTGTATAGACGGAACCTACCCATTGTGGATAATAATGTAACGTTTGGGACTATAGGCATACCATTGCGACCGAGCAGAGGGCTTTCCTTGAAATAACGAGCAATGAATTTATACATTTGTTTATACGTCACCGGATTCCGGTAAGATGAGCTGACATTGTAAACGGTATGACTTCCTGAATCACCGAAATGTTCAGCTGCGGTCGCGATCATTGCGTTTGCCACCATATCGACCGGTATCTTGTTATGGACATACATATTAATGCTTAGCATGGATCAAGCTAGTAAAAATAAAATCTTAAGTTACATTTTATAAAAATGGTGCCTAGTGAACTTACCATATCACATACTACCTTATGATCAACGAGAAAACACTTTAGCGTTCCCTTTCCGTATGGTACAATCACACTGTCTACGGTTCTTCATATATACAAATACAATAACGATCAATAGATAGTAACAATAAAAATTTGACGACAAATGATAAATTAGGTCAATGGAATTTTGTGATAACTTACTTTAGGCCTTCAATCCAACCGGGAAACGGGTCCGAGAAAGTGCTTGTGATTATTGTGGGACGTATGATTACAATAGGTAGATTTTCTCTATAGTGTCCAAGAAGCATCTCTCCCATTGATTTGGTGAAGACATATGAGTTTGGCCATCCATAAAGTTTTGCCCTAATTGATATTATTTATGAACATTAATGTGCCTCAAAGTTACTTAAAAGTATCTTTCTAGTTTATAGTTCTGGCATTTGAACACAGACCTTTTCATTCCGAGATCTCTCATGGCTTGTTTAGTTTCTTCTTTTGAACAACCTTGTTCCACGAGTTGTTTCAACTTATGTTCCACTAGTTGCATTTCGGTATTGATATCTAGCTTGGCTTTTCCGTTAAGAGTTTCTCCCATAGCAAAAGGTTTCTCATGTATGAGTCCCGATCTTTCCCCACAAACATAAGCTAGAAAAGATAAAAATCAATAGTTACATGTAAATATAATTATAACGTATATATATAATATGGATATCAATTTGGTTATAAAAAGCTTAAATGATTTCTATTGCGGTTTCGTTTATGGTTGATCATTACAAACGTTTTAAATGGAATCCTCTTATCGAAACCCAAAAAAAGTTAAAATGATTCACCAGTTGAGACATGGAGAAGCAATTGTGGTTTCACACACTTCTTAGCAAAGTTAAGGACATTGAGTGCTCCAAATGTGTTGATCCGAAGTGCAACATCGTATCTTTTTCATATACAAGCGAACCAAAAACTTATTAATATAGTCGTTAAATAACAACAGATATATATGTTATATGTTTCTGTTTTTTTTTTTAAACTGATTAATGTACTACCTTTCGTCGAATCTCGTGGTGGCAGCAGAATGCAAAACAATGTCGATCTCTTGCATCATATCTTGTAAGAGATCAGAGTCACTGACTCCCATATTGTTCAGTGATACGTCTCCCGTAACAGGGACAACTTTTTCCGATATTAAAGCATTCAAGTTTTGATCACCGACATTCTTTCTTAACACCCTAAACAAATCTTTCTCGAAAACCTGTTACAAAGTAATCAAATCAGAACATTCGTATTCGAATGAATTCTCTAACGAAAGCATTTGGCATACGTACGTATATAAATAAATATACCTCACTCTGTAAACGTTGTTCCGCGGATTTCTTGTCGGATGCTCTAACGAGGAGGTAGAGCCTCTTCACGTTTGGTTGCAACCTCAGCACTCGCTCCACGAAAACTATGTTTTAGATATTAAAAATAAATTCATGAATAGATTATATAAGAAATTACACAAATGGACTTGTATTATTAATTAAAAAAAAAAAAAAAAAAAAAAAAAAACGTGGCAAAAAAAAAATGGACTTGTATTTACTCCATTTATTTCTCGTAGTACATGAGACTACAAAGAACACTGAACAAAGAATTACCTTTAGCAAGGAAACCCGAAGCGCCAGTGACGAGCATGGTCTTGTTCTCCAGAAACTGAACACAATTTGGCTCCATAGTCGAAATTTTAATATCCTAAGTGAAGAACAAAGTGAAGACGTGAAGTGTTTGTTTGTGGAGAATGTTTTGATCCTAGAACCAGAACACACGTATTTATACTGACGCTTGTCGTATAAGTAAGGGCTTCATTGGTTTAAATGCAGTGGGTCCAGATCGGGGTTTCAAAGTGTAAAAGTTGGCCAATTTTGATTAATTAAAAAATTTTGAGCTCAAATATTAATCATAATATAAATTTTCTTTCTCAAAACTTTATATATATGTTGATAATTTTCCATTAAATGGAAAACCAAAATATGTAGGTAAACGATTCTCGATATTTTTCACAAGTGCAAACAACTTCTAGTTTAACAAGAAGGTACGTTAACTTCTTTCGAAAATTAATATTCAGCATATTATTCAAGCATAGTAAAAGACATCAAATGAAGACTAAAAATCAAAACTAAAGAGAATAAATTTTGCACAAATAAAAGAATAAATTAACTGGTAGTGGGTTAGTGTTTTCATCTGCAGTCAAGGATTTACATGTTGATTAGAGGTTAGTTATTCTAAAACGTGGATATATCAGATATTCATTTGGTCAGTCGAAGACGACTACACTAGTTTCATTTTGAAATATCATATGTCCATTCAAGATATTGTTTTTTTAAAAAGGATATAAGAAATATAAGCCAAATATGCTCAAGGTGATGATCCTTTGATTTGAAGCAATTTAAAGCGATACAAGAAAAATAACGAACCCTTAATTGTAATGTCGATCAGCATGTGTAGCACATGCAATTTTCGGTAGATCATTATCCGTAAGTGGACCTAAATTATAGTATGTGATTCTAAGCTTCTTGATAGTTTTCAGACGAACGTAATCCATTTATCTATTAAATTATTAGTTCCAACTTCCAACTCGAAATTTCTAACTAATAAACTTTTCTTTGCTGAAAATCGATTCTTAAATAAATGTTAACTAGACGGCAAGAGATAATATAGTAATAGTACCTCCTATAATATGGAAGCAGAGAGATAGACTCGATTTCATTTGGCAATAGAATGACCTCGAGACCTCCTGCAAAAGAACGATGCCGTTTGAAATAAGCTAACCTTTCTATCTGCTTCCTCAACGGTGATTCCATATTTTTCTGCTATTCCAGAAACATTTTGTCTACAGATCTTGTTCCGAGTTAATCAACCAGTTGCACATTTTTCTCATTGACGACAGCTTCATCATTAACACCCACCACTACCAAAGCAATTACTCCCAATATATCAAAATATCAATTTCTACCAAACTTTCTGTCTTATTAAAAGCAAAGTTTAAAGATGTACTAGTGCCTCTTAACATTCATACCCAAAAAAAAAAGATGTACTAGTGCCCTAACATACCATCAGCCCGAAGGAATTCCTTTTTTGTATGCAATATAATTTGTAATACTACTTAAGGTAATAGTCTTTTTTTTTCTCTACCGAAGAAATAATTAATAATCATGTAGTGATTTGACTGATTATAAGATCGATACCAATAAATTAGGCTTCATTGACTTTAGTTGATTTTGCCATTATATTTGATCATCATGTGAACTTATAAATATAATATATATCTTCAAAATACTAGAAGAGTTTACCACAAGAAATTGAGAAGCACACTACTGCACGAACATAAGTAGACGTGAGAAATTAAGAAAGTATTATATGGCCCTAATCCTAAATTTCCGCAATTTCTTATAAAAAAAACAAATGTTATTCCTTTGATTAACACTTAAACAACTCAGATGCCTTAGAACGGCAATATTTAAACAAATGGTGAACACCCAAAATCCAAAATAAAAAATGACAAAATGAAAAAACGAAAATGTCAACAACACATAACAGAAAAAACATCGCAAAAGGTTTTTTTAACTTGTTGCGCACATCAGTGGAGTGTTGCAAGAACGGCACGATTTTCTGATCTCCCCATTGTTTTTATCTTTAACTCTCACCGATCCCAACCTGGCCATCGCCTGACCAAACCTAACAAAGAATTCGTCACCGTTACCTTTGGCTAAACCCCTCACAATCTCGCTCGTTTTTTCATCAGTGGCGATTTGTTGATCGATCTGAAGAATTCCTCTGCTAGACTGAATCTGTCTGTAGAAAGATCCATCGACAACATTCGAGCTAAAAAAATCTTGATCAAGATTAACAGTTCCATCAAATGTAGATTTATCAGGACATTTGCCTCTTAGCTCTTGTGCCAATTTAGGATCCATGGATGGATCAGGCTTATTCGTATTTTGAAAGTTATATAGCCGGTCCTTAAAGAATGAGCAATGCGTCACTCCAATTGTATGTCCACCTACAAATATCAACAAAGTTATTAGAGAAAAACAAAAATAAATGCCATTAACTATAAGATTAATTAATATGATTAAAGTTTCATTTGTAGTATGAAATATTTCTCGTACCAAGAAGTAGAACCATATCGTCAACGCTAAGATTTCTTTTATCAAACATATCAGCGGTTTGCGAGACAGACATTGTTGGACCCGGCAAATCCACAGTCGAACTCAAAGAGACAAAACTATCAAATCGTCCCATTGGTATCTCATATTTCGCTTTGAATCCGCTAGCCTAAAAAAAATAAAAATTAAATTAATCTTTTCGCAGTCAATTAAGAAAATTAAAAAAAAAAAAAACATATAAACATGTAGATGTCTAAGAATGGGGGTATGTGTATTTACAAGAAAAACAAGATCTCGAGTGACGAGAGCTATGATATCAGCACAAGAAACGAGCCCGGCACATTTTTGTTCGAGCTCAGTTTTCACGGCATCTATCAGTTCATATCCTCCTACACTTAGATTTGGCCTAGCCTTTCGCTCGCTGCTTGGGCCGTCTAGAAGAAGCGATGCATCGCATCCCTACATGCATTTTGTTTAACACATATATAAGATCAATCCTTGTTGGGTCATGTTTATCAGAACATTTGAACACACTTTTGAGTATAAAGAAGAATTAATTAATCAACTTACATTGCTGAAACAATCATGAAAATATAGGCGGATCAATAAGGGTGCGAGGGTTGCATTCTTTGTGAATTCCCTTTGAACAATTCCAAATACGATTTTCTCGAGGTCTTTGCAAGTATCTTTGTAGTGTCCGGGTGTTAGCTCGCCATAACAAGAATGGCTTAAACTAAGCAGAGCAAGAAAGACGATCAATGCTGACATGGTCGGGATCTTCACGGCCATTTTTGTTGATGTTTCTATTTGTGAAGTCTTGGTTAGTTTGTGAAAATGTAGAGAAACGTTACAGCTTTTATAGTGTTCAAGTTTACTACAAAATGTGTGGCAAGCACGATTCTTCAACGTGCGTTCATAGATATAATATATATGATTCTAGTTCTCTCATAAGATCACAGATAATTGTCGGGCTGGCTTCATTTTATAATTGGGCAGGTTTGATCTTGAAAATCGCCTTAACATACGTCTTTGGTGGTTTACACATCAAATAGTTTATTTGTTTCTACGAAAAACGTCAGAATGTATGATTTATATGATTTAAATATTTTATAACTGTTGTTCAAAAAAAAAAAAAAAAAAAAATTATAACTAAAATTACAAGAGAGAATCTTCCCCTTGGCAAGTATGTACTTTCAACCGAATTCACATGTTATTTGTGGACGAATTATAAATCTTATTTTTCTGAGCTTGAAGTCCTCTTTTCTGTTTTGTATATTTTTGTCTAAAACTTATTACCAAGCTATCCTTGCAAATTGAAAAGTGTTTTCTTTTTTGTTAACTTGCAATTTAGCAAGTATATAATATTTAACATTATAACATAAGGAACACATAAGAAACAGCAAGTCATTTGTATGCACAACACGAGTTTATCTAACACAATAAAATATTTGTTCTTGATTTACAAATTTTTTTGAGTGTTTCTTTAATCCTGATTCAATATGGACCCTGGATCAAACGTTTAGATGGCATATTTTGTGTATACGTTGGTACTACTAATTAGTCTACGCACATAACATGTTCTCACATTTTAGAAAGACGTGCAAAATCATTTAAACAAAACTGATTTGCCCAAAACGAAATCCCATTCAGAGTTTTTTTATCAAAAAATGAAAAAAAACACATTTAGAGTGACAAAGAATTTTAAACATTATCAAGCTTCATTGTTTTAAGTCGGTAAATAAGTTTAATGTAAACTAATCTCAGAAAATTTATAAGTTGCAAGAATGGCTTGTTTTTGGAACGATTACCAACAAATTGTATCATTTTGAGAATTTTCAAGTTTTTTTTTCCTCTGTTTTTCTATAATTTGCATATTTTATTTCCATGTCCCTGCAATTCCGCTCTTTTATCGTCAGGCCCAATATTATGGCAACCGATTTTTCAATAAAAGTCAATTTAATCCATGAAATTAGGGTTTCAATCAACCTTTTTCCAGTTATTTCCCACCAAATCGTCCCTCTAATCCTCCATCTTGAGCTCTGTAGCTTTCGTCTTCAATCTTCAACCCTCAAACCCAAACCCAGAGAGAGAGAAACAAAAGAGAAAGACAGAGAGAGAGAGAATGATTCATTCATTCGTCATTTCTTCATTTCATCAAACCCTTTCTCTTTCCTTTGCATGATTCAATCCAAAAAGCGTTCCTTTTTCTGACAATTTCCTTTTTGATTTTGTGTGACGAAGGAGTAAAAATCCTCTTTTTACATCTGGACCGTCATGACTGAAGTCCTTCACTTTCCGTCATCTCCAAGCGCTTCTTCTCCCTCTTCTTCCTCACCCTCTTCCTCTGCCTCCCGCTCCAATGCCACTCTCCTGATTACCTCTGACCATCGGCAAAGGAACCCAGTTTCCGGATTCGCGCAAGATGTTGACTTTCAGGACTCAATCGAACCACAGCACCAGCTCCAAGATTTGAGACGGAGCGCCGATGGAGAAGACGACGGCGGAGAAGATCAGCTCTCGCTGCTGGCTCTTCTTGTCGCCATTTTCAGGAGATCTCTGATTTCTTGCACGAGCAGTCGGAGGGAGCTCTGCAGCATGGAGATCGGATGGCCTACCAATGTCCGCCACGTGGCCCACGTCACTTTCGATCGCTTCAATGGCTTCTTGGGTTTGCCCGTCGAGTTCGAGCCCGAGGTTCCCAGAAGAGCTCCAAGCGCCAGGTACATTGCCCAATCTCTCATTGCAATTGAAAATTTGTGGAATTTGGGGGTTTCCTAGTTCTCTGTATTATGGTAAAAGGTTTGACCTTTTGGGAATTTGACGGTTAGGCTCGTAATTTGATATTCAGTGCTGAAGAAGTTGTGAACTTGTGATTGAATTGCTCGTCTATAGAAAAAGGATCTTATTTTGCATTTTGGGTTGGTCTCAAGTGAGAAGTGGTTGTAGATGGATAACGAATGCTTCTGATAGCATTTTGTCTCTCTTGGTATCTCATCTCTTACTTCTTGCTATCTCTGACTTTAGTGCAACAGTCTTTGGGGTATCAACCGAATCAATGCAATTATCATATGACTCTAGAGGCAATTGTGTACCAACCATACTCGTGCTGATGCAAAACTGTTTATACAGTCAAGGAGGCTTGCAGGTACATTGCTTTATCGAGTTTTCCTCTGAAGTGAATATCTTATAAGCTTTGGATGTAAATCACTTCGCCGATTTCTCTTTTCAGGCAGAGGGAATTTTCAGACTCACTGCTGAGAACAGTGAGGAAGAAGCAGTTAGGGAGCAACTAAACCGAGGAATAATACCTGAGAGAATCGATGTTCACTGTTTGGCAGGGCTTATCAAGGTATGTAATGTATCTACACACACACATTTTTGCTTTGTTTCATAAATTGTGTATACTAATCTTGCTTTTTCCGGTTTCAGGCATGGTTTAGAGAACTCCCTACAAGCGTTCTTGATTCGCTGTCCCCCGAGCAAGTGATGCAGTGCCAAACGGAAGAGGAATACATGGAGCTCGTTAGGCTTCTTCCACCTACAGAAGCTTCTCTGCTTGATTGGGCCATCAATCTAATGGCTGATGTTGTACATTATGAGCATCTCAACAAGATGAATTCACGCAACATCGCTATGGTTTTTGCACCTAATATGACACAGGTGAGTCCTCAACGACAAGGTTTTATCATCAATAGTGGGCTGGATTAAACAGAATGATTTGAGAAAAACCTTCTCTTTGTAGATGGATGATCCATTGACAGCGCTGATGTATGCGGTTCAAGTGATGAACTTCCTCAAGACACTAATCGAGAAAACACTAAGGGAAAGGCAAGATACAGTAATAGAGGAAGCTCATGTGTTCCCTTTAGAACCTTCTGATGAGAGCGGTCACCAAAGCCCTTCACAGTCTTTGGCTATTGAGCAGAGTGAAGAGACGCAATCAGACTACATTGAAAATGCAGAAAGTCAGAGTTTAAGCAGTGAGATATCAGAAGAATCAACAACACCTGAGAACAATGCCAGGAACAGGCGAGTAAGTGGCTCGGGTCAGATAGATTTAGAGAGAAAAAGTGGTGTGGAGATGCTGGCTCTGCAGGCTCCTTCGGCTCAGTGGCCTTTGGGGAGAGCAAAAGGATTGACCAACTTGAGCCGTGTAGGTTCGAGGGTGGAGCGTACTGAAGCTTGGCGGTGAAGGAAAAAGGAGCAGAGGAGGCTTTAGCTGTTCTTCAAAATCAAATCGTCTCAGTTTTTTTGTGTCTGTTAATGTGGTTCTGTTGGTGTCAATTGTTTCTATCATTTTTTGGTCAATGTCCTAAATTGGCTTCTTTTTTTGTGTCAAATCGTCCAAACTTGTAAACCGTATTGAACCAGTTTCTCTCTCAGGCCAGGTCAAATATGAAGTGATGGTGATATGGTGAAGCTTTTTCCCATCTACCTTTAGGATTGTTCCTTACAAAAATACAAGTAATTACACATATGGAACGAAATTAAGCATGATTTATGTAATGTAAAGATATGTATATAAATAAATAAATTAGTCTGATAGTCACAGAATTGAAATATAGATATGACTAGTCACTGTGCACAAAATAAAAGTTATGATGACTGTAAAGATAGATTTAAAATTGGTTCTTCAAAGGACCAAGGGACCATTAAAACTCTCGACAAAAAAGTGCATGACAAAAGCATATTGTGGAGGGGGAATATATATAGTTGAATTCAACAATATTGTATAGTCATGTAACTTTTTCTAGTGGTTCAAAATAAGGATTGCACATCTGCAAACTTATTATACACGTATTTGGATACGCCTTTCTAATAATTATTTTAAATCTAAATTTTACATACTTTTTTAGAAATATCTTTTGAAAAAGCTGCAAAGAAAGAAACTAAACAACACCAAAATTTAAACTCATCAAATGTACACAATTTTTTTACATATCTGAAGTTTGAACTTAATACAAAAAATAAAATTTCTAGTTTTTGGGTTGATAGTTGCCGGTATAAATTTTTTCACCCGGTAGTATTTCACTATTTATCCACACCTATTTGGGTTCATCGCTGTCGATTTATAGTATAGATATCATTGGTTGACAGACAAAACTAACAAAAACATAACATCTCTTTAGAAATCATGCAAACTATATTGGCATCAAATCTTGAAACCATGAAATATGATTTTTATTCTTGGTTTTGCTTTATTGTTGGTACTTGGTATTTTCTCACGTGGGTTTTAGTTTTGATTTGGATTTTTTAAAAACTATTTTCTGTTATGGTCTTAGATTTTTTGCATGGAAGATTTTGGCAATAATGCTGAAAATGACTTGACTATAACGTATTTTTATAACTTGACTAACAACAGTGTTATCCATTTAAACCAATAAGATATATTTACATTCTTATTGTGATTAGACCTTTTAACAAAAACATGAACAACAATCTAATTGTGATTGAACGATTTTCAACGAAACTCGGACTGAGATTCTAAAAGACAATTCGTAAGTGTAGAGAATACTTAGTTAGTAGTAACATACTATACAACAGGAATCAGAATAAGACATAATATTTACTTTAATATTCTCCAAGCTTTAGTAACATTTTAAAGTTTCATAAAACGTTGTTAGTGTTTTCAAATCCACCCTCTAAACTTTTCACGACTAAGATTCTTTTGGTCTAGTGATATTCTCAAGTTAGTAATAAAACTTCGTATACGAAAATGCTAGTACTATACGTATATCGGTTATTCGGTATTATACAAACTAGGAGACATCAAGGCTCCTTTCTATGGATTGAGTATCTATCAGTCGCTAACGATTAAATCATATATTTGTGGACGTTGATCAAAATTCGTTTAGATATTCGCAAAAAGAAAAAAACTTTATATTGTGTACGTGTCTTGGGAAGATATAGATAAATGAGGTAACGACGCAGATGTTGTTGGTCATTGACCAAGTGGAAAAGGTGAAATCGTGATGTCTGTTGGGTGGATAGATTCGGACAGGGCTCCACGGACCACCGTTATGTGGACGTTCGTCAGACATCACAAATACATATATCATTTTTTTTTTTTTCAAACGAAACATAAAAAGTATATATTAAGAAGTCTAAATGATAACTGTGATTAAAATAGTAAAATAATATTAAATTCAAACAAAGAGAAATTTTGTTAACTGATAAAATATTTGACGATGTAGAAATGGGGTTCTTTATGTATTAATTAACCAAGTAAAGTCATTATTTTGTAATACAACCAAACGATATGAAAAAATGTTGAGAACGACCGCATACCTTATTTAAACGAGAAAAACAAAACGGCAATTTGTTTAAAAATTAAATGCTGGTACGTAAATCATTCAACCCAAATGGTAAAAATAGGATCAGACACATACAAACTAGGCTCTAGACACATATATGAGACATGTATATGTGCTTACATGTTTTATAGCATGTTGGGAAAAATGAATACCCATGCGGTCATGGTGAAACGGGTTTAACGAGACCAACCGTTCCGCATTAACAGATTTACCTACAGGCTCAACTGCAATTTTAAACTAGTGTACAACTAAAATATCTCAAAGTTATTATAATGTAATGATTTTATATTGCTGACCGATACAATTATTGATATTCAATACTTAGGAAATGCAATTATGTTGTACATTTGTGAATAGCACCCTGTTATAAGAGAATATCATGAAATATAATTATGTGGTTGAGGATCACGAGGCTCCCACGGTCCAACCAATCACATCGACACAACTACATCTCGAATCTATCGTGTTTTGCTGGCATTGCTGCCTTTCGAAGCTTAATTTGTTTTTTTTTCACTGTCCAGAAAAAAAATCAACATGTTGTAATCTCTAAAAAACTTCCACGTTGCTACACAGTTTACACTAATTATATTTCTCCTGTCAAAACCTTAATAACAAAACCATTAAAGCATGGGAGATTCTTAATTTAAAATAATGTGTGTTTCAGTCATTTTAATGTTTTTTTATATAAAGATACGATATTTTAAGGAAAAATCAAATCCAACAAAATTTGAAAAGAGAAAAGAATGGTGGTATGATTCCATAATATAAAGAACTACTAGAGTATCCGCATGTTTGTGCGGTGTGACGTTGTTGTTTTGTGTAGAAAATTTAAACCCTAAATCCGAACCCGACAAAAAACCCTAATCAAAAAATTTAAAAACCCAAACTTTTTTAATAGGTCTAAACATGAAAATCCGAAATCAAAAAAATCCCGAAAACCCTGACTGAACAAAAAAAATCTGGAAACTTTTTCACCCGGAACCCGACCCCAATACCTAATCAAAATTTTAAAATACTCAATTTTTTTAATATATCTAAACCCGAAAACCAGAAATCTAAAAAATCCGGAAAACCCTAAACTGAAAAAAAAATTGAACCTAACCCGAACAGAAATTTTCAAAGAAACCCGAACAATTTCTATATCTCTATATATATCTCTATAAAATTATGTCTCAGATTTTCACCCAAACCCGAACTTGTCTATAAAAACCCGAAAATCCAAAAAGCATATTCTATTGATTTGGAATTATCGTTAGATTATGTTAAGTTTTCTTTTTTGCAGATTTTTAAGAGATGGAAAACGGAAGTTTTCTAAACCATCGGTTTATTTTAAGTTATTACTAGTTTTTTCACCCGCGCAAGCGCGGGTCTGTTTTATAGTTTGATTAACTTTTTTTTATTCATAAATTTTTGTCGTTAGTAGCACGTTCATGATGACTCTTAAATGGTGTTCAAATTTTTCGCCAATTGTTTATTTTTCTTCGATCTATTCTTCTTTATTTGGTTTTTTCTTCTTCTTTGCTTTCTTCTTCATCTTTACTCTCTTTTTATGTTTCTTCGTCCTCGTGGTTTCTTATTCCGTTATAGTAGAAAAACTAGAAATTAATAATGTCGGGCATAAGATATTTTATTAATTTAACGAAATATTAATTTATCGAAAGATTATTGGATCAAAAACTTAATTTGGGACCATATAATTTTGTTGATTTATCGAGTATTAATTTACAGAGTTTCTATTGTATTTAGTTTGTTTCTTCATCTTTGTTCATCTTTTGTTTATTTTTTGTTTTCGTTCTTTGATATTTTTGTCTTTACTTTTTTTTATTCTGTATTATTCTTTTGTTTTTTCTATGATTAGTTCAGACGGTTCGAAGTTATAGAGTTTTGCTACTTTTTTTCTAGATTATTCTTTGCTGGAATTTTTTAACCATTGTATCCTTTTAGAAATATTTTTTATGTAATCCTCTTTATGTAAAATAATATTTTCACTATTTGATACACTTAACCAAACTTAAAAATGTAAAGGATTCATAGAAATAAAATAAAGTTAGAAATATACAAATATATATTCACACATATATTGAACAATGTCTAACAATAATTCAATTTATGTGATCATAAATATATAGTTAAGCATAACTTTCAATTTCATATTCTTTGGTATCATTTGGTTTCTTGGTTTAGTCTTATATTATATGAGATTTTTTATTTATATTTTTGTTCTTTGTTATTTTTCGTCTTCGCTTTTCTTAATCTATATTTTTTTTTTTTGGCTTTTCTTGGTTCTTATTCTTCTATTTCTTCTATGGTTTATTTTTTTCATCGAAAATGCTAGGTTTCCCTATAGTTTGTTTATTCCAGATTCCTCTTCTTCTATGTATTGTTTGTTCTTCGCTTAAAATTCTCCAGGACTATATTTTTTGTAAAATATGTTTATTATTAACCTCTTTAATCTTAGGTAGAAACAAATTTTCACTATCTAGCTAAACCTTTAAAAAATAAAATGTATGTCTAACAAATTTAATCTAGATAAGCTAATATTATTGTAGATAAACTAATGCTACTATTTAGGTTGGATTTCTAGGAGTATGAAATTTATTTGAAGAGAAGTTAATTGACACATCGTTGTTCTTCATTTCCTTCTTTACTCACTCTTGTTTCTATGTTTTTTAATTTTATTTCTTGATTCTCTTCATTTTTTTCTACTTGATTTTTTTTTTCTTATTTGGTTTCATATTTATCTTCACTCATCTTCGCTTCGGCTCTTCTTCGTCTTTGCTTTTCTTTATTCCTCTCTCTTGTTCTTGTTTGGCTTCTGCTCTTCTTCGTCTTTACTCTTCTGTACCTTTCTTTGTATTCTTGTTTGGTTTTATTTCCTTCTTCACTTTCGTTTATATTTTTATTTATTCTTCTTTAATTTCTCCTACTTTGATTTCTTCTTTATTCTTATTTAGTTTTTTTTTTCATTTTCACTCATCTTTGCTTAAACTTTTTTATTTATTCCTCCTATGTGTTTTTTTTTCATATATTTGGTTCTTGTCTTAGCAATATAACTAATTTACATGACAACTTTTTTTTTGTTGTAAGTAGAAAATATTTTTTTATTTTATAAAATATTTAATTACTTGAAAAGAAATTGTGATTACATGAAGGTTTCTATAAAAAGGAAAATAATTACTTAATTTTAGTGATTATCTGGAATGATATTATTGGGCTGTTTAAAATCATATATATGTAATAAATAATTTCTTTATTTCTTACATATTTAAAAATTGTAAATTTTTTTAATCATGTATATCTTTATGTAGACCAATCAAATTTAAATAGTAAATTTTATATGATGATATGTAATGATATTATTGGTTATTTTCCAATTAAGAAACTTTCTTGAGATATAAAAAGTTGATTAAATTAATTTTTAGAAATATAATTTATTTCCTATGATGATGTCGACTGATACTATTGGTTATTTAAAATTGGAAACTTTATTAATATTGGAAAACGCTTACATGGACCAATAATATCGAGTTTTTAAATCCTATGTAGACTCTCAGAGGCTTATAGCCTCAACTTTAGGAATTGTGATGTTTTTAATTCAAATCTGGTTAGATAATGATTGTTGTCATATATCTTAGATTTTTTTAAAAAAATACATATTAATTTAGTTTATTTTTTTGTTGGTATTAAAAAGAAATATGTTGTAAAATCTTTAATGCAAAACATTTATAATATATTTAGATTAGGAAACTTTCTTGAAAATAAAAAGAAAATTACTAAATTTTATATGATGATGTGGAGTAATACTATTGGTTGTTTAAAATCTGGAAATTTTCCTAATTGTGTAGATACTTATGTGGACCAATAAAATTGGTTTCCTAAATCCTATGTGGACGCTCTTAGAAGCTTATAGCCTCAACTTTTATATAGTATAGATTCTTGTATTCGAACAATTTTTTTCATTTATTCTTCTATTCAAATAGATTTTTCTCTTATTCTTATATCCAAACAACTTTTGTTTTCATTTATTCATCTATCCAAATAGATGTTTTTCTAATTCTAGTATCCAAACTTTATAATGTACTTCTCAATTAATAATATAAAGATAAAGATATATAAGTAGTCCAAATAAAATTATTTTGCCGCGTTCAAATAACTATAGCCACCAACATTGGCACAACTTGGTCGTTCCTCTTTATTCCATCCTCCTCATTCTTTGTTTAAAAGAAAATAAAATACTGTATAGTTTGTAGTGCATGCAAACAAAAAAAATTAGCATCTGTTATGTGATCTAATAATATGTCAATACGTAACATATATACTATATAAGAACATACAGAAAATGCTTAGGAAATACTATTAATTATTACCTCACTTTCAATTTGCTTCTGTTGGTAGGCCGCAACTAATAATCTAATAGTATTATTTTATCGAAGTCAAAGAATCATCTAGAGCATTAACATCATTCATCACCATCGTCAAATGAAATTAAATGGACAAAACAAAACTAACCATTAATCGGATTCCATTTGAATATTTGATTGAATATAACAAAACAATTATCAATTAATTCGTGTATTGTTCCCCTACAGAATATATATTTGACCAATACCATCTTCTTCTTCATGCCCATCTCGTGTCCTCTCTCTCTCTCTCTAGCTCTTCCAACCTCAAACCAACACACAAAGAAGAGAGCTAGTTCTCATTTTCTTCTTTCTCTCCATCAATGGCAGCCTATGGAAGCTTTCATCGAATATTCGAGAACCAAAGACAAGACAAGACTCCAAAGTCTCTTCTTGATACTCTCTCCTCTTCGTCACCTTGGCACCCAATCAAAGGGCTCCACGTCACCGACCACGACGAAACGCCACCGTTCACAGAGATATTCGGTGAGCTCCATTTCAGGGAGAAAACCTCAGCCGAGAGCAGCAGCCTGCAGCTGTGTACGGAAGGTCTAGGGTCAGAGAGCTATTACGACTTGGAAGACGGCAAAGTCAACGTTAACGTCAACTGTAACGGTAACGGACAAGGTGATGTTGACGATGAGATCAAAGTGAAGGGTAAAGATAACGGAAGTAGCGATGAGGAGTTGGGACCACGGAGGAGAGAACGGAGAGAGTATCCTCCGGCGATGACGAGGATGAGCTTCAAGACGTATAGAGAAGAAGGTAGGCTTGTGTTGGAAGAAGTTAGGATTCCGAGGAGAGAGTTTCTTCGAGCGAGCCGCGAAGATGGTAGACTCAGGTTGAAGTTGGTTCAACCCGAGGACGAGGAAGACGACGAAGACGAGGAAGAGAACAAAAATAAACTGATCTGATGATTGGTAAGCTTCAGGATAATTTTGGTATCTGCTTTTTCGTAAGATAAATGTCAAATATATGACTGTAAAACCTTCATTAATTATGCGGGTTTTGTAGTTAATATAAAGTTTTTATCGCTTAATCATTTCTGAAGTGTTGTTACCAATTGGCAAAGAGATTTTCTTAAGAGGTTAGATTTGGTTTTTGTATTAAAGGAATCCTCGCTATGAAGACAAACAGAGAAACACATGTTTATATGACATGACGCATGGAGACTAATTTTAGAAACTATTAACAAAATATAAAAATAACTAACAAATTTCAGAGTACTACACTTGTAACATATCGTTTATCAGCTTATAACATTTGTACATTGAAACACAAGTAGACATTTTAAAATTAAATTTCTGCTGCCATCGCCGAACAACGCCTTGCAAGTATTTAAGTATTTACACATTTCAAAGCTATTCATGACGATGATAAGTTAGTAACCAAATGTAAACGTGGGAACCGGAATAAACATTTTGTAGGCCAAGTATGGGCCTGACAGTGTAAAGCCCAAATGCTACCGTATCAGACCCAGCACACGTGAGTGATGTGATGAGTTTATAAATCATTGAGGTGCATCATATATGTCATATCTATTCAGTGGCGAATCTAGAACTTTTATTTACTGGGGTCATGCTGAGATTTAACACATATTTTCACGGGGTCAATGACATTTTTCTTACCATTTCTTTGTAAAAAACAAACAAATTTAGACTAATATTTAACTTTTACAAAAAAAATAGGGTGTCAATTGACCCCTTATAGCTTCATTCGCCACTGTATCTATTGCATCATCATGATGAATTGTTTCAAGTTTCTTCGACGAACGTGAATGTTAAACATTATTCAAACCCTGACGATCGTGAATGTTAAACTGTCTGACTGGTTTAACCGCTGCGGTTGCGGTTGCGGGTGCGGGAGTTTGCGGAAGCGGGCGGTTGTGATTAGTAGCGTTATTAAGCGGTTTGTACGACTGGCATAACAATTGAAAATGGATGCGTTTGCGGGATACTTATGACTGGTTCACTTGCGGATGCAATAGCGGTTAAACAATAAATTAATAATATAAACACATTATATAATTATAAAAATATCAAAACTATATTATAATGAAAATTTTAAATTTATGGTTCAACATAATTAAAAATAATTTTTTTATAAAGAATAATATGTGTATAATACTTACGTCTATCTTTTAATTTCTATAATTTAAATAAAAATGTGATTTTATTTTCAAAATATATATTTAATGTGAAAATTAAATTTATTTTACAATTTTATTTATTAGATATATATGTATTAGTATGAAAAGAATATTTATGAAGAGAATTTTGATTTGTAGAACTTATAAATATATAAGTATTATATGATTTTAATGAATATTGACTAAAAGTACTAATTTTTTATTTATATTGTGATTTTATTATCCAAATCTTATTTTTTAATAAATATTATTATTTATTTTCGGATTTTATATAAGTTTGTGTTTTTTTTTTTTTTAATTATCCACCCGCAACCGCAAACGCTTGCGGAAAGGAGCTTTTGATTTTCAGCGATATAGAGCGGTACAGAGTGGTATAGAGCGATTCAAAGCGGTTGTCGTGATTGTTATAAACCGCCGAAAACCGCTACGAACCGCAAACGCTGCGTTTGCGGGTGGTAGCGGGAGAACCAATCAAGCCCTTACTCAAACTCAACAAAAAATAAGTTTAAATATTAGTCTGGTGACTTGCTGCTCAAGTGTTCATAACCTTTTTTCTTGTCCTAGTGCTCACACAAGTACACAACTTGTTAGACATTTTTTATGCAAATTCGTAATTCGAAACCCCACGCGCACGCAATTAGTATGGAAAGTTTTTGACTAATTAAATAGGGCCCCAATCAAATACACCGGAAAGCTCTCTTCCTTGAATTTTTTTGTTTTTGTATTTTATTAGCACCGGAACGGAGAGGACAAGAAAGTCCCGCACCGTTAAGGTCTAATCAACGCTCGTCAATGGATACATGTTAACTAAAGATTTTATTTGGATACAGAGTATATACGTGTTATCTGTCGTTTTTGTTAAACAATGTGTTCACACATCTATGTCTATAGTCTATATACACATTGACACACACAAATATATACTGAAATACATACATATGATTTGGCGACTGGAAAAAAATGAATGTTGAGTACTCAAGTTCTCTCACAAATCCAATAATTTACATAACAGAAGTATAGGATCAAATTTCATAGTCTATAGCTTTTAAATGAAAATCAGTCGACGGTTAATGGGTGTATGTATTAGAGCGGACCGAGTCTCAAATCTATGCTACCCACAAGAAAACACACTCTAAAATTTAGTAAATGACAATAAGCAATAAATACACGTGCATTCATTGTATCTATCTGTTTCCATCAATTTGTTTTTCTTTCTTGACTTGCCTAAAATTAAAGGATTATACTAGTAGAAGTCTACGAAACGTCGGCACTTTCACTACTAAGAGTGAAAACTTCGTTAGGGAAACACCGACCACCACCGTTTTTTAGAGAGAAAAAACATGTTTCTAGCATTTTTACTGTATTGAATATTAACCCTAAAAAGTACGACGAATAATTCTAATATTGGCAAGACAAGTTGAAAGATAGAGAAAAATCTAAACGAAAAGAGACTGAAACTTGACGCCAAGACGAGGGCTTGACTCTTTCAATGGGGTACGTGGCTCGTAAACAGTAAACACATAATGAAAGAAAGCAATCACACATAAACATCCTTGTCTTTTCCCAATATCCGTACAAAAAAGGTAATTAATAAATAAATAAAAACGAAAAACGCGTTTGAACTTTTCTCATTTCACTCGGAGAAACTAATCTCTACTTCAATAGCTTATTTAATGCCCATGATCATCTATAAGCTTAAGAAGTGAATCGAGCTGTCAACAGTTAAGACTTAAGAGGTTTGCTTTTGTAGCAAATCTCTTTATCACACAAAACAAAACAAAAAATGGAGGAGGAGCTTACCGTTGGGTTTCGCTTCTATCCCACGGAAGACGAACTGGTTGCGTTCTACCTACGAAACCAGCTCGAAGGAAGGAGTGATGACTCAATGCACCGTGTCATTCCCGTCCTAGACGTCTTTGAGGTCGAACCTAGCCATCTTCCAAGTACGTTACCATGACCAAAAAAATTCGCTTTAACCTCCATTATGGCATAAATAAATCATCATCATATTAATTACTTGTGTCATTATAGGGCTTAATACAATATATTTGGTTTTATAGCACGTACACGTCTTCATTTTGGTGTTGTATGTGTGTCCAATATGGATTTCGGTTCGGACTATTCGGTTTCTTTTAGATAGTAACCAAAGTGGTTGTAGATTGGTTAACTCGTTTTAATTTATTCAGATGGAACTCTACTGCGAAAATCAAGTGGTAGTGGACAAATAGTTTTATCTAGCTTGATGAAGATATGTTTTGTTGATCCAAACTATTGATCAAATTCATCCATATATGAGATTATCTTACTCCACCACTTGACAACCGTATGCAAATCTGTATTTCTATGGGTCTTGGAGATTAAATTCCCATAATAAAAAAAATCCCCTATGGTTTAATACGAATAAAACAAAGACTAATTTCTATCGTAATTATGTTAGTGTATGGAACTTACAAATCCTCTATTTGGTGGACTTTTTTCTTTTCTTTTCCAGATACTGCAGGAGTGAGATGTCGAGGAGACGCAGAACAATGGTTTTTCTTTGTGCCAAGACAAGAACGCGAAGCAAGAGGAGGAAGACCGAGCAGAATCACTGGTTCAGGATACTGGAAAGCGACTGGATCACCTGGTCCAGTCTTTTCCAAAGATAACCGAATGATTGGAGTCAAGAAGACTATGGTTTTCTACACCGGTAAAGCACCAACAGGAAGAAAAACAAAATGGAAGATGAACGAGTACAAAGCCGTTGACGAAACAGTCAACGTTTCCACAATCCCTAAGGTTGTATATATATATATAATGTGTTCTTGATCATATATATAGCTAAAAAAAATATTTTTGAATCTACTAAGAATATTTTTTTTTTCTTGAAAATGTAGCTGAGACATGAATTCAGTTTATGTCGTGTCTACGTAACATCAGGAAGCTCGAGAGCTTTTGATAGACGTCCCGTGGGAGTTATTCAGACAGAGAGAATGCTTACAAGTGATGTTGCAGTAGCTGAGACATCAGTTCGTGTAGAAAACTCACCAGAAACTTCGATTTCAGGTGGAGAACATGTTGATCTCTCTGTGAGTAGAGAGATGGTTGATGGTTTAACAGAATTCTGGGGATGGGAGCAGCTGAATTGGCCTTGAAGCTAGATTCATAATCAAACAAATTAATAAAGTTATTACATTATTGCGTAGTTGAATTTATAGGCAGAAAGATTCTTTTTGTTTTCCTTGTAACGTGAGAATTTGAGCAGGAATAAATGACAAAAGGTGAAATGATAAGATGTTGTTTTTATTAACTTCTTCGGGTTCGAATCCTAGAGAAATGAGAGTCGTCGAGACAAATGTCAAAACCTTGAAGAGGAGAAAAAAGTGAGACAAAATACAAACCAAGGATAAAAATTCCAAAATAATATTATATGATAACTTATCATGGGGGAATTGCCAAATATAGTTCACAATTTGATTTGAAATGCAAAAGTAGACCCTATATTGCATTTAGAGCAAAACTAGTCTTCTGGGCATGTAGAATTACAAACCAAGCCCTTATGAACAAAGAAAAAAACGCTAGCCACAATGTCTGTTTTACCCTGTTTAAAGTCTATTCATGAAGTCTACTGCTATTAGACTTCATCATAAAGTCTAATTCCTAAACACAACTCAAATTTAATTTATAAAATTATAGGAAATTGTTTTGATCAAAAAAATTATACATAAATAAGATTAGAACATTTGGCATCCAAGAAAAATAAAATTGCATAAAAATGAATCCATTTAACTCAAGTAAGAGAAATTATGTTTGTAACCTATAAACTGCGTGAAGTCTACTCCAGAAGTCTAATATATAGCAAAATCGTAAATTTAAAGTTTAAAATCTATTAAAAATATTTTGATCAAGGTATTTACACATAATTTTAACAAATACAAGTACTATCCATGAAAAATAAATTTGCATATAAATTGATCAATTTAAATCGGTAATACAAATTATGGTATAATCCAAAAAATATTGTGTGAAGTCTACTGAAGAAGTCTACCAAATAACAAAATCTTAAATTTAAAGTTTAAAATCTATAAAAAATATTTAGGCTTCAAAAATTATAAATAATCTAAATGAAGACAAATCCTATCTATGTAAAATAAATTTTCATGGAAATTAATCAATTTATAAGTTTCATGAGTAAACCAATCATCAAGCTTAGTGTTTGAGGTACAATGTATAGGGTTTATGAGTGTGATTGTTAGGGTTTAGAGAATTTTGACATAAAAAAATTGTTTGGTTTGTTTAACGATTTAAAGCTAATGAATTATAGTTTATAATGTAAATTGTGATTATGTATACATAATTGATGTTTTCTATAGCTTTGATCTCAAAAATTCGATTTAGGGTTTAGGGTAAGTCAGACTTCATCGGTAGACTTCATTGTTAGACTTTGCTTTGAAGTCTATTATTCAAAAAAACGAAAAAAATGCGGGAAACGAAATTTTTAGGGCGGGAAACGAAATATTGTCTAATATTTCAAAAGTCTACCTAGTATTAGACTTCCTGATAGACTTCATGGTAGACTTCACCTAAAGTCTACCTAGTATTGTCTAATATTCAATTTTGTCAAAAAACCGTTTTCACGAAATATACAACGAATAAGCATGTCAAACTAACACACAAGCAACTAAATAGACTAACTCAACTAATTGTTCAAGAAAATCTTAAAAATTCCTTATATATTTTCCAAAAAGCGTTTTCAAATAAAACATTAAATATTAGACTTCACAAGGAAGTCTATTTGATAGCTTCCATGTGAAGTCTAATAGACTAGTTTTGCAATTTTTCAAATACGAATTTTTTATGAAGTCTACACGTGAAGTCTATAAAAAAAAAGACTAGTTTTGCAATTGACCAAGCTTTGACTTTTTCAAATAGACTTCATTATCGTGAATAGGCTTCAAAATGAAGTCTAACTAGGTAATGAAGTCTATCGGTGAAGTCTACAACAAAAATTAGACTTCATAGAGATTAGTTTTGCAATTGATTGAAATTTTGGAATTTAGAAAATAGACTTCATCGTGAAGTCTAATCCGAAAACGTTGACTATTAGACTTCTTGGTGAAGTCTATCCAGAATTAGTCTTCGGAATGAAGTCTAACCCTTTATTAGACTTCGCAATGAAGTCTAATGAAGTATTAGACTTTGAATGAAGCCTAATACAACATTAATAGACTTCAGGGGTAGACTTCACGATAAAACAAACTACTTAAAGTTTGCAAAACTAGTCTTTTATTCAAGCAGACTTCACAGATAGATTTCCCATAAAAAGTTTTTATTCTGTCAATTGCAAAACTAATCTTTTTCGAGTAGACTTCATTCTGAAGCCTACGCCAATGAAGTCTACTCTCTAAATTTTTTGAAAAATCAATTGCAAAACTAGTTTGTTAGACTTCGCTATGAAGTCTAAGGACCTGCAAAAATATGAGATTCACTCAGATCTACCGGAAATTTACCTTGCCGTGATCTTATGTTTCGTTGACGGCCTATAACTTCGATTTAGAGCTTTAGCAAACTTCCCCAACCGTTATAATGATCTCCCACACCAAAAATGGGAAGATCTAAGAACATAAACTTTGAAAAGATGAAAATGTGTATTCTTGGGGTGAAAATTGAGAAGAAATTGACCAATACAAGTTTATGAGATGATATAATGAGTTTGTATATATGTTTGAAGAGTACATCGTGCATTGAAAGCTTGATTTCGGTTGAGAATGGTTGTTGGACGAATTGATGGTGATGGCATTTTCGTGAATAAATGAAGAAGATGAGGTTTCTTTGGACATTTTTTTCGCGTGTTAGACTTCACGGTTAGACTTCAAGCACGAAAGTAATGGCATTTTCGTTATTATCACAAATATAGTAAGGATAAAGAAGGAAGAAAAAAGAGTATTACTTTTGATTTGACTCCAATTTGTGTACTACTTTTGAAAACAGCCCATAACTTAATATGGTTTGTTAGGCAGAAAGTAGGAAAGTGATTAACTTGAGCATGTTTCGATTACCAAAGAAAAACTTTAAATAAACGAAAAGAGCCAAAAGGACAAAGTTGTTTTGTGATATGGAGAAAGTGATATGCATATGCGTCACCACTATAAAGGTGGCGAAGACTAAAAGGGTTTTTGGTCGTCGATAGTTTGTCACTACATCAAATTGTAAGTACAAGTTTTCTTTCTATAAGCTTCGGTTGTCAGAATTTGTACAATTCAACATAGTTAAATTATCTACGATAAGGACATTAACTATCAACTATGGATCCGGTAAAATTCAAGAACCTGCTTCAACTGCTTCTGTCCGTGCGATGGGCTCACGAACAATACAATAACGATCCCATTTTGTGACGAACAATCCCCACGAAAGTAGCCAAAAGGAAAATGTTGTTTTGTAATACAGAGAAAGAGAGTGTACTTAACCACCATCAAGGTGAAAGTGGACGAAGACTTACAGTAAAAGGTTTTGGTCGTCGATTGCTTTGTCCTTGTCCAACAACCAACACACTAAAAAACATAGTTCATTAATGCAAAAATACAATTCTCATTTTTCTTAGCTCAGAATTTATACAGTTCAACATACTAATAAAATCAACATATGATTATGACATTATCCATGGAACCAGTTACTCAATACCATTCTCAATTTTCTATAATCTGAGATTACAAACTATTATCCATTAAATTGGTAAAAAATGATTGCTTCAACTGTTTAAGGTTTAAATTGTTAGAAACTAAAAGTTAAAACCATATGTATGTGACTATTAAAATCATAAATTTGAGGGTTGTAGACTTTTAGTGTATTATCATCTCGTCTATGTAACTCCCATTAACCATAAAATCTAATGCATATTACACATAAGTAATTCCATGATTTATTTATTATACCTTGATATATATAATCTCAGCTACAATGATACTTGGTTATTACAAGAAACTCTTAAAATCAAAGAACAAGAGCAAACTCAAGGAATTACCTGCCATTTCTTTTCTTTACCTCATTTCTACGGCAAAAGTGACTAGACGTAGGTGTCTAGCTAAGCGACAAAACCCACAATTAACCCATTCTTCCCCACCACTGTCATAGAATTCCAAGAAATCATATTTTTTCTCATGTGTCTACAAAACCGTCTCCAGTCAGCAATACATCATGATTGGGATACACTTGATACTTGCTGCTCACAAGATCCATGGATGACAGTGTAAGATTTTTTCCCTGAAAAAAACTTATTAATATTATCAAGTATTTTTTAAACAAACATAAAACGATTGATTAAAGAATTTATTAAGATCACTTACTTTAGTCTTATCATCATCGAAGTCTGGAAAGATAAATATACCAACGGCCAATGGAGATTGTGTGAGCAAGTGCAAGATCAACTCTTCAAAATTTCTCAGAATCAGAGTCATCTTCAGGGCGGTAATGTATTTTATTGTCGTCAACATAACCCTCACGGAGCATAAAATCAGTTGCACAACTCATCAAACTAAGAAAAGAAAAACATTGAATAATATTGTAGGAACATTTGGAATAGATTTGTGTTTATTTCGTGCATCAATTAGTAATTGGATTCATATAAGAGTTGGAACATCTCTCTGGACTCTCTATAGAATTGTGCTATGAAAATGATAAGCTTTTGTATGTATTAATCTACAAAAGGGAAAATGAATATGATAAGCTCAAGATAGTGATTTTGATTTTGATTGTGATTGCCTAGGCTCTTCAATTCTTAAATCATATTTACCTCTCTCTCCTCATTATTTGGATCATTTTCATCACCATCCACTATAATAATATTCAACAAATAGTTTAAACTATAACTCTATTCATCTACAAAAATCAAGAGATTCCTCAAACTTTTAAAAATTTTAGTTTGACATTTGGAGCTAACCTAAGAAATGTAACATGGCCGTCTTTATCAACATTCACCGTAAAAGGCTCACATGCCTTAATGTTGCTCTTAATAACATTTACAAACATACAATCTACATGAGCGAGTCGCACAAAGCACAAACCACTTGAACTTTGTAAAACATGATAATATTTGTGATTCTTCTTACAATCCAAACATATGGAAAAGAGATCCAACTGAATCAGAGCAAACCAAAAACAAAAGAGAGTACTCTTACTAAAAAATATTCCATTAACTTGGTTAAAATGACAGCTTCAATTGTTTACGAGGGTTTAAAATGTAAGAAAACAATATGTAGGTGACTATTGAAAACGTAAATAATAAATAAGGGGTTTTATTCCAAACGTTGGCTCCTCTTTGACATAACTTCGTAAATTTTAAGACTCTGCTCGGATTCGCAAGCAAAGTCGACGTTGAACAGCTTTTCGCCGGCGATCCACACTACCTGACGTCTAATCTCCGGATCTCCGATGGCGATTATCTACGCGGTTGTGGCGAGGGGTACGGTGGTATTAGCGGAATTCAGCGCCGTCACGGGAAACTCAGGCGCCGTTGTGCGGCGGATCCTCGAGAAGCTTTCGCCGGAAACCGCCGACGAAAGGCTTTGCTTCTCCCAAGACCGTTACATCTTCCATATTCTCAGATCTGATGGGCTTACCTTTCTCTGTATGGCCAACGACACCTTTGGAAGTAAGCCTCTTTTTTTTCCCCTTTTCTCACTTTCTCCGAATCGTAATCTATATGCCCTCTTTAGTGGAATTAAGGTCTAAAATCCAGAAATTCATCATCGTCTGATGAAACGTGCCATTGATTTTGAAGTCAATTGTAACTGATTTTTGATTTTATGTTTTTGCCGATTGGTGATTGAATCTGTAGGGAGGATTCCATTTTCGTATTTGGAAGATATTCATATGAGGTTCATGAAGAACTACGGGAAAGTGGCACATTCTGCTCCAGCTTACGCGATGAATGACGAATTCTCAAGGGTTTTGCATCAGCAGATGGAGTTCTTCTCTAGTAATACGAGTGTTGATACTCTCAATCGTGTTAGGATCAGGTAGAAGACGGCGTGAAGAAAAGGTGTGCAATGTGAAATAGTTTTTATGATTGTATACATCTGTGTAGTCTAGAGTTTTGTCAAATATTTGCGAGTTTAAGATCATTTGCATAGATAGACTATACGTTTAGTCATACAAGTTGAAGAACCTTTAGAGTCTCTCGTGCAAAGGATTGTGCTTTCATAGTGGGCTTGACGATTTGAGTTCACAAGATTTGTGTTTTCACTATTCATTTCATTAGTGGTATTCTCTGCATCGTTTCATTTGTGTTTAAGTGTATACATAGAGATGTCGATCCAGGTTCATGGCTTGGAGTGAACATCTAGAGACATAATGAGAGAGTATTTTAATAGAGATGTGGATTGAGCTTCTTGTTGAATAATTAACTCTTTAGTTCTCATTTTAATTGCCATAATTACACTTGTGGAAGTAGAAGACTGACTAGTTTCCACTTCCTAGCAAACACATCTTCTCACAAGGTCGCTCCGCGAGTCCTCTTTGGTTTCTTGAATAAACCAACCGCTAGCTTTTGTAAGCGCTCGCTCGACTTATTTATGTTAACTCCTTTGTAATTTTCTTTTTTGGGCTTCTTCATTCATTGCATGTACAGATCATAAGCAAATAACGCTTAAATCTTAGGATGGTCTAGTCCCCATTGCTCATCTGTCAACTATTTAGATTCTCTTTTAATTTCTTTTGGCTTTGGTGATAATGAGAAACGCTTATCTACTAGGTTCCATTGCGTTTCAACTTGCCAATCACAGTATAGGAAAAGTTTCATATCTCTGTTTTTTGGCTTGTAATGTTACACACCTGTTCATTAGATACTTTTGTGTTTGACAGGGTAATGTTGACGTGCTTGATAGTTCTCGTGCTGTACATACTGATCGCATTTTTCTGCGGAGGTATCACTTTACCGTCCTGTAGATCTTAATCTCAGAGGCCCTATCGAAGGTAATGATACATCTACAGACGATTCTGGTGCATATAACCGGAAGCAGACCACTGTTTTTTTTTTTTTTGTAAATTAATCCAGTCGCATCCTTTCAATATTCAGTCTTGGTTTTTGTCATGAAAATGACAGTGCGTTTGAGGTTACATGTCATGGCCTTCCTCGCTTATGTAACTTTTGTAAATGTCAAAAATGATGCAGAGTTTCATAAAACACTTGACCTTGTCTCGTTGAGTTTTGGTGACTTGAGTCAGTTTGTTCTCTGCATTTCCAAAACATTATCCCCTTTGTCTCTATGAATCTTTCATCTGTCAATGCACATCACATATTCGTTTGTTTATGTTGTTAAGATGCCTTCGCTCACTTTTTCATTGTGGTTTCACCACATTTCTAGTTTAGTATTTTCTTCTCTCTTCATCCTCTGTCTCTGTTTTCAGCAATTTTATTCGTCACGATTATGTCGTCAATAGGTTGCAAGTTTCTGATACGACAGTTGTAGAACCATTTGAGCGGTTATTAGAATTATGAGTATGCCACCACAGGCTATTAACGAACGATCAAATTCGAAAAATCACTTAATCCGTATAAAACCAATTTACTATTGAACTGGTGAAATGCTAAGTCAAACACCTGGAGATCTTCACTAGTAGCTGTAAAATGTATCGGTTTATGCTTCTGACCATGAGCTGGTCTCTCCTCGAGTACAACCTTTGCAAAGTGGCAAACCTTTCTTTTCCATGTAAAACTTAAAATTTATCTGGCATCTCCAGCAATAAATCATGAGTTCTTATAGATGTTACGCAAAACACACAATAATAACTTCACAAAAAAAAATGTCGAATTCCTAAGAGATACGGAGTGGTCGAAGAAGCTTCTTGCTTCGGAGGAGTGTCTACGTGTGTGTGAGCGAGGGGAACAAAAAGCATAGGATCAAGCTTTTGACAATCAAATTCAACATATTGGGCCTTAGAAACGGCCCATAGGAACACACACGAAACTTTGCAAAGAGAGACGTGTATTTTCTGATATATTTTGTTTTTGCAGTTTCAGTTTAGACTTTTTAGTCACCTTGTTTACCAATTTCGCGAACCGAGAAAAGGAAAAAACACAATCTGTCCTCTGATTCTGACCTTTCGCTAGTTGTCAAGCACGACGAAACGTATTCTACAGAGTTGAATTGAATCCTCAATCTCAGCGTGGTTCCTCTAGGGTTTTGATCTGATCGGGTAAAATTCATCAGACCGGCATGAGGCCAATCCTGTTGCCGGATCCACCCAGTCTATCTACCGGCGTACCTGAGATTTTCGAGCAAGGCGGAGCTCAGAACGTCGTCAGACGCGCCGTCGTCATTGGAAACGGTTTCCCTGGCTCCGATAATCAGTGTATCGGTCTCGTTCGTGCGCTCGGCTTGGCCGAAAATCCCCTGCTCTACGTGAGTTTTGATCCATTTCTAGTTTCAGTTTTACCATTTCCAACTTTTTTTTCTTCCGACTTATCCCGTTGATTGCTGATTGCTTGGGTTCTCTAAGGCCAATGGATTATTTTTTTCTTACTGTGTTTTTCGTCATGTATTCTACATTTCTAGCTTGCTAAGTGTAAATAGGAGTGGAGCTTCATGAATCTTAGTAGTAATTCTGTAGCATGTATTGTGCAATTACGGTTACTGTAGAAGAAACGATGTTGAAGTAACTTATTTGCTAGTCTGAATGTTGAGAATTGAGAAGATAAGCAACTTTTGGAATTTCCTGGAAACTAGGCGACATAAATTTACCAATATCTTAGGTTCGCCAAATTTATTCAACGTAAAGTTTGGTTCACTGATATTGTCTCTCTTGATCTTTTTATCGTGGAAGCGAGTTACAAGGCCTAAAGGAGGGATAAATGAGTGGCTACACTGGCTCCCAGTTGGTTTTCACAAGAAGCTGGAATTTATCCTCAGGCATATATATCTCTACTCCAGATTGATGCTTAGGTCCAAACAAAGTAAATACATCGCATCTGTGCCCTCAGAGAATGGTGGCGGTGTAGGCTTGTCGTCTATTCTAGAGGCTGACGTGAAGAAGATTGTGACCATGGCTCGTGGGACATATGAAAAGTATGTAATCTTTCTGAAAGTTTGTGTTAACTTTGGATTTTTTTTGTGGCGCTTGTTCATTTGGACATATTGCGTAATTATGAGTTGCATTTGGGAAGCTAAAGTTGAAGCCGGAATGTATACCTTTCTACTGTATCTAGCTAAACGATTTTATTTCCGTTTTCACAGGGATGGCCCGTTGGTAGTGATTGCATGTGGGAGAGATACAGTTTCTATTGCTAGCTCGATAAGGCGTCTGGCTTCTGAAAACGTCTTCGTTGTTCAGGTTTATTATAAGATTTAACCTGCTTTTTATGTTTCCTTTGACTCTGAAGGTTTAGCTTTGAAAAATGATTCGAGATCGAATTTATTTGGTATCTAGATGGAAGAATTTTGTTACTGAATCCTGTGATCATCTAAAAGCAGAGAGTTTTGTTCCTGGATTCTCTGAATTCTAATAATTGATCTTTGGTCTTCTTTTTTGTAGATACAACATCCCAGATCACACTTAAATAGGTTTGACATGGTGATCACGCCTCGTCACGACTACTATCCTCTAACCCCCGAAGCGCAAGAGCAGATTCCTAGATTTCTGCGTAGGTGGATAACTCCTCGTGAACCACCTCAGGATCACGTTGTAAGTGCCATGGTTTTTACTCGATTCTCTTCCATATGATATTACTGTAGATGAACCTTGTTTTGGAGACATGTGTAATTACCATGAATGGGGACGCCTATTTTTCAGGTCTTGACTACTGGAGCTCTACACCAGATCGATTATGCGTCACTCCGTAAATCAGCTAGTGCCTGGCATGATGAGTTTGCTGCTCTTCCAAAGCCCTTAGTTGTGGTTAACATTGGCTGGCCTAGACGTATGTTCTGTTACTCTTTTTAAGTTACTAGACGTCATTCTATCATTTCCAGCATTAACACATGACCACCTGTTTCTTTCGGATACTGAAGCTTAGACCTTATTTCCATAGTTTTTTTCCTCTTTCTGAACAGGTAACTGTCGGTATGGAGCAGACATCGCAAAGCAGCTAACAGACGCCCTTCTTAGTGTCCTTGCCACCTGTGGAAGTGTCAGAATTGCTCTCTCATACAAAACCCCTGAAAAGGTAACCTACACGTTTTTTCTTTTTCTCAGAATAGTTATAGCTGATGTTCTTGAGTTTCACCTGTTTTTTTTAATCATACAAGCAGGTTTCAAGAGTAATTATCAAAGAACTAGGAGATAACCCAAAAGTTTTTATTTGGAACGGCGAAGGTACTGACTACTGACGATCAACAACAAAGTTTTGTGCACAATTACAATGCAATAACGGAGTTTCTGACAGTTGTTTTAAAATGCTAAATTCAGAACCAAATCCTTACATGGGACATTTAGCGTGGGGTGATGCCTTTGTAGTGACAGCAGATTCTGTCAGTCTCATAAGCGAAGCCTGTAGCACCGGGTAACATACTGAGATAACACCCTTTCAATGTTTTCATTCTTTCCTACAAATTAAACTATAATCTGAGTAATCCTTGCTTGCTACAGGAAACCAGTGTACGTAGTTGGAGCCGATCACTGTAAATGGAAGATTGCAGATTTCCACAAGTCTTTGAGGGAGCGAGGAGTCATCCGCTCGTTTGCGGGTTTCGAAGATGTAAGTATCTTTACATTATAGAGCTATCGTTTCCCCTTTTTCTCCATGTCTTGTTGATGATCCTCTTTGAACTGGTTTGGTTCTAATTGGTTTTATAGATGTCGGAAAGTTGGAGTTATCCGCCATTGAATGACACAGCAGAGGCAGCTACGAGAGTACGGGCTGCATTAGCTGCACGTGGATGGAGTATACGCTCTTGAAAATACTATACTACACTCGCTTTGTTGTAACTTTGCGGAATCACATTTATCGGAAGCTGAGGAAAAGAGAAGTTTAAAGACAATCGGATGTTGTGCAGAAAGAAAGAAAAGATGAAGATAACCACATTTAAAAGGGTTTGTTTATTAACATTACTTGTGTGCCCTAAATTTTTGCTGATATTCCAAATTGCTTCTTCTCCATTGGGTTGGCCTTTGTGATATGAAGAGGATGAAAAGTTATTTTGTGGTGAAATTTGAATGTGGAATGAAAGAAAAATGTTCGCACGCCCTTGTTTTCAAATATTGCTCTCACATGTTCGATAGTTTCGTTTTTCCTGTATTTTCCCTCAATAAGTATAAATATGATACAAAATTGAGATATTTAAAAGTAAAGTTACAAGGGGAACTACAAATTTACAAGGAGACGACGTTGAAGAAGAAGAAACGGTTTCTCTGAGAATCCAGTTATATTCCCCGTTTTAGTCAGATATCCTCCGTACAACATTGTCTACATCATTAGGCTCAGCTATAAGACTTAGCAGATGAAACCAGTTTGTGTTTCCCTCAGAGATCATCATGAACCAAATATTTCACAAAGCGTCTTAGCTCCGAAGAAGGTCAAAGATCGTCTGGGAAGATGAGCTGAAGATCTTGGTTGTCTCTGTACACTTGAACCAGAGCTGCGGCTTTGTATACAAACAAACCAACCATCGCTGGAACTATCTGCAAGGCACAACATTGCAGTGAATAAGCAAAAAAAGAAGTAGCAAGTAACCAAAAATAAGAACTTTGTAGAAACACACAGCTGAAAGAATCCAGAAGGACAAAATACTAATATGGAGATGGGGTATAGCTTTAGAGTAGCTACCTGAAAGTCGAACAAGTCATTCTGGAGATACTTGTGAGAGAGCACCCAAAACGCATAAATTGCAGCTGGAATCACTAGACGTGGGGAAGACAGAGCCATGCCACTTCCCCTGATCGTCCTCTCTACAAAGTCTTCAAGGTCTTCACTTCTGATCCCGATTCTGAGTTATTCAGACAATAACAAAAGAAGCAAGTTAAGAGAGAAAGTGACCAGGCTTATCAGACAAAAGCTTTTTGATGAGTAGCAGTATTTACTTTTTAGTCTTCTTTTTCAGGAAGATATTAGGAACAGCTTCACGTGTAACACCATCAGCATATCCATACAAAAGCTGAAGGTACAAGCAACTGCACTGGAAAGCAGATTCGTTAGGAATATGCGAGTGCACAACTTATATATCACAACAAGGTCTGTTTTTCTACAACCATTTAAACAGAGAACTAACCTGAAAACAACTCCAACTGCATAACTGACGGCAGCCTGTTTTTATAAAACAATATTTCATCTCCATGAAGAATGCTTAATCGTGTAATTGACATTATTATAAAATAAAAGCTTAAGCTTTACCTGAGGTGATAAAGCTAGTAAGCAATAACCGCTGCAACCGGTTCCGATTACAATTGACAGGTACATGAGTTCACGCTTCAGCTTCATAAGAGACACAAAAGAAATTCATTCAAATGGGACTTGTATAATCATACTGCTTTGAATGGTACACTAATCAAAAGAAACATACTGAAAGGAATAATCATACTGCTTCGTATTTCAGAAAGTTGAGCTTCTTCCTTCGCTCGCTGTCATCTCGTAATGCCTGCGATCATGTGGAAGTAGATCATAACACAGCCTGCTATTGAAACGAAGACAGAGAGCAACAAGAGATGACACACACCTTAGCTAGAGCTTTCTTATTCATGGGAGCTGAATCACTTTGCCATCCAATCCATTCTTGAGTCGGTTTGAGTTTCAAGAAACCGCTTTCATCATCATCATCATCTCTACCAGCAATCAAGCTCTCCTCCTGCATATTGGATATAAAGACATTACATAAAGCAGCTATACCGATTCCAAGTGAGATTTCACAAACTGTTTGATCAAACAAGCACTAAATTTCATATAAGTGTATATTTTTACCTGATTATCAAGTTCAACAGTTGAAGAGGCTCCATTCGAATTAAGATCAATGGATTCGAGATTTTCCCTCAACCAGAGCCTATCAGAAACTTTGGAAATGAAATCTCCATTTTCTTCTCTGTCTTTCAGGAACATTTGCAGCACATCCTCCTCCACTAGCTCACTCACTGAAAAACCAGCGAACAACAAAAAGAAGATGAAATTTTGACAGAGCAAAGGAAGAAGAAGAAAATGAATAAAACCATTGGAGGATGAAGAATCATAAAAGTTCCAGAACGAGAAGAATATATTGTCACCAGAGCGAGAAGCGGCCTTAAAGCGTGTGGGATTCCTGTTCGTCGGTTTCAGAGAGAGGTACGGCTGAGAAAGTCTCGCGTGCGGAGGATGAATGGCTCCACCGGAAAACCACGCAGCGGCGGGAATCGAGAGAGACTCCATTTGCGAGAGTGCGACGGCCTCTGGTGGTTCCAGAAGAAGTAGCAGCAGCAAAGCTTATCCGACTTTGATGGAATTAAATGAAAGTTACAAAAAGAACCTTTTATTATTTGTATAGTTTTAGTTCCACCCCTTTAATTTGGTTTTGTGATCTTGAGTCCTGCCTATTCTTTCAGTCACAAAACCTTTAATTTGGTTCCAAGTTCTAACTAATGTTCATTTTCCATCCTTTCCAAAAAAAAAGAAGCAAATACTGTACGGACCCAAACACCACGACTATAATCTATGTATATAGTCTTCAAATTTGATCATATCTTCAAATTTTATTATATTTTTAAATGTTTAACTGTAATATCCCTTACCATAACGTATTAATCTCCCATGTAGATTATCATAATTGCACTTCGCTTCCTCAACTTGTTCCACAACCAAGTTGGTTTACCATGTAGACTTGTATTTTCATTATCATATTTAGCTAACATCACGGTTGCGATTCGTGAGATGTTCAATTCTTTAATCGAATCTAGAAAATTCTTGTCTTAAATAGTCACCAAAATGTGACTAAACTCATTGGAAGAGTCAGGAGCTTTCATGAACATTTTCTATAAAGCATATTTGTCATCTATGTCAACCTTTCTCATACCAAATTCCGAGAGAAACAACAACGAAAATTAGACTATCGTTTTCAATAACATGTTAGATACATACGGACAACAAACATCACACATAAGTCTTATCTCCCTTGATGCAAGCTTACATGAAGAAATTAGACAAGTAAATCGCTTATTTACTGGTGATCACATCAGACAAGAATTTTGTGAATTCTACTGCAGAATTGAAGAAGTCGGAAATATGAAAATCATGTTAGCTAAATATAATAAGAATGGTAAAAGATTTTGTTGAAACTGAAATTTAGTTATGGAGGGAGCTGTTAAAGAGAGGTTCACGTGAGAAAAGAGTCACCAAAACTAAGATTATTCTTTAGCTTATAGAAATTTTAAGGGTTTTGTGCAAAACAACCCTCAAACTAAATTCTTTTTGCAAATCAAACCCTCAATTTAAAGTTGTGCAAATCAAACCTCTGAAGTCAAAATAACCCCGCAATATAAGACATCTCTATATTTGTGACAAAATTTAAAATGATTTTATGCAAAAAAACCCGCGAACTATTTTTTGTGTGCAAATCTAACCCTCAACTTAAAAAATATGCAAGTCAAACCTGCAAAATCGAAAGTCACTGCTAAAATGGACTTATATGTATTTGTCCTTAACTACAAACGTTGACTCAAAACGTCATGACATTTATAATATTTTAACCATTTTTATTAAAAGTAAATTAAAAAAAAAACAAAAACAAAAAACTTTAATCTTTAATTTCCTTTCTCTTTCTCCTCTTATTAATGAATTTATCTCGAGTAATCTTATCGCGAATAAGTTGATTCTTTTCTTCATGATCTCATTAACTAATGACGACGAAGAGACAAAGATAAGAACTAATTTACTCGCAATAGAATTATTCGAGAGAGGCTCATAAAGACATAGGACTTCAGATCTTCCAAGTAATTATATTGTGAGTAAGTTGGTTCGGTTTTGATTTTCTGGATTGGTTACGGTTTAGTTTTTTTGGATTTGGTTAAAAATCCTAACCCTCTCCTTATTGATGGAGAAAAAAGAGAAGAAATATTGAATTATTGTTTTAAGTATTTTTAATAAAAATGGTTAAAATATTATAAATGTCATGATGTTTTGAGTCAACGTTTGTAGTTAAGACAAATACATATAAGTCATTTTAGCAGTGACTTTCGACTTTGCAGGTTTGACTTGCATATTTTTTAAGTTGAGGGTTAGATTTGCACACAAAAAATAGTTCGCGGTTTTTTGCATAAAATCATTTTAAATTTTGTCACAAATATAGAGATGTCTTATATTGCGGGGTTATTTTGACTTCAGAGGTTTGATTTGCACAACTTTAAATTGAGGGTTTGATTTGCAAAAAGAATTTAGTTTGAGGGTTGTTTTGCACAAAACCCAAATTTAATCTAATAACTCACTTATCTATGGTTTTTTAACATGGTTTGTACAATAAATAAGAACATTATTGATTACTACGGGCAATTGTCCATCAAACAACAAACGCTATAGTGATCTCTTGCAACTTTTAGCTTTCTTAATTTCCTAAGAACTTGTATTTTTCAAAGGGTAATTTGCTATAATAACCCACAAAATATTGTAAATAGCCAAAATAGCCTATCAAGAATTTTGAAGATTTTATAAAAAATTTACACAATTATCCTTTTAAAGTCTTCCAAACTTACTCGCAGACTCGGATTTTCTTTTGCTAGTCTGCTATTTTTTTGGCAGACTCAACGTATTTTTGGTAGACTCTATATATTTTTTCGTAGACTCTGTCAAGCTTTGACAAACTATACCAAAATCTTCCAAATTTACTAGCAGACTCGGATTTTATTCTGCTGATCTTCCATTTTTTTGTGGATTCTGCATATTTTTAGTAGATTTAAATTTCAGTCTGCTAATCTGTTATTTTGTTAGCAGACACTACATATTTTTGGTAGATTCTGCGTCTTTTTTGTAGACTCTGTCAAGGTTTGGTAGAGTATACCAAAGTCTTCCAAAATTTACTAGCAGACTCGGATTTTAAATTGCTAGTCTTCCATTTTTTTGGTGGATTCTGCGTATTTTTGGTAGATTTAAATTTTACTTTGCTAGTCTACTATTTTATTGGCAGACTCTACGTATTCTTTGTAGACTTTGTTGAGGTTTTGGCAGACTACGTCAAAGTCTTCCAAATTTACTGGCAGACTTGAATTTTAAACTGCTAGTCTTCCATTTTTTTGGTGGATTCTGCATATTTTTGGTAGATTTAAATTTTACTTTGCTAGTCTACTATTTTATTGGCAGACTCTACGTATTCTTTGTAGACTTTGTTGAGGTTTTGGCAGACTACGTCAAAGTCTTCCAAATTTACTCGCAGACTTGAATTTTAAACTGCTAGTCTTCCATTTTTTTGTGGATTATGCGTATTTTTGGTAGACTTAAATTTTACTTTGCTAGTCTGCTATTTTATTGGCAGACTCTACATATTCTTTGTAGACTTTGTCGAGTTTTGACAAATTACATTAAAGTCTTCCAAATATATTAGCAGACTTGGATTTTAATCTGCGAATCTTCTACTTTTTGGTGGATTCTGCATATTTTTGGTAAATTTGACTTTTACTCTGCTAATCTGCTATTTAATTAGCAGACTCAACATGTATTTGGTAGACTCTGCATAATTTTTTGTAGACATTGTTGAGATTTGGCAGATTACATCAAAGTCTTTCAAATTTACTAGCATATTCAAATTTCAATATGCTAATCTTCTAATTTTTTTATGAATACTACATATTTTTGATAGACTTGAATTTTACACTGTTAGTTTGCTATTTTATTAGCATATTCAATATATTTTTGATAGATTTTACATATTTTTTAAGACTATGAGTTTTGGCAAACTACACCATAGTCTTCTAAAATTATCACTATAATTGAATTTTAATCTTCTAATATGATATTTTTCTGTGTTGTTTTGTTAATATTGGATTTTAGTTGATGAAATATTTTCTCGCAAAATTCAGAAAAAGTTACAAACTGAAATCTCATATAGTCAAACATTTTATAAATGTGCAAAAAAACAAAAATGAAAAGAAGTAGAATGGATAGAGAATCAATTTCAATGATAAATACCATAAATGAAAAAATTGAGTTCGACAAAAAAAATTGCTGTTAGACCAAATATACATTGCCATGAAATTTGATAAAATAAAAATAATCAATTGATTTGAAATTAAAAGTTATTTATTTCTTATTTTATTTTTCTTTTATTTATTTATTAACTAAAACTAATTTGTTATTGTTCAAATTAAATGAATAGTTATGTGTAATTTACAAAAACGAAATTAAAGAAATAATTATAGTTAAAAGGATAAAACTGGAATTATACATCACTGCTTAAATGATTAATAGGTTATATGAGTAATAAAAATATAAATAGGTTATTATAGCTATTTCTTATAAAAAAGAGGTTATATTAGGTAATTTTCTCTTTTTCAAATTTATAAACATGGTGTTTTTCAAAGAATCCCATAAAACAATGACCCAATTTCTTTCTTTCAATTTATAATCAAAAGTAGTAAGTGTGGACTGATTCCTTAAATGAAAGAGAATGTAAGGGGCATTGTTGTAATAAATATTAAGATAAAAACGTAATTTTTGCCGATTTGGAGAGAGGAGAAGAAACATAAAAGGAGGCGTTGCAAACACAGAGAGCTCAAAACTCTTCCGCCGTCCTCGTCGTCGGAGAACACAACAAAGACCTAAATTTCTCAGACGTCACTCGTAAGGAGAAAGTAACAGTTTGACGGAAATGGAGAAAGTGAACATCGAAGAAATTCAGTCCACCGCTAAGAAACAGCGGGTTGCTACTCACACCCATATCAAAGGCCTTGGCCTCGAGGTTCGTCTCCTTCTCCACCTCCTCACTCTCTCCACGAAACATCTCTCTTTGATTCTAGTAGATTGCAGTTGTATGCTCGTATTGCTCGAAGTTCGTCTGGGTTTAGGGTTTTAGGGATTTAAAGCTAATTTGCTTTGCTTTCTACGCTCAGAGACTCCGCATAGTGTTTTCTAGATGTATTGCATTAGATTTCCGTTTGGTGTAAAGCTAATTGCTTTGAGGCTCTTTTTGGCTATAGTGTGATCTCTTTCTGTAGCTTGAAATATAATTTCAATTTGTGTTCTTTTGTAGCCAACCGGAATTCCTATACCATTGGCGGCTGGATTTGTGGGTCAACTTGAGGCGAGAGAGGCAGCTGGTCTCGTAGTGGACATGATCAAGCAGAAGAAAATGGCGGGCAAGGCTCTTTTGTTTGCTGGACCTCCTGGAACTGGGAAAACAGCATTGGCTCTTGGAATATCCCAAGAGCTGGGAAGTAAGGTAATCTCATTTTGCATCTTCTCTATTCGATGTATCCATATGGTATCATCAGATTTTGGATTGTTTACTTTTAAGCTTATGTGATTTGGATTGTTTCTGGCTTGCAGGTTCCCTTTTGTCCAATGGTTGGCTCTGAGGTCTACTCATCAGAGGTTAAGAAAACAGAGGTTCTCATGGAGAATTTTAGGCGTGCTATTGGGCTACGTATCAAGGAAACTAAAGAAGTCTATGAAGGAGAGGTGTGTTGCTATTTTCAGTTTCTTGTGCTATCTTCTTGTGAAGTAGGATGGCTTTTTGACATTTGATTCTTAACATGTATTTTTTCTTCTTCTTGAGTTATAGGTCACGGAGCTATCCCCAGAAGAAACTGAAAGTATGACTGGAGGCTATGGAAAAAGCATCAGCCATGTTATCATTGGACTCAAGACAGTCAAAGGAACCAAACAACTGAAGTTGGATCCCACTATATACGATGCCTTGATTAAGGAAAAGGTTTGCTGTTTGATTTCCGGAAGGTTCTTAGTGAAGTTGCTGATGACTAATGTCAATCTGATTGGTGTATTGTTATATTTACTGTTTGACTCTCAGGTAGCCGTAGGAGATGTTTTATACATTGAAGCAAACAGTGGAGCTGTCAAGCGAGTAGGTAGAAGTGATGCTTTTGCCACTGAGTTCGACCTGGAAGCAGAAGAGTATGTTCCACTTCCGAAAGGAGAGGTTCACAAGAAGAAAGAGATAGTGCAGGATGTCACACTCCAAGACCTGGATGCAGCAAATGCCCGACCTCAAGGTGGCCAGGATATACTTTCATTGATGGGGCAAATGATGAAACCCAGGAAGACAGAGATCACTGATAAGCTGCGGCAAGAAATTAACAAGGTGATCCTCAGTAGAACTTAAGATGATTTATGTTTATATATCTTGCTAAAGGTCTAATATTACAGTTTGGTGTATGATTATTGCAGGTGGTGAACCGTTATATTGATGAAGGTGTTGCAGAGCTTGTTCCGGGAGTTCTATTTATCGATGAGGTAATTTCCTAATGAGTTTTATCATCCCACACCATGTTTGATCTTTCTCAGGGTCAGTGAAGAATGACTTTCTTTTGAAATGACAAAACTTCAGGTTCACATGCTTGACATGGAGTGCTTCTCCTACTTAAACCGTGCTCTCGAGAGCTCATTATCTCCAATAGTGATATTTGCAACAAACAGAGGTGTCTGCAACGTTAGGTGAGGAAAAGCACTAGTAGCACTAGTTTTCTTCTTTGGAAATCATGCGAGTTTGGGTTTAAATCATGTGATTCACTTTTATTTGCAGAGGAACTGATATGTCATGTCCTCATGGAGTCCCTATTGACTTGTTGGACCGGTTGGTGATAATCCGGACTCAAATCTACAATCCCTCTGAGATGATACAGGTTCCTCGATTGTCATTTATTAGTTTGCGGATATCAATAAGTTTAACAACATTGTAATTACCTTTGTTTATGTGGACCAGATTATAGCAATCCGTGCGCAAGTGGAAGAGCTAACAGTGGATGAAGAATGCTTGGTCCTACTTGGGGACATTGCGCAAAGAACATCTCTAAGGTTTAAAAACTGAACTTGTGATTATTGCCAAGATAACTTTATATCATCTCTAAACCTAAACCTGTTTCGGGGATTTCACTTTCAGGCATGCGGTTCAGCTTCTGTCTCCTGCCAGCATCGTGGCGAAAATGAATGGACGTGACAGTATTTGCAAGGTACATTTGTGAATCTCAGAGCCATAAAGCAAAGTCTGAATGTGAATGTTTATGTCGTTGATTTGTTGGTATTTTTCTGACTTTTGAACAGGCTGATATAGAGGAAGTAACATCACTCTACCTTGATGCCAAATCTTCAGCGAAGCTTCTGCAGGAGCAACACAAAAAATACATCACATGAGAGAAGAAGACTAATCGAATGTTTTTACCAAATGATCTCATATCCATCCTCTTAACTATTTTGTAATGGCATAACATGAAGAAAACTAATTTTAATGGTTAGTTTCTTTTGAGACCAAGAGTGGTGTGATTCGACTGTATTCTTTTGGTTGTGCAATATTAATTTGAATTGATGGTATCATTTATGAATATAATGATAGCATTTTACTTAGCTTCCTTTATATTGAGTTCCCTAATTTCGTAGTAAACTTTAAACTTTCTTCAATAAACAACCAAATCTGTCAAGCCTATTATCTGAGTTTAGGGGGAAATTGGGGTTGTACAAAATTCCTATAATAATATATGGGTCAAATTTATAAACAATAGAAAACTATGGGGTTTCCCTGTAAAAACCAGGCACTGTCGGGAACAGAGACAATCTTTTCACTACGGCGGGTTCTGTGAGACTGAGCTAAAAAGACTAGGGTTTTGTTACGAGGAAGAAGAAGACGAAGATGGCGATGAATTCGTTGACCGTTGAACAAGTTCTAAAAGAGAAGAAGACCCATGACCTCGATTCCGTCAAGGACCTTGATCTCGGCTGCAAATCTCTCACCGACGTGAGTTTTTTTTTTGCTTCTGTTTAACTCTGTGCCTCCGTGAGAAGCTGAAACGAAATCCTAATTTGTGTCAATTGATATTTTAGGTGTCTTGTTTGAGCAAGTTCAAAAACTTGGAGAAGCTCGATCTTCGTTTCAACAATCTCACTGATCTCCAGGTGCGAAACAGAGAGATATAACAAAAAAAAAATCGAAAATTTGAAGATTAGTTGTGGAATTTTTGAAGCTTATCTTCATGTTTAATTGGTTATAGGGACTCAAGTCTTGTGTGAATTTGAAGTGGCTGTCGGTTGTGGAAAATAAATTGCAGAGCTTGAATGGAATTGAAGGATTAACAAAGCTTACAGTAAGTTAAGTTCCAATTGAAATATTTGTTGTTCCATCTTCGAACCTGATTGGTTTTGCTTGTGTGGTTTCATTTGCTATTTAGGTGCTAAATGCTGGAAAGAACAAGCTGAAATCAATGAATGAGATCTCTTCTCTTGTCAATTTGCGAGCTTTGATCTTGAACGGTGAGTTATACGAACACAATTTAACGAGTTTTTGGTCTTTGCATCCACAAGCTACTACTGATGATTTACCCTTTCTTGTTTCACTTCTTGCTAGACAATGAAATCTCCTCCATTTGCAAGCTAGGTCTACTTAAAGACTTGAACAGTCTTGGTATGTTCTCACATCAGAATCAACATATTACACTCTTTTATTCAGTTTCATCTACTTAAACCTTCTTGTTTCGTTATGGATTTGGATGCAGTGCTCTCTAGGAACCCAATCACTGAGATTGGTGACTCACTTTCAAAGCTGAAGAACCTCTCAAAAGTAAGCTCTGAGTTTTTCTCCTGTTTCGAGAATCAAAAGAAACTAAAACCTGGTCCTTTGTCTAATCCCTGGTTTCAGATTTCTTTGTCTGACTGCAGGATAAAAGCTATTGGCTCTTCTCTCAAGTCTTGCTCCGATTTGAAAGAGCTACGACTCGCCAACAATGAAATTCAGGTGGATTTTTCTTTCTTCCATAGATTAGATACATTATACAAATCACACAATCTCTAATGATTAATTTCCTTTTACGCTTAAATGTTCAGGCTCTACCAGCAGAACTTTCTCTGAACAAGAGACTACTGAATTTAGATGTGGGAAACAATGTGATCAGGAGTCTCTCTGGTTTGGAGGTATAATGTGTTTATTATATAAGTGAAAGCTTGTGACAGTTTTTCTTCCGTTGATCTAATAGTAAACCGTCAAAATTGTGTGTCATGTACGATAGGTTTTGGGGACACTATCTTGCTTGAGGAACCTGAATATTCGAGGAAACCCAATCTCTGATAACGAGAAGTCAGCTAAGAAGGTATAAAACTAACTCTTTGTACTTCTCTTTTCTCTTTGTGTTGTGTGTTGGGAGAGTTAAGAACGGGAGAGATGTAATGTTGCAGGTGAGGAAGTTGCTGCCTCCATCAGTGAATGTATTCAACGCTAAACCATTGGATAAAGGCTCCAAGAATGATAAACATACCAGATTTGACGCCGATGATGAAACTCTGAAGAGCGACCAGAGCAAAGAAGCAAAAAGCAAGAAGAGCTCCAAGAGAAACAAGTCAGAGGAAGAAGAAGAAGAAGCCAACAATGAAGAGGAGCGCAAGAGCAAGAAGAAGAAGAAGTCTAAGAGTGAATCAAATTTGGATCAAGCGCTAACAACAGAGAAGAAAGAAGAACGTAAGGAGAAGAAAAGACGGGGTAACAACGATGAGGATGCTGCTGAGAAGAAACAGAAGAGAGCTACACCAAAGGAGGAGCTTGAGGCTTTGGATGATACTGAAACCTCTTTCGCAGAACTCTTTTCCCGGGACAGTGTGTCAAAGGGTGGTGGCTCTGGAGACGGTAATGAGAAGAAGAGAAGCGGCGCGAAAGAGACGGGTGTGGTGAGAGTGATAGATAACAAGAAGAAGAAGAAGAAAACGGGAAGTAACCAAAGCAAGAGTGTAGTGAGTGAGCTTCCCGGGGGATTCGAGATCGGGTTGGGAGGAGAATCAAAGTGGGATTAAACCGGAAAATTGAAACTATGGCCTTACACACCAACCAGCTAGGGAGAAGTGTTTTGAAACATCTGAGGTTTAGGACATGTTAAAGCGATTTTGATCTTCTTTTAAAATGGTTTTGAAGTGTTGAGAAGCTATAATTTTTGTAGGATGTTGAATTTTCTTAAATGTACTTGTTTTAACATCATCATTGCAACTTTTTTTTTTAAGAGTTTTTTTCTTCTACTGGATCCATAAAATAAATACTGTAAAAACCTGTTGTTACTAAAATAGGAGAGAGGCTATATTCCCTGAAATTTCTTTGAAAGAGAGAGGGCCAAAAAGGTCCCACCGAGATTTGAACTCGGGTTACTAGATTCAGAGTCTAATGTCCTAACCGCTAGACCATGGGACCATTCTGTTCATTATTCGAGAACACTATACGTGAGTGGAACAATTGTGGTGAATTGCTTCAAGAGTTCGTTAATATGTTAATATCAGAGAAATTGTAGTTGAGAGGACAAATTGTGGAGATTTTCTCCAAGAGTTGTTTGTTAAGTGTTAATATTTTGAGTAGTTGCAGCCGTGTAGTATATGACATTTTGTCAATTTCTCCATGTGATTTGCAAGTAGTAGTCAAAGACTCAAAAAAGATAAAGAGAGCAGCAGAGTTTAATCAGAGCCGTTAATCTTATGTTTATTTTCTTGTATAATCGTGGGACCCTTGTAGCCTCACAAATTTAAAATTATTTACTCGTTTGTAACCATTTATGTTAAATTGGTAGTATATCTAAAAATTTATAAAAAAAAAAGAGTAAAAGGATCTGGAGGAGGGATTTGATTTGACTGACAGAGAAGGCATCTCTTGGGATGTTCCATAAGTGTATTTATTATTATTGTACTCAGCATGTGCCTGTCTTTCATATGCCAAACACAAAACTACGAAGTTCCATATTCAATTTCTTTTAAATCTATAGAAAAATCATTTCGTTTCATTAGTTAAATGACCTATATAAGAAAATTTAGCTATGGTTGAATTTAACAAACAAACTTCTAACAATTTTTTCAGAACCTTAAGCTTTTAAAACTCGGTGTTAATATGATTGTGTTGATAACACATTACAAACACTTATAGCTTTAAGAAATTGTTTTACCAACAATGAATTTGACTATTTAAAAAGTTACCAATACACTATCCACATTAGAAACTCGTAGTAAATTTTCTGTCACAAAATTTTCTTATACTCCGGTCAATACTTGGAACTTCACTGTCACTAGCCAATATGTTTTTTTTTTTTGGCATCTGCTGATTCCGGTATAATATGATCAAACCAGCTTACACTGTGATGCCTCTGTTTGGTTACACTTTTGGCAAATTCTTTAGGCTTCTTAGAAAGTACTAATTTGGATTGCTTGATAGATTCCATGATAACATTTTACAAGTCCATTGTTGCATTTTAGTGAATTGTCAGCAACGAGATTAATTTAACAGCTATTGATAATGGAATTATTTTTGATTAACTTAATGAAATTGGGAAACCTCTCTTCATGTGTACAATGAACCTCTTAGACAACGCACACAAACAAAACACAACACTGTCCCTTCTCTCTCTCTCTCTCTCTCTCTCTTCCCATCTTTCGTCTTCCTCCACATTTCTCTCTCTATCTTCTCCCAAGAAAGAACACAATTTCCCAGATTCAAAGCTCTCTTTTTTCAACGTCTTCAAAAGGAATTAAGAATCTGAACAGCCATTTCTTATTTCTTCTCTTTATTAAAAATTTGTAATATGCTTTGCTCTTTACACTTCTTCTTGAATTTACACTCATAAACTTCATTTAAACGCAAAAGAAGAAAATATTAAAAACATAATCTTAACTTTCTCTTTTTTGTGTTATCTCTTTCACCCACTTTAAAGTCTCCCAAGAATTTCAAACAAAATCTTCCAGAAACTGCTCTAGTTTCTTTTTTTAGAAACATGATCAGAACCTCATGACCCACACTTCTTATAGAAAGCAACAATCAATTCTAATTTCAACTCTCTCTTTCTCATTCTTTCCGGCAAGAATTGATACAATTTTTGTCTCTGATTTTATTGTTATCAAAATAATAAATATGGAGCGCAAGAGAGGGTGCAAGATCAGAAAGAGAGGTTGTTCTTCCTCCTCCTCTTCTTCTCTTGCTCGTCGAAACCGCTTCAAACGCGCCATTTTCGCCGGGAAAAGAGCCTCTCACGACGATGGTGGCGGCTGCGGCGGCTCAGGAACTCCGGTTAAGTCCATCTCCACCGCTAAAACTCCTGTACTCTTATCCTTGTCGCCGGAAAAACTTCATATAGATCATTCTCAGAAACGCTGCGTGTCAGCTAGAAAGCTAGCGGCTACGCTGTGGGAGATCAGCGACGGCACAGACCCTCCGGCAAATTCCGAGAGAGATTGCTTGAGAAGCAAGAAACCTCCGAGGAACAAATCTAAGAAAACAACAGAGATCTCTTCCCACGAGTTCCCGCCAAAATCATCCGATCCGACATCCGGTCTGGCCTCAGAGGTTAGGGCTTGCTTCCGTTTCAAGTTTCCTATGATTTTTTTCCTTTTCTCAAAATTCAACAAAGTCCTTAAATCAAAATTTTCACAGAGAATCGTTCTCCGAGAGGACATAATCCATAGAAGATCAAAGATTCCTCAGAAACTAGAACTAATCGAATACAAAACCATCGGCACGAACTCGGTACGATTTTTCTTTCTTTTCTTACAAAAAAACCCTTTCTTGCGGAAGAAGAAAGCTCTGATTAGTTAAATCAGAAACCCTAATGTTACAGGTGAAAACACGTTTCAAGAATGTCAGCGACGGATTAAGGACGTCTAAAGAATTAGTGAAAGTCTTAAAACGGATTGGTGAGCTCGGAGATGATCACAAGAAAGCAAGCAATCGTTTGATCTCTGCTCTGACATGCGAGCTAGACAGAGCAAGATCTTCTCTAAAGCATCTGATGAGTGAGTTTGATGCGGAGGAGGAGGAGAAGCGGATGATGAGAGAGAAGCTTCAAGAAGAGGCCGTGGCTGAGAGAAAGCTCCGGCTGAGAACGGAGAAGATGAACAGAAGATTAGGGAGAGAACTCGCGGAGGCTAAAGAAACGGAGAGGAAGATGAAGGAGGAGATGGAGAGAGAGAAGAGAGCTAAAGATGTTCTTGAGGAGGTTTGTGATGAGCTCGCGAGAGGAATCGGAGATGATAAGAAGGAAATGGAGAAAGAGAGAGAGATGATGCATATAGCTGATGTTCTGAGGGAAGAGAGGGTTCAAATGAAGCTTATGGAGGCGAAATTCGAGTTCGAGGAGAAACATGCGGCTGTGGAGCGGCTGAAGAAGGAGCTCAGGCGGGTTTTGGATGGTCAAGGGTCGTCGGAGATTCGTCGGATGTTGGAGGTTATGGATGGTTCTGATGATGAAGAGGAGAGTGATCTAAAGTCGATTGAGTTGAATATGGAGAGTGGAAGTAAGTGGGGTTATGTTGAAAGCCGGAGAGATCGCCGGACGGAATCGAGGTTTGTTGGCTCCGGTGATGAAGATGATGATTCTGATGATCATGTGGAGAAGAGGCCAGTGATTGTTGAGAATGGGGAGAGAGATGAGTCTTTGAAGAATCTGAGAGATTACATTGTTTCGAATGTGAGGCTTATCGGTTCTTCATCGTCGGAGCAGTTGAATCATCGGAAACTACCAAGCTTCGAGTTTGTGTAATCACCGGAGCTAGCGCCGGCAAGAAAAAAAAAGTCTCATTTTTTTAAAGTGTATATGTATTTCTTCATTTGTAATTTATTCGATTTAATTTTTTTTATTTAATTTCAGAAAAGAAAATTCAACTGACTAAATTATTTTTTCACTGTTTACTTTTTTTTTTTTAGTTACAGAAAATAAATTTAATTCATCAGAAAATCACAATGTATCTCCACCAGATAAGAAGAAAACACTTTTATTAAGTGTTCGTGTGTGTGTTTAGACGACAACTTGTTAAATGTGTGGGCTTTGTTGCTGATAACTAATTAGACCATAAGTTAAAGAAGTGGGGAATATGAGAATATCAATCAAATCAGTTTTTGATTGAAATGGAGGAGAGGTTCATTGAATTTGAATATAAGTTATTTGAGTGGATATTTATTCAAGAACTATGATTATTGGCATAATTGATGATACACATGGAAATGTACGTCGATTATGTGTAAACTAAATCACAATAATTACAACAATTATAATAAGAACAACGAATAATAATAAGAGATAATTGGTGCAAGAAGGGATTAGTTTAAGAGTTTTGAATCAAAAATGAAACAAAGATGTTTTTCTCTATTATTGTGTCGACATTGAACAGCGTCGTTCCATCTTCCCATGTGGTTTTGTCTCAACTCTCAACTATCCGTTACGTTTTCACCCTATTTGTTTATTCGTAAAAAATTCAACCAAAACGTTCCCAAAAATGTTATGAAATGACGAGAAAAAACGGAAAATTTATCTTCATTTTCTATAGATAGATATTGACTACTAGTAGTAACCCATAAAAGTTAGGGACGCGAGTGGAGTGAATAGCTTGCTTCAATTTTATAGGATTAACATTTTTCGATTTGTATCCGTTTTAAGCCATTTTTTTACCTCCAGAAATATTTTTACCTTTTACGTATTTGAAAGAGCTACTAAAGTTGTACCCTAGAAATAGTAGAGTGAAAGCATTATTGGATGCCACTAGGCTAACCAATTTATCCCACTGAATCAATTTATTTTGTTGGAAAAGGTCAAACGCTAAGAACATTTGGCCTAATACAGGTAGAGATGTTGTCAGCCTGATCTTATCAAGTGTATGTGTGGTTTTATCTCTGTCTCCTTTTGTCTGAATAAACTTTGAAAAGTTCAATGAACCTATCAATCACTATTTTGTAGACATTGATGTTTAGCAATAGCAACTGTCAGTGGACAAAACGTTATAATCATGGGTGCACATTTCGATCTACACTTTGGCTTCCATTCAGTTTTATTCAATTTGTAAATATTACATCTGATTACTCCATTTAAGTGAGGAAAAGAAGACAAACTCAACATCACGGTTTGGATTTGACAATGATTACAACAATTAGTCTTGACGTCGATTGTTAATACATATACGTAAACAACCCTCCAATGGGTAAATAATCCAATAAGTCTTGACGGTGAAAGTTTAAGTCTTTTTGACAGTCTCATCTTTTGTAACCTTAGTCGTGAAGCTGACCGCTTTCCTCGGATGCTCCCTTATGTTCAAGCTAAAGACTTCAGGCCTCGAGTAATGACCCACCACATCGAAGTCAAATTTAGCTCTTGCTATGTCCCCAAGATCTGTCCAGAGATTTCAAGCATATGATTAGTCTTTTGCCTTTAAGAATAGAAGATACTAACAAGTGTTGATCATACGTACCAAGATCAGCTGAGATAAGAGCCTCTCCTTCATAATTTGGTCCAGCAAGAACAACTCCTAACGGCGAAATGATTGAGCTTCCACCGGCGCAGACAACAGAGTCCAGTGTTAGGCTATCCTCTGAACCGGAAAACAAGTACTCCGGTGGTGGCGGATAATCTTTCCGGCGACAGAACTGGTTAGCCGACAGAACAAAACATCCGCCTTCAAGAGCGATGTGAGTCATCGATGCTTGCCAAGTTTCTCTAGCATCAGCAGTAGGTGCACAGTATATCTCAATCCCTACAAAATCAGAAACCCATGTTAACATATATCTCCACATTGATGATAGCTGAGAGAGCTAAAGAGAGACTAATAACAAACCTTTGGCATACATTGCGGTTCTCAAAGAAGGCATCCTATTCTCCCAACAGATAGCAGCGCCGATTTTACCAATGGGAGTATCGAAAACCGGGATGGTCGAACCGTCTCCGAACCCCCAGATGCAACGTTCGAGAGCTGTAGGCATGAGCTTCCGGTGCTTACCCAAGAACTGACCTTGCGGATCAAAGAAGAGAACGGTGCAGTATAGAGTATAGCCTTCCCTCTCTATCACACCCATAACCAAGAACACTCTGTACTTCTTCGCCATCTCCGCCAATCGTTCCACTTCAGGGCCTACAAAAAAACATTTGCACAAGCTTAATCAAAACTTAAAAGTTACATCTTTAATCTCATCAACGATATCTGATTTATCTCTGATGTGAAATTTAGTGGAACAACCTCAGTTTCAGATGATTGAAATTTCGAAGAAGAAAAAAAATCCGAGAAATTGGAATTCAGAAGAGGATGCTATTCATCAGCTAAAGCTTCGAGCTTGTGATTAATCGATAACTCAAGTGAAAACGAAATAGCAGATAGATAGAGAGTAAAGGTTTCAGCTTTACCAGGAACATCAATGGCAGAAGCATGGTACTTGCGAAAATCGTCTCTTCCTTTAGCCGTACGAGCACCAATCGCCAGCTCGAAGCTAGAGCCACGAGGATATCCGCCGATAAAAGCCTCCGGGAACACCACGAGATGGGACCCATTCTCCGCTGCCTCGGCAAGCAACCTCTCCGCTTTATCTGAATCAAATCAACTAAATGAGAATCAAAATTTCCAGGAAAGAAAACTGCTCCAATGGAAAAATTCGAGAGAAATTGGGAACCTAGCGTGGCGGGAGTGTCGTAGAAGACAGTAGAAGCCTGGACGACGGTTGCTCGGACGGTTTGGGAGGTTTCAGCGCCGGACATTTCAACCTCGGCGAAGATTTGATCGACGTTGATCGGAGGAGGATTCGCCGTGACGAGAGACATTTCTTGCTGAGTGATGGACATTGGAGCTCGAGACTGTTTGTTAGCTGATTAATCTCTTCTCAGTGGTTTGGTTGGTAGAGACTGCCTCGTAGAAAATTCGTAATTTACTTCCTTTTACTTTTGTTGTCAATATAAATTTGTGTATAGTAAAAAGGGCAAACGTATGGGCCTGATGATAACCATTTAAGCCCAACACAATTTAATTCAAAACGACTTTCCTTTTCCGCGAGCTGATTATTTTGTATAACGGTTACTACTATTCTAGTACTAATAAAACTTGGTTTTGTATGTTCGTCCAGATTTAACTGGGAAAAGGAAGACGTTTTTTGTTGTTGTTCTGTTTCTTATAAGAAACTAACTAACTAGTATATGAAGCAACGTGACATGTTCTTATATCAGCTCTGACCAAGTCAAATTAAACCCTTGCGAAACTAAAGTAAAAAACATGTTCGACGACTCTTCTTCACATTGTCTCGTCGGAAAATTCTTCGCTAACTCAACTCCTCCTCCATCCTTCTCAGAAACAGAAAAATCCCTCCGGGAACAATGGGTCCTCCTCTCCGACGACATGACCATAAAAAATCTAGACGGCGGCGATACGTTCTTGTTCGAATTCAGACAAAAGGATGACAAAGAGAGAGTTCTAGAAACGGGACCTTACTACGTGAACGGAGTTATCATAGTGATCAAGGATCTAAACTCTTCCGACGTGATTGATTTCACCGTGGCTTCCTTCTTTGTCATGGTCGTCTTTTTACCACGATATCTTTGCACTGAAGACTTCCTCCCGACTCTCCAATCTCTAGTCGGCGGCAACAATCCCGTTTTATGCGGAACGTTCCGTATCAACAGTTTAATCTGTTTCAGAGTGGATGTTGACCTCAAGAAGCCACTCAGACCAGGGTTCTACGTAGACGAAGAAAGGCAAAACCGGTTCGTGGAGTTCAAATACTGGAAACTACTAGGCGATTTCTGCTACAGCTGTGGAATGATTGGTCACGTCAAAGAGAATTGCGTACAGGTCACGTTACCTAAGGAACGTGCCTTGAACGTCACGTCAAGAACGCACGTCTATGGCCCTTGGTTAATATTTAATCCCAGGGAAACGCCTTACGAAATCAATTTGATGAAATCGCCGAGTAGTGTCGGTGACTGCGAGAAGACTCTCTCGTATCCTCAGTTCTTCGTAGAGGTTGAGTTTAACAGGCTCTACGTCTGCGACTCTAGAACCAGGGCGGAGACAAAGTACACTCACAGGTTTCGTTTCCCATGTTCTTACCTCGACGAGGACGCAGAGACAGAGTCCACATATTTGATCACTAGTTCGAAAGTGTACGAGGTTTTACGGAGGGAGATTTGCGAGAACACGCTATATCACAAGCCGTTGAACGAAGCTGACTTTCTCGGAAGTCTTGTGGAGCGGTTGAAACTCATCAAGAAAGAGCAGTTTTGCTGTGACGACAAGTGGTTGACTCTTAAACTTCAATTAGACCTAAAACTCACATTGACGCCTGTTGATTACGAGTCAATGGTCGCTTGTAATCGGGAACGGCTGATGGAGAGTCGGATATCGGATTTGATCAAGAAGAGAGTGGAGAAGAAAGAGAATCTGCTTTCTTTGTCCTCTTGGCAAGATCAAATCAGAGAAGCGATATCTGAGATGGGTTGCGCTCGTTATTTGCATCGCTCTTATGTGCCTAGACGAGCGACTCAGGCGATGATGGAGGCGGTTGAGATTGAGATTTCGTCGAGTAGCTGTACGATACCTGCAGATAGCTCTACGGTTTCAAGGTTAGAGCGTTTCAAGGTGCTCGGTGACGACATGGATCGGCTAGAACCGTGTGTGATCTGCGTTGAGGAGATGTTTCTTGCGGAAGAAGCAACCGTTTTGTCTTGCTCTCACGTGTTTCACAGCTCTTGTGTTGGAAAATGGTTTCAATTTGGTCACAAGTGTCCGCTTTGTGGTTTCAAGCTCCCTCCACAAAAATAAACAATTTTCTTTGTAAATTCGGTGTTATTATTCACTTCACTTCAATTTTCGTTTTAAATTATTTTACGTTGTCTCTCTCTTCTTTGAGTCAATAAACTTTGGCGAGAAGAAAAAAGATGGATGCAATATGTGATGTGTTCATCACTGTGCACAAATGAAGGGCTTGATAGTTATCAACTAAACTATAAGTCGGAATTCGAGAGTGGTTTAAAACATGAAGGGGTGTAACAGAAATAAAGCCTACATTTCTGACTAGGTGTGGTGACGTGGCATTCGCAGGTAGATTACGCAATGCCGGAGCAACACGTATGCAAAACCCATATGTAAGCACTATCCAACTGAAACTAGAAGCTCAAAGCTAAAGTGAGAGCAACTGAGACGAAATCTAGAAAGCTCCATACCGAAAAAAGCCTTTTTTTTGTTCTCTCTCGCACCGGTGGTGATTGTCGATTAATATTAAGCCCTTGTGGCGATTGTTTTGAACGCGCGCTCCTTCATGGAGGCGGAAGCGGTGGGAGTTTGTAAGGATACGGCGGCGTCGGTGGAAGCGTCGACGGTGTTTCCGGGGTTCAAGTTCTCGCCGACGGACGTGGAGCTGATCTCGTTTTACCTGAAGCGGAAGATGGACGGCTTGGAGAAGTCCGTCGAGGTTATACCGGACGCCGATATTTACAACTTCGAGCCCTGGGATTTGCCCGGTTTGTCTTCTATTGCCCTTTCTTCTACTTCAATTTCTTTTTTTTTTTCTCATCTTGTTCGTCTGGTTGCACTCTGGAAAACACAGAACTTTCTATTTTTGGTGCATATGGAGATTTTGTTATCAGATATTAGTTTTATCTTTCCTTTTTGCAATTTTTTTTTTTTTTTTTTTTTTTTTATTGTTGTTGAAATTTTAGCAGTTTCTTAGGGATGGTAAGGCTTACTCGTTAGCCATGTCCATGAATCCAATTGAATTTGTGTCTCCAAGAAGGATATTTGAGATCTGGAAATCATTTGAAATTAGGGTAACATGTTTGATAAATTGTTATCTTCTTGTACATATTGATTTCTGGAGACAAGAGTTGTTGTAGCTTAGGAAACCTTTTGGATCAATTTGAAGTTGTGAATACGATTTTAGTATGCTTGGAATACAATTTTCGTTGTCTTTTATTCATGATTCTCTCCTAGTTGAATTTATAAGCATTGTCCTGTTTTAATTAACTCTGGCAATTGACAAATTCTTTGGTGTGTTTTTGGCTTTCCAGATAAGTCGATTGTGAAGTCTGATACGGAGTGGTTCTTCTTCTGTGCCCGTGGCAAAAAGTATCCACATGGGTCACAGAACAGGAGAGCAACCAAGATGGGTTACTGGAAAGCGACTGGGAAAGAACGTGATGTGAAGTCTGGCTCTGAAGTAATAGGAACAAAGAGGACGCTTGTCTTCCACACTGGCCGTGCACCAAAAGGCGAAAGAACAGAATGGATCATGCATGAATACTGCATGAAAGGAGTCTCGCTGGTAATCTATAATCTAACTTGAAACTTTGTTTTTCTTCATTTTTTTTTCTGTTAACCATTACATTAGCTACTTGAGCTATTGTGGTTTTTTTTTGCATGAAAACTAAATCTCATACTTTAATGTTGTCATTAGTTTAGTTGAGATATTCATTTACATTTTAGGGTTTTGGTGTTTGGCTTGGGTTTGATTGGTTTATCTTGTGTATATTATTGTAGGATGATGCATTGGTTGTTTGCCGGCTAAGGAGGAACAAAGAATTTCACACGTGTACAAGTCAGAAAGCACCAGAGCCAAATTCAGCAGCCGAGAAGAAGCATGCGATCTTGCAAAACGGTGCCACTGGCTCAGAGAGCCCGTCTGATTGGGACCGCATGGTTGATTTCTACCTTGCAGGTGAATCAGGGGAGAAACTACTCACTGAAATGGCAGAACCATCACAAAATCTGCAGGTTTATTGTCGCCTTATGTTTATACTCTTTGGCCAAATGTGAATGATGGTTCTTGAATCTTGATTCTCGTTCTTGTGTGTGTGTGTGTTGTTATAGGTGCATAATGATGAGGATTTCTTTGCGGATATCCTAAGGGATGAAATCATCAGCCTCGACGAGACTGTGAAGACAGGGAGCACACCAAACGAAGTGCCAACGCTGGAGTCAGCATCAATGGCGATAAGGGTACTTCCACTACCGAACGTGATAGACAGACAAATGGCTTCACTGCTGGAGGAACTACCATCGCAGGAGAAGCAAGGGAAAGATAACACCGGCACTGATTCACTGTCGAGCTGCTTCGTGGGTCTATACTCGATCAAGACTGTGAACAGGGCTCGATGGGATGTCATTATATGTGTAGTGGCGCTCATTGTATTGTTGTTCTATCTAGAATAAGAAGGCTATGGGATAAAGTAAGAAGTAAGAAACAATGTCCTTTTGTGTTGATCTTTTCTGGGCATTGCTTTCTTGCTTCTAGATGATGTTGAACAAGAGTAGATGGTTTTTTTTTTGGAAGCAGTGTCCTGTGTGTTGATCTTTCTGGGCATTGCTTCTTCTTGATGTTGTTGAACAAGAGCAGATTATGTTTGTCTAGGCGGTTTATGTTTTTTAAGTTTCATGTTCTTCTTCTACTTTGAAATTGTCCCTTTTTATTTTGGTTCGGTTTTATGGAATTACAACTAAACCGGTAAATCAAAACACGCAATCGACATCTCGAAATCAAAACCAAACCGATGCGTGTATAATTAAACCGGATAATTGTTCCTTTTCATTTAACTCCGTCTCTTCAAGACGGTTGCACGAAGATTGTAGATTTCGCTCCGCCATTAAACCTCTGCTTTGCATTTCCGGAGAAAACAAGTAGCCTCACCACTCCGTTGAACGATTTTACCGAAAGATCTCGATCAGTTTCTTCCGTTTTCGCGCCTCGCCGGAGAAAAAAAATCCAAGGGAAGACGAGGATTCGATGATGAAGTGTGCTTTCACTGTTCAATTTGGATCTGTAAGTTCAGAGATATCTTAATCTTCTCGTTAACATAGTCTTTTGATGGTTTAATTTTGTTTGTGGTACTGAGGAAATCGATTTCTGTAGCGTTAGGTTTGCTTATCCTTAACTGCTACAAATGAAGTGAGATTCGTGTTGAAATCAAGTTAGAGAGCTTTTATTGATGGATTTTCTTCTTATAGTAGTAGCTCACAAGTCACAACACTGATCCAATTGTTCTACTTTTTGGTTTTTGTCTAGAAATTTTGAAATTTGGTAGGTGAATTTCACTTTTGAATTTTTGCTCTCTCGATCTCATTTTTCGATTAAATTTCACAGTTTGATTAGGCGTGGTGCTGGAGCTCACTGAAAGGAAAATGTCGAGGCCGATTATGCTGGTGTTTCTTCTAATCATACTCATAGTCACTTCTCAATTCGAATGGAGGCAACCGCTTCTTGAGCTTGACGCAGCTCCTAGCTTGTCTGAGAAACAGCACCAAATTACAAAGAGAGAAGACGCTGTGAAAGAGAAGGTACTGTGATGATCCTTACACTCTCTTTTCATGGAAACTTTGTGTGTTCACATCACAAGTTCTGCGAATGGCCTGAATTTGGATAGAATCATTTGCATTACAAAGTTTGTTTCTGATTTGTGCATCGTTACAGATTATCTTGTCGCAAGAGAGACATATCCAGAGGCTAAACGACCTCGTACGAAGTCTTAGAATGGAGTTACTGCAGTGCAAAGGAGAGAACGAGACACGGAACGCCACTGAAGCCTCTCACTTAGACAAACAGTTCATTGAGCTCGAGAGAAAACACATTCTGGAAGACTAATGTTTCACAACAACTCTAATAGATAACCCAAATGTTACGTCAAAGCTGTGGCTAAAGAGAGAATTGAATGTTGTTCCTCTTAGATTCTCTAAGCTCCAACTGTTGTAATTTATCTCTGTTGTGTTAAAACCTTATTCACGAGAAAAGTTGGGATGTTTAACTGTAATATATCGTTAGTTATATGGTTGATTCCCGTATTATCTAAAACATACATATGATCTGTATACGTGTGTGTTCGCATAGTCAAACTTTGGTTTGTTGTTTGATTTTGCTTTGAATTAGGGTAACCAAAAGTCTAAGATGACGAAGGCAATATGATGTCATATATAATTCTCTTACTCTATCTGCAATTTTGTATTTTATGTTTCACTATTCCATAAGTCAGAGCCTAAATTTCACCAACCACGTTTTAAGTCAAATAAAACCAATATCCCACGGAATATTAAATCATTTTATTTACTCATTTTACATTTTTATTTCTCTTTCTAAAGTCAATAATCTTAACATTCAAAAGCCATTCATCTAGTCACATTTTTTTGGTCAATCTTTCCATCATTTTGTTGGCCGTGCGTCTTGCTGTCCAGATTCATATTCACCAATATTTGATCAATTTTTTAGCAATTCGTTTGGTGCTATTTTAATTTGCTTTTGAAAATTCATCATATATGATTTTATTTAATTGTAAGAAAATTCTTTATCAAAAAAAAAATAATTGTAAGAAAATTATAACTTTGAATGTTAGACTAGTTATTTATTTGTGGGGACGTAAACACATTTCGCCTATTCATTTCTCATGCCATGATAAATCTAATAATATGAATATCATCCACCCATTTAACTACATTTACAACCTTACAAGTTACAAGTTCGAAACAAATGTTCTATCTCTATCTAACTCTTGATTTATTTTTCTGTTTTCTGGATAAAAATATGAAAAAAGGACAAACTATCACGTTTGTATTTATCCAAATACTATTTGGTAATAAATGCATTTTCAAAGCAAACAAGTCATATACTCAATCTTGTGCATATTGTTTTCAAATCACATTTATTGCTACGAACACCTCACTTTTGTAATTATTTCCTCAAGAGTATTTATTTTGAAAGCTAGATAAAACTAATCCTACTGATTAATTAATATGCATTTAATGAGACCTCTCTCATCTTGTGTGTGTATATCTGTCTATATATAACAGCAGCCAAGAACATGAAGACATCAAACTTTCTTTCTTTAAATCTCAAGATCAAGAACAATACGAGTCTTCAACAAGGTAAGCTAATTTCGAACCAAGATCCAAGTTAATTTGTTGAAATATTGTTATTTTCCATCTTCACTCTTTTATTGATTGACACATAAGTCATTCGGTTGATCAATTCTGCTGCTTTTATTTTTCTTTGTCATAATTATAATTAATATAAATACATGTTTTGTAACCCATCAATCTTCATCCAAATTTTCTAACGCAAAACCTGGTTTTTGTTTTTGTATTATGTTTTCTTATTCAGATTCCAGCCGAATAGTTTCTCAACATTCGTACTCGATCTTCGTGGAAGTCAAGAAATATGAATTATCAACAAGAAGCTGCGAGTAATCTTGAACTTGATCTGAAACTAAATATACTGGATTCATCTTTGCCCACTGAGAGCTCAACTTCATCGTTATGCTCGGAGGAAGCTGAAGGTGGAGGAGGAGAGGCTAAATCAATGGTGGTCGTTGGTTGCCCTAATTGCATCATGTACATCATCATGTCTTTGGAGAGTGACCCTAGATGCCCTAGATGCAACAGTCAAGTTTTGCTTGATTTTCTCTCAGGAAACTGTAGCAAGAAGAGCATCGATTAAGAAAATATTCATCTCAGAATGTTTGTTCTTTTTTTTCTTTTCGTTGATTTGTTGCCACATATATTGATAGTTTGAATTAATATAGACGAACGGATGCGTTCATATATAAAACTGATATCTAGCTATATACTTTTGTTTAGCAAGATATATATCGTTAATTTTATCTACGAATATTAATTCTTTGCAAATAGACTAAGATTATGTCGCTATAATTCATCATAAAATTGTTTTAGCGGTGGATTTATGGCAATTAATGACAGATGTGTCCTCTTCCAAACAATTATAGAATTCCTCTTTGGATACTAGATATTTCTTGACTATTATCGGGATATATTTAATTTGATAAGTGGAAAATTAGTTGTTGTTGACTTGTTGTAAGTTCAATCTATGTACGTGACATAACTACGTGTTTAACATGAAAAATGTGGAACAATGACTTTCTTCTTTTCCTTTTTTGCTCTAAGTGATTCTAACTTTAAATGAGAAGTCTACACACCTATAGTCATATATATACACATCATACATCAAATAATAAATAGGTTCGGTTTACTTGTTACCAAAGTTGTTGAACTAACAAATTAAATGTCTTAAAAATCATGAAGAAGTGTTGTTCTTATTATCCATGGGAAAAATCTTCACCTAAACTTACTATAAAAAAATGGATGTTTGTTTTCACATTAATGTCGGATTTAACATTACGTGTGTTTCGTTCCCTTTCCCAACTATCAATAGGAAGAACACGTATCGTACGTTTAAGTTTATTTCTCACATTTTCATCATTAAAGTCACCACTACGCACTACCCAATTTCAGTCGCATAAACAAAACAAACTGAAACTGTTTTTTCCTTCTTTTCTAAAGATTTTTAAAAGCAAAGATATTTCTTACTAAAATTCTAAATGCGGTTCCGATTTAGTTCCTTCACATATTTCTTCCATTGAAAAATGTTTTAAAAAATATAAAAAACATTCGATTAGACGTAACCCCTAATTTGTTCTAATCCATCTGAGTTTAACGTTGTAGTGATTTCTAAGAAGTATGCTTTAAAAGTATAGAAAACGCTAACTTTTTCAATGTATGAAAGTTATAGTTTCTACTTACTAGTAGCAAAACTTGTCACCAATTTATCGTTGAACTAACAATTACAAAGTGAACAAAATTTTGTTTTTGACAACTACAAGACGAAAAATAATTTTTCTTTTTAATGATTATATTATTGATCGATGTCACCTAAAACTGCAAAATGAAACTATTCAAACAAGATTTTTTCTATTTTGTTGATCGGAGGAATTCCAGATCGAAATCTGGCTTAATCCTCTGAAGCGCATAAAAATCCAGATTTTCTGGTCATTCATCAAGATTTTAGATTTATACGGATGATTAAAATCGCTGTGAAGAAAAGATTCAAACTATGCGAAAGAAAAGTTTTCATAGTAAACCCTTGGACTACTAGACCAAATCAAGATTACATCAAACTACAGACGTGTGTTTGTGTGTATATATGTAACAGATATGCGTATAGGTTCATGCAGGTAGCTCATGACAGAAATTGACGGAACACAGAGTTAATCTGATTCTTTAAAAATGTGGGAAGCTCAAATGCATGTCTTCATTATTTTATTATTTTACCTTCTCATGTTCCCAAGTCACGTGACATTCCTCCTCACCCTCGATCTTTTTGCATGCCAATTTCCACATATTTACACAATATATGATATATATCTCTCAATAATAAATAATGGCGGAGAAATATTGTTATTAAAATTCAAATACTTTATGTTATGAGATAAGATATCGAAAACAAATGAGTTGGAATGTTTTGTTTCTAATTAAATATTCTATCTAAGAAAGAAAAGTTGTTGATGTTCTGTAATAATATGAGTCATGCACATATCAAGACCTAACATCCAATCCAATAGTAACATTTGTTAATTCACAGTTTAATTACCCTTTCTCTTTCTCTCACTCACTTTTCCATTTCACCAAGCACTAATCGTGTGATCATCATCCTAGTGACTACTATATCTCTAAACCCTTCACACACTTCCTCTACACTTCTCGGCCTCTTCTTAATTTATAATTACAAACTCATGATATAAATCCAAATTGAGTACCATTTCTTCTTGTCAAGATCAAACCAAAGTTAGATTCCATGTCGAATCTGATTCGAACAGATCTTCCAAAAAAGAGGAAAAGAGGAGAAAGTAGGGTTTTTAGGCTGAAGACTTTTGGAGAGACAGGACATCCAGCTGAGATGAACGAGTTATCTTTTCGAGACAACCTCGGGAAGCTACTTGAGTTTGGTCACTTTGAGAGCTCCGGGCTCATGGGAAGTTGGTCATTTCAGCTCGAGGTTCATCGTCAACCAAATCCTCTCTATGTTCTTCTCTTTGTCGTCGAAGAGCCCATAGAAGCTTCTCTTAACCTTCGTTGCAACCATTGCCAATATGTTGGTGACGTCCTCTCTCTCTTTCTCTATCTTCCTCTCTCACTCTATCTATGTATACATTTTGTTTTGCATATCTATCTATGCATGCTAATATACCTTCGTAAATATGATCAACGATCATAACATAACAATCCCAAAGAAAACAAAAACTGGAAAGATGGTCTAGCTGATCAAGATGTAAACGTTTTTTTCTTGCATATCTAAGAACAAATATAAAAGTTGCAAAACAAAACAAAAAAAATGATATGGTGACTCAAGTGTTGACCAACCGGTTAAAAGTATATGAATTTTCATCAAAAACATATATTACAATTTGCCATGTATATGGAAACTTGCAGGTTGGGGAAACCAAATGATATGCAACAAGAAGTACCATTTCGTGATCCCTTCAAAGGAAACAATGGCCGCCTTTCTAAAACTAGAAGGCGGAGGCTACGCTTTACCCGAGAAGGAAAGTCTCTCCCATCTCGTGGAGCTTCAAGGCCACATCCTTCACGGCTTCTTTCACTCCAACGGTTTTGGTCACTTGCTCTCTCTCAATGGCATCGAGTCCGGTTCCGACTTAACCGGTCATCAAGTCATGGAGTTGTGGGACCGGATCTGCACCGGTTTAAAGGCCAGGTATTTATATCATATATATATCGTATAAGCCAATATTCAGCACAATTCTCTTAGTTTTCCTATCACATGCTATGAAATCTTGCATTCTTTCGTAGCTAATAATTACGATTTACATACAGTTAGTCATTTTATTAAAAATGGTTATAATTATGATTTTTAAAAAAGAAGATTTGGTTATAATCATTTGCATGCTACGTATGCTAATGTAGGAAAATAGGGTTGAAGGATGCATCGCACAAGAAAGGAATGGAGCTAAGGCTGCTGCATGGGGTAGCGAAAGGAGAGCCATGGTTCGGTCGGTGGGGTTACCGGTTCGGGTCAGGGACATATGGAGTGACTCAAAAGATTTACGAGAAGGCACTAGAATCGGTCCGTAACGTACCTTTATGCTTGCTTAACCATCACTTAACCAGCCTTAACCGTGAAACTCCAATCCTCTTGTCAAAGTACCAAACGTTATCCAGCGAGCCACTGATAACTCTCAGTGACCTCTTCATGTTCATGCTTCATCTCCACTCGCGTCTTCCAAGAGATAACTACATAAATAGCTCAAGAAACCAAATCATCTCCATCGACAGTACCAACTGTAGATGGTCTCAAAAGAGGATTCAAATGGCTATCAAAGTGGTTATAGAATCACTGAAAAGAGTCGAGTACCGATGGATATCGAGACAAGAAGTGAGGGATGCAGCAAGAAACTACATCGGGGACACCGGTTTGCTTGATTTCGTGTTGAAGTCGCTCGGGAACCAAGTGGTCGGGAACTATTTGGTTCGACGTAGTCTAAATCCGGTGAAGAAAGTGCTAGAGTATTGCTTGGAGGACATATCAAATTTGTTACCAAGTAGTAACCAAGAACTCATAACCCTTCAAAATCAAAATCCAATGGGGAAGACGACCAACGGACACAACAAGATCACAAGAGGTCAAGTGATGAAAGACATGGTCTATTTTTACAGACACATTCTAATGGACTACAAGGGAGTGTTAGGCCCCATAGGCATATTAAACCAAATCGGAATGGCTTCAAGGGCAATCCTCGACGCTAAATACTTTATCAAAGAGTATAACTACATTAGAGACACGTCAGCCAAAACATTTCAGTTAGATCGAGGGGAGAAGCTAGGAATATTCTGCACGATCTTGCGGAAATGTCATCACCATCATCATCAAAACAACGAGATATTAAAGACGCCTCCACAAGAGTGCATAGTGGTGAACAAAGATGCAACGATGAGTGAAGTGTATCGAGAGGCAGAGAGAGTATTTAGAGAGATCTATTTGGAACTTAGAGACGTGGTGGTGGAGTCAGTGGCGGATATTGGTCAAAAGAAGATCACAAGGGTTGATGAGTTAATGACGTTGAATGGGAATAGAGGATTAGTATTAGAAGGGAATGTAGGAATGGTGATGATGAAGTGTTATGATGATGATGATGATAAGAAGAAGAAGGATAGGAGAATTGAGTGCGAGTGTGGAGCAAAAGAAGAAGATGGAGAGAGGATGGTGTGTTGTGATATATGTGAAGTATGGCAACACACGTGGTGTGTTGGTGTTCAACACAATGAGGAAGTTCCTCGCATTTTTCTTTGTCAAAGTTGTGACCAACATCTCATTCCTCTCTCATTTTTACCTTAAAACCATTCATCTTCAAGCGTTACCTTTTCATTAAATAAAATTAAAAAGAAATGCGTTACATGTTCAGTGTTTGTAACCTTTAACCGCAGTGACATCACAAATACTTTGTAAGTTCAGTGGTCGTAATGATGATTATTCAATAGAGATGAAATGTATTTAGTGTGCAAATTGCAATAATTGGAATTGGAGACAATGGAAGCCAAGTTGGACCGAGTCTAGACACAGAAGTTGCGTTTGTAACAACCGAGTCAAAGCGTCTCCACGACGCGTTTCTCACACTCTCCACTTCTCTCTTTCCTCGTAACTCTTTTTCTCTAGGCCCATATATAGGAGTAATAGGACTAATACGAAGATTACCAAAATTAAATAATAACCGACATTTGAAGACGAATAAGAGCCCAAGAGACGGAATTTTGATTTTACGATTGAAAACGATGATTAATTCAGGAGATCTCTCCGATCGGCGGATACACAAACCTAGCCGCGGATCAGTGGTGGTGAGGGAGGTCTGGGCTGATAATATCGACTCGGAGTTCGAGCTGATCAGTGGGATGGTCGAGGATTACCCGTTCGTCTCCATGGACACGGAGTTTCCCGGCGTGATTTTCAAGGCGGAGCCAGCTCTTCTCCGCCGTGGAGACCCTGCTTATCTCTACAAGCTTCTCAAGTCCAACGTCGACGCTCTCAGCCTCATCCAGGTCGGTATCACTCTCTCCGACGCCGACGGAAACCTCCCGGATCTCGGCGGCGGTGATGGCCGTCGCTTCATCTGGGAATTCAACTTCCGCGACTTCGACGTGGAGCGCGACGCGCACGCGCCGGATTCGATCGAGCTGCTCCGTCGTCACGGGATCGATTTCGAGCGGAACCGCCGCGAGGGTGTTGAATCGGAGAGGTTCGCGGAGCTGATGATGTCGTCGGGGCTGATCTGCAACGAGTCGGTGAGCTGGGTGACGTTTCACAGCTCGTACGATTTCGGCTACCTAGTGAAGATTCTCACGCGCCGGGAGCTTCCGAGCTCGCTGCGGGAGTTTCTCCGGCTGCTAAGAGCTTTCTTCGGCGAGCGAGTGTACGACGTGAAGCACATGATGAGGTTCTGCGAGCGGAGATTGTACGGCGGTTTGGACCGGGTGGCTCGGTCGCTTGAGGTTAACCGGGCGGTTGGGAAATGCCACCAGGCCGGTTCGGATAGTTTGCTGACTTGGCAGGCGTTTCAGAGGATGAGGGACTTGTATTTCGTCGCGGACGGGCCGGAGAAACACGCCGGGGTTTTGTACGGTTTAGAGGTTTATTGATGGTGGAGGTTATTGGAACTATATTAATTAACTCAATTAATCATTGTAGGCTTTGTAATCATAGTAGAAAAATCGAAAATTCAATTTGTTCATCCTCGTTTATTCACAAGCGCTAAACTAAGTCAAGTCACAAACCGGAAATAAACAAGTGATCAGAAAAATGTGATCGAGTTATTGGTTAACTGAAATCTAACCGAACCAAATGAAACTTTAAGGTTGGATTTTTTTATGGAGACTATCCTCTCTTGTGTCATCTACTTGTAGTAGCTCGAGGAATATGAAGTCTTCAAAACTCACATACATGTCAAAAAGAAAATAGATGAAGCAGCTGCAATCTATGGCTCATCATCATTCTGTTAGTTTTTTTTATACATAGAACACTTATTAGATAAATCCATCATTCTGTTAATTTTACATAGAATGTTACACTTGATGAGTTTACATAAACGAAAGAAAGAATAAAATTGAAGACTATCTCTCAAGCACGTCTTTTGCTGAGACGCCATGAGTTAGGCTCGTTATAACGATCATACAGAGGCTCAATGCGTTCTTGGCGCTTACGCTTACTCATCTTTGGTTGGATCAGAGACTTTGAAGAACCTTGGAGCTAGCTCAACAAGCCACTTTGGGTCAATCACAGTCACTTCCCTCATATACTCTTTGGTCGTCATCAGACAAGATCGTGATAGATCACCCAGTCGGGCTGCCTTTGAACAGAGCACTGCTCGGATGTATGTAAACCGCTTGATTCTCCACCAGCGTCCTGTAACCTTCCTGTGGATCTTTCCTTGCTCTGTGGAAGAAGAATCCTGCTGTGATTGCTTTCCTTATCTTGGTGAAATTCTTCCCAGCACTCACCACATCTAGCTTATACTTGTCCATAATGCTGACAAGTTGTTTCCTCACGTCTTGAGCACGCCGTAGAGATCGTGACTGTATGAAGTTCTCGAAACACCACGGACCTGAGAAGTTCTTAGCCTTCCAAGCTTCATATACAGCTAGCAATGTCAAGTGGTCACCTTCAGGCTGGAAAAACTTGGCCCTCTTTTGGTCTGCTTGAGCTTGCTTCTCCCTCGGTCTGTAGAATATGTTGCCCGTTTGGATCATCGCAATCATCGTCAATATCTCATCGCTGCACCCGAGATCCACACTAGCCAACAACATTTTAGAGAGCGGCGGTTCAAGAGGAAACTCCGCCATTTTCCTACCTAGCTTTGTCAGCAATCCTTCCTCATCCAACGCTCCCAGGCTGTACAGCTGTTCCATAGCAGAGATCAAAGCTTGCGGCTGCGGTGGATCCATGAAGTCAAACGATAACAGGTCGTTGATCCCCATTGCTTTCATGGTCAGCGTTGTCATTCCGAGATTAATCCTCTGGATTTCAGGGATTGATGTAGGAGGCATCTCGTTACGGAATGCGCTCTCAGTGTAGAGACGGTAACATTTACCAGGACCAGTACGACCAGCACGTCCAGCTCTCTGCTCCGCCGACGCCTGTGAGATTGGAGTTATGACTAGCGACTCTAGCCCTTGCTTTGGGTTATACACGTTCTGCTTCGCAAACCCGGGATCAACAACATAATAAATCCCATCTATCGTCAAAGAAGCTTCTGCAATGTTTGTAGCCACAACCACTTTCCGTGTACCAGGAGGAGCAGGATCGAAGATTCTAGACTGCATTTCACTAGGAAGGGCACTGTAAACAGGAAGAATGATGAGTTCAGGAACGTTTTTACCTAGATTCTTCATTCTCTCGTACAGAGACTGGCAAGCAGAATCGATTTCTTCCTGTCCCGTCAAAAACACAAGAATGTCACCCTCTGGTTCAGTCAAGTGGATCTGAAGAACTGTGATGAGAGCTGCATCCAAGTAATCGGTTTCTGGCTGTTTGGTGTAGAGTTTCTCAACAGGGAAGGTTCTTCCAGGGATTGTGAAAATGTTGCAGTTGAAGAAATACCCAGAGAACTTCTCTGCATCCAATGTGGCAGACGTGACTATCAAACGAAGGTCAAGCCTGCGTTTCAACAGCTTCTTCAGAAGACCAAACAGCACATCAGTGTGAATTGTCCGCTCGTGAGCTTCATCAAGCATGATAACAGAGTATTGAGAGAGGTTTTCATCAGTCAGAATCTCCCTAAGAAGCATACCATCAGTCATGTACTTGATCACCGTATCTGGTCCAGTACAATCCTCAAACCGAATCGCATACCCTACCTCCTCTCCCAAACGACAACCAAACTCCTCAGCTACTCTCTTGGCAACAGACATCGCGGCGACCCTACGAGGCTGAGTACACCCAATCTTTCCTTTTGTGGTGTAACCTGATTCGGCAAGATACTGAGTCATCTGTGTCGTCTTACCAGACCCAGTCTCACCAATGACCACCAGAACTTGGTTATCATGCACAGCCTGTATCAACTCCTTTTTCAGCTTGTATATAGGAAGGCTCTCCCTTTGCTCCTGCATAGAGAGCTTTGATCTCTGTCCAAAAGTCGGAGTTTTCCCGAAAGCATCCTTCTTCCATTCCGGCATGTCATAAGGAAAGCTAACATTAAGTAAATAAGAACTGAATAATGGAAATAGCTATGAAGAAGCATGTTCGTAGCCGTTAGGATGCAGCTGCATCAGACTAATTCCAGAGATTCATTGGCAGGACACTACGAAAACTCATTAGCTTACCGTTTTAGCAAGGTTGCAGGCACGGTCAGGAGAATTGAGGATCTCGTAATACAACACAGAGAAGTTCAATGCCAGACCAAGACGGATAGGGTGTGTTGAAGCGAGCCCCTTTACATTTTCCTGCACAGCGTAAACACAGCAAAAAAAAAAGCCATAAGCTTAACAACGGCAAGCTCAGACTAATTCCAGAGATTCATTGGCAAGGACACTACAAAAACTCATCAAATAACAAACAGTGAATCAATCACTAAATCTCAAGACGCATGAAGAAACTGGAATCACCTGAAGTGTTCTTGTGGCAAATTTGAAGAAGAGCAAGCTCCACCTTCAAATCATTCAACTGAGTTGATAGATCCGATTTTGATTTCTCCCTTAGCTCATGAACAATACACAAAACACAATCACATGAGCCAATCAGAAAACCCACAAAACCAGACAGAAATCAACATCCTAAAGGCACTAATCCGCAAATCCAATGAAACCCAGAAATCAGAATCCGAAAATCCACAAAACCCACAACTGTGAGAGTGAGAGAGAGAAAAGCTTCGGTGTCAAACAAGAGAGAGAGAGAGAGAGAGAGAGAGAAGAGCTTACATAGTTATGGGAACGGTGGTGAAGAGGAGAGAAGAGGGTGGTGGAGAGGAGAGAAGACGGTGAGTCGGTGAAGAGATAAGAACAGTCGAAGCTAGATTTGGTTTGGTTGCAGAAACCTGGGTCTAACCGGTTAACCCGTTTAATTATCTTCAGACCCATTGAAACTGGAAACTGGAAAACATATGAATATGATAATTTTGTGAAACTGGAAAACATATGAATATGAAATTGTCTTTGTTTAATACTTTAATGGTTCACAAAGAGTTTTATAACATAAGTAGACCTGTATGATAAAACCACATTATTCACAATAGTGTAACATTTTATATAGACGCATGCTTGGGATCATTTCCTCTTATCGAATGAAGAGGTTTGGCGGGAGTACTCATTATCATAATCATCAAGAGGATTAGCATAAAGGCGAAGCAATCTCCCAAGTGATTTCCCACGGCGGTCGTGTGGTGACCGGAGATGGGAACAGACGTCGACAAAAGCACGGACGATGAGATTGTGATGAGGAGGAGGGTTAATGTCCAAGAAACACCTAAGAAGCTCCTTGAGATCATCTTCGGTCTCGATATCTCGCTCTTTAATCATCTGATTCATCGACTTCTTGTAATCTTCGAATGGATTGACTGACTCCTTAGCCATCGCGACGCTCTCATCTATCTTAGGACATGGGCTGCGTAACACCGTGGGAGAAACCGGTGGTCCCAAGGTGTAGTCGTTGCTGCGAGAGGAAGGCAGAACGGTGGAGCCGCAACAACCGCACGCCATGAAAATGGAGTTGAATATGGTTTTGAGTGTATATCTCTTCTTCTTCAAAGGCATCTTTTTGGTTATTTTGTTTTACGAAGAGGGAAGAAAAAAGAAGTTGATATTATTGAGTGAGGGTGTTGGTGTGGGAAAGTTTGTTAAAAGAGGAACCTTTTTGTTTTTTTTTGTTTTTTAACTTGGCTTGGAGATTCAGTATTGCTCTTTGCTTTGGAGATGCACAATTTTGATGGATTTCTCTTTGTAACTTGTTATGATTGGGTGAATTCAAAGTTATTTTGTACGTCATGATATCATTTGGAAGAAAAGTAACTCTTGTCGTGCTTCCTGTACTTTCGTATAATTTAAGAATCCGTATCCTATGGTCTGACTATCTCACTGTACGAAATGGAACGCGTGAAAACTTACTAAGAACAAATATTAAGAAATCAACTGGGTTAAGGCTTGATCTATATAATAAGCCGAGAAGCTAAAAAGAAGATACAAAAGAAGGGTTGGGGTTCTCTAGTTTTATTTTCGCAATGACTAATTCTACGATAACGCATGCAGCTACTATACAAGTACAACATAACTCTGGCTGGATTCACCGAAATCAGATTTTATGTACAGATATATGGTGTAGATCTTGTAATGTGGTAAGGTAACTTCAGCTACCTGTAGATTTCGTAGCAGTGAGATTTTCTGGTGTTGGGCTCGATGGAGTTCTTGGCTGCTCCAAGGTTGTGTTGCTCGGTCCAGCACGGTCCTGATCAAATGTAACTATCTGGTTCCAGTCCGCTCCAGCTAATGATTATAAGTCAAGGAAACTCTAAACAGGCTTAATAATTTGGAGGAGGAGAAACTCAAAAGGCTCAAAGAGAGAGATAAGATCAAAGCAAAAGAGAGTGACAGAGGTCAAAGGATACATTCGTTTGGCCACAAGTCTGTGATGCTGACTTCGCCTACCTCTGACCTGAGCCAGTAATCTACATCCATCTGTACATAATGTAAACATACAGATAATTCATGAGTTTAAGCTTTGAAAATCTGATCTTTGCCGATTACTTTTCCTAGCTATTTATTGCTTTCAGAAGTTTCCAGACTGTGATTCTGTGAACTGGTGAAATAATTTAAAGCTGAAGAAGAAGTTGGAACTTACATCCAAATCTGGAGGAACAATCTTCATGATACCATCAACAAAGTCATGAGATTCCATCTCGGAGTAAACTCTTTGGGTATCATCAACTTCCTCAGTTTCCATGTTCTTGTCGGTGCTGTCTTCCTCCATCGGCGTGGGTACATCTTGGTTCTCAGGGAGACCAGACGTTGATGGAAGATTTGAAGGTTCATCAGCATTAGGTATCTCCTCAAACTTCTCTTCGAATTGACTAAAATTTAAAACACACAATGTCAGTCTCATTCCCATTTTACAAAATTATCATTCGCAAGAACATAACACCTGAGGACAGAATTACCTGACTAGGTACACGTCTATTGGTCCCATTGTGCTTCTCAGAATTATTCTATATCTCCTCTGGGGATAACCACCAGCCTGAATTATGGAAGGACAAGAGATGGAAATAGTTACAGACAGTGCTTCGCTCATCTGGTTTTGTATGTTCTTCAAGCTTACCTCATCGGGATCTGGCACCTCAAGAGTTGTTCCATGCGGTGCCTTCACAGCTATCAACGTCTTATTCTAAATGAGAGACGCCACAAACCAAGTTTTCCTCAGGGAGGCAAAATGCAAGGGAAAAGGAAAGAGAAACACGTAATAACTAAAAGGGGATCAAACCTGGAAGCATGGTAGGTTCTTGATGTCGTCTTCAGTAACAAACAGTAACCTAAAAAGTGTGAGAGTCAGAACTCAGAACAAACAGATGTGTTGTATTGTATCTTTCGCCATGAGAAATAACAGGAGACGCCTACCTTTTATTGTTCTCATCTTCGCTCAAGCTTGTTAATCTTTCTTGGGATTCTCTGCAATCAGGTCGATTCTCAACAAGATTGTACAAGAATAGCAGAAATAGGAAATAAATATGGTTTACGAAAATACCTGATTTGGTCATCTAACTTTGCCTCCTCAGCTGTGAGGTTTTGTATTTCATCCTGTGCAAAGATCAAGGGAAAACTAAATGTCAAAACTAAAAATGGTACTGGGAATTTAATGAACCCCAATAGTTTTTCAAACAGAAAGACGAAACAAGAAACAAATGTAAGTGACTGAGATTGATAGAGAAAAAATGCAGTAATCGAATAGTTAGTAATTCAACATCTCTGAAATTAAACTGTATTGCATCACATAGTTTGCAGTGGAACATGTCATTGACAGGTAAAGGAATACACATGTTCTGTACCTGTAAGTTAGCTATGCTTTCGACTGTTTCTCCTGGTTTTGAGACATCGAGTCCCCTAAGACAGACAATAGAAAACTCAGAACACTGTCACTCACTCATGAAGCATCAAAAATCAAAGAAATCCAAAATTTGAAAGTCGGAAGACATGCTTACTTCCACTGAATCCTATTCTTGAGCGTCTTCTCAATCAAACCTATTCCTTCTAACACGTTGGTTATATCGTATATCCGTCTCTTTTGTACCTGCATTTACAGGAACACGTAATTATGACTTGACCGAGAGTAATACATCAAGAAGGCAGCTAAAAGTTTGAATATGCCACCTCTAATGTATCAGCTGCTTTATTCAGATCAAGAATACCATCTTCTGCTTGTTTTATCAAATTGATAAATTTCTTCGTCAAAAGACCTGAAGCAGATTAGATCACAAATAAAGCTTATTATCCAAAATGTAGTTTTCCATCAAACATTAGTTTGTGCAATAAGTTATTACCTAGCGAACTATCATACCGACAAGTACCCGCCTGTGCAAAGTTGTTTCCAGGAGAACCTGCCAACACAAAAGATCCTTCTCACTACATTGCAGTTGCCCCATCATCTCTTTCATGTAATTGTTAGCTCAGAAGAGCAAAGTTTATCATTGGCTAGCTAGAAAAGAAACACAGAGCTTTCAGGCGAAACTCACCTGCATTAGAGCCAGAAGCTAGCGTTCCAGTTTTATTAGACTTGACTGACCTAGATGACTTTTTGGGCTTCCCTCCTTTCCCTGATACAGGTGTTTGGAGAACACCCGTATTCAATTCACTGGGCTCATCTATTTGGTTTACCATATCTGTCTTACGCTTCAGCTGCCAATAAAAGCACCCGAATTGTACAGTTAAATACATCACAAAGCAAAACAAAATCTTTAACAGACGAATAACAGAAGAAGACAGACACCACTAAATAACATTGAATCAGTAGAGAACCTCCACGCTTGACTTCTATAACATTATCCTATAAGCATCATACTGTCACTTAGCTGAATCTAAAAGCATAGGCAAAAATAGCAAAATTTAGAAAGTAAACTAACTCCGTAGAAACAAAAAAGCAGAAATTTGCTCTAAATAGCAAGAAGAGGAACACCAAAAACCCTAATCCAGTAACTAAAGTACTTCGTAGACAATTGTAACTTGCAATGCCTATTCCATATACTACAAACGAGCCCAATCAAGGAGGCCAAACGCAATTACACCGCCGGAATCAGATCCCAGCACAATTCTCATCGGAATTTCACACCTTGGTATAATCATTCATATAATCAAGCCTCGAAATTATAGCGAGTAGTTAAAAATTCACAGCCAAAATCGACACTAATACTTACAGCAGATTTAATAACGATCGCCTCAGCAGCCTGATCAGGAGTTCCACCTCCGCGAGTCTCCGCCGCGTCAAACCGGTGATACTCGCCGGGAGCAACTAACGGAGGCTTCATAGAAGCCACGGAATGATGATACTGCCGCTTGGAAGGTGGATATTGCTCAGAATCTTGCTGAAACTCAGACATCGGAGCGAATCTCGATAATTCCACCCTGAAAACCCCCAAAAACGAAACGGCAAAAGCAACCGAAAATTCTCGTGAAAAAAAAATCTCCAGAAATTCGGATCTCCGGGAAACAGAGATCCTAACAGGTTTCCGGAGGCAGATCCGCGGCTGGAATTGCTGGGATTCCGGGAAGAGAACGTGAGCAGATCGGCGAAACGAAAAAAAGCGGGAGAGGAGAAAAAAAAAAGAGACGGTGGAAGAGAGGAAGAAAACGAGGGAATGAGTTGCGTTTGGTTCAGATTACTGATGTGGAGGGAAGCGCACTCCTACACTATCTTTTTTACTCTTAACCAAAATCCCAACAAATAAATAATCCTCTCTTTTTTTTTACATTTTTTAATTACATTCGGTATACAAATTAGTAAAGGTTTTTTTTGGTCCCTCAACTAAATTATTAAACCTCTGTAGTCTAATTTTGGAAACCGCTTAACTGAGTTGAGAGTTGAGAACTAAAAAATGTTAAATTAATTTGTGTTCAATGAAGTTAGGATCTAATTTTGAGACACCTGAAAGAAAAAGAAAAAAAACTAAACAGCTGGTGGTCAGTAAAAATTGTGTTGGATTTATTCGTGTTAAATATTTGAGCAGGTTTTATCAAACTGTTACATCCGTTACACGCGTTAAGCGTGAACAAATAATCGTTCAAAATCCGTCAAACATATACGTTTTTGATTAATACTCGTACACGAGCCCAAAATACTGACAAGGAAAAAGAAATCTGTCATAGACTAATATCCTGGTGTTGATGAATTCTACTGAACCAGTGATAAACAAAGATTTCGAACCGGTTAAGCCCGTCGGACTGGTTAAACCACAAAACGTCACCCTACCATAAAAATGATAAATACACATGTTGACCCTGAAACAGAGCAAATGAACACTAGTGAAATATAAAATTTGGACTCAGAAACCAGTCTTATGTTTTGACTCGATAAAATCCAATTAAATCCAGCTCATGGAAATTTTGGCACTGATAAGAGGTTAAAAAAACAACATGTATTGTGTGGATATTAACAATCAAGACAACTGAATTTTGGGAAAACGTTTGTTATGTGAATGCAGACACTCAGATTCTGACTGAAGCTGCTATACATATAGACAATTAAAAGAGATATTAATACAAAACATACACAGACACTTTACTTGAACAGATGGGCAAGATCAGGGTCATCCAAATCCACATCAAGCAATCCATTCAACCGCATGAACTCAATGTATCGATCTGGAGGAGTGATGGCACGAGTGTTGTTGTTCTTCGGTTTGAAACAATGAACTCTCTGGAGATCTCTTGCAAGCCAACGCACAAAATCTCTGTCCAATGGAGGTACAATCTTCAAATGGATCTCTTCGCGTTCTTCTTTCACCGTTGTTGTAGCTTTGTTTCCCATCTTCAAAACCTCAATTAAACAAAAAAAACAAGCCTGCATATATAGAGACTAGAGAGTATTGAGAAAATGAAGATCACAACCTTTTAGCAGATGAATTCTGGGAGTTTAAAACAATCTACAAATCTCTCCATCACCTAAAGCAACATTCACACTATTAGCTAATTTAAGTATTAAACCTTTATTAACAAACCAACCCTACATTATATATCTCATATGAATCTCAAGTAAATGCATTGACCACACAAATTCAGGTAAGTTCTTAGAAATGATGAACATATCATCAGGAAAAATAGTAGTATACTTTTAGAGAAATCCGTCTTCTAAAATTCATTAAACAAAATTTCTAAAACTACATAGGTGGGGGAAGTGGAAAATTTACTTCAATTTCTATCACTATGTAAGAAAATAAAAACAGGTGTTGTAATCCAAAAACCTAGCCAACAAATTAAGTCGTAGCTAGATCAGAAAAAATAAACAGCTGGGAAACGAAACAGGAAATCTAGAGATTTTACCTTTCAATCAGAGAGAAAACATTCCAGAAATCGATGGAGAATTAGAAGAATTTCTGACCAGACACTAGAGAGCGGTGGTTGCAGAGAGAGAGAAGAGATGTAATCAAAATGCGTTAAGATGTATGGGCTTTACGCAAAATTGTATGTCGTTTTGTGGCTTAGGCCCAATAACTTAAAAGCCCATTATCTGGATGCTCAAGTGGAAACGAAAGAAAATATGTAGAGTGCACATGTAAAAGATGCAAGAAGATGACGTGCACATGTTACGAACGTATACGCTAATACGCGCATTCTCTTCGTATCACTTAATCCAATATGTAAAAGAAAAATATAGTAAAAGCAAGATTAATTATTACGTTTCATTAGATCCATAAATAGACTGATGATCGGAGAAAAAACCAAAAATCTAAAAGCTCGCGTCCGTATAATTCGTCCGGAACAAGTAATCACACGGCCTCATATGTCCGAGCAACGATCCTTTCATATTTCCAGCCGGGTCCACCGTGAAATTCACCGGTATGCCGCCGCAGTTCACCATCAAGAAACCTTGACCAGGAGAACGCGAACGACCGGTTATACGAAAGCTAGACACGAAACTGACCCTAAGATCCCAAACCACTCCGCCGCCAATACCGTCGGGCGTCGCAACCGTTTTGAAAACGGAATAAGGAAGCGACTCGTTTATTTTTCCGCTGACGAGTTTCCCGAAATAGTCCGTAGTGAATGACTCGGAGATAAGCTTGTCGCCGCGGAGGAGACTCGATTTGATCGTGTGGAGAGAGATCTTGCACGTGTTGCCTGTGCTCTCGGCCACAAAACTGACGTTCCAATCAGCGGTTGCGTTTGCGTTTGTGGTGGAGGTGTTTGAGACGGAGAAAGAGTCGACGAAGACCTCCATGTGACAAGTCCCTAAGGCGGCTAAACTGGTTACTATTGTTAAATAAAAAGACAAACAGAGTCCCGTGATTAAGAGAGTAAAAAAGAGGAAGATAACGCAGAAAGAGGTTCGAGTAAGCTTGAACGCTCTTTCTCCGTCATCACCGTTTGCGTTTCCGGAGGCTGGAGCTTCCCGGCGGCATCGGCAGTGTTGGCTCCGCAGGCCACAATGGGGACAATTAGATCTTGCCATTATAATTTATGAGAAAAATAAAGATACACTTTGATTTATGGTTAACATTGCAAGCTATCAAAGTATCTTAAGAATATTTGTAATTGTTGATTTAGTTTCAGAAAATCTGAACTAAGGAGAAAAATATGCTAAATTTCAAAAGTGTCTAGACTATGTTTTCTCCGTTTTAATATGTAATCTAAACAATAAAAGATATCTCTAATTCGTGTATTGTTTATTTTGAAACAATTTAAATTTAACTTCAAATCTGACCAGGTCTCCGATGATAATCTCCGAAATATCATAACAAGATCACTTATCCACACGTACAAAATAAAATTATAATGGGAAAACGTAGCATTTTTTTGTAATTAAAATTTATTCGGAAATGATGTCCTACCATCTTTCTAATCATACATATAAATATATAATGTAGATTTTTATGATTCAGATTGTTAAGATCACATCAAAACCATTCCTCCTTTATCTCTCTACCTCAAACGCCCAAAGAAAACAAATATAGCTAATAGCTTGCCGGAGATAATGAGCGGATTCCCAACGCCACCGTCCTCAGCCACTGATCCTCCTCCTACTTCACAGTGGTGGAATCAACTATATTTATTAATTTTTCGTCATAATGAACGCACTGAAGAGGAAAAAAGGTCCATTACTAAACCCATGGTTCTCGGCTATGGAGCCGCGTTCAGTTTCATTGCCATCTTCTTCTTGATCTTGAATGTTGCCAACAGACTGATTCCCTGCAACGTCAGCTTCTCCGTGGAATCTATCTCCGCTTCTCCCTCTTCCGCCACGTGGCACGTCGATTTCCTCGTGACATCCCCGACCTCGATGTGTCCTGTCTACTACGACGTCGATGGCGTGTACGCGAAGCTAGGTTCCTTAACCACCACCGTTTTGAATACAACCCACGAGGGTCTTTCACGTGGCCATACCAAGTTTTCGGTGGATTTAGCTACGGAGGGTAATCAAAGCCACGTCGCTGCAGCTTTTCCTAGTGTTTTGGACGTGAAACTTAGTGCGAAGAAGAAGAAGCTTTTACTAGTAGATGATTACGGACATTTCGATATTAGGTGTCAGATTCTGAATCCCGGTTATGAGAAGACTAAATGCCATTCTTCTTTCAAAAAGTTGAAACAGTGTTGCTAAATTTTATTGAATATGTATGGCTTATGAGTCATGAGGCTTCGTTGCTTTCCTCGTCTTTTTCTTTTTCTTACTTCAATTTTATGTTTTTGTTGTGATCACATTAATCTTTAGCAAATTAAAATGGATTCTAGCTTTCGTGAAAAGTAATCCCTACGACTATATTAGTATTTTACTATTTTACAAGAATACAATTAACGATTAGTGAGTGAATGAGATGTTCCGCAACCCTAGATCTCTACATCGACGCCGGGTTACTTCGAGTTGCAATATGTACATGCAAATTTTTTAAAATATGGTTATCTTAATTTTTTTCCCCAACAAATATGGTTATCTTTATTGAAAACATATAAATTTCGTCAAAGTATAACCACGTCCATAATCCCATCTTATTTGATCAACATAACTACGAGTAAAATACAAATAAAAGAAATAAAATAACCTAAAGCAAAGAACTCGTAAATAGAGATCAAATTCAAATGAATCATGGTCGGGGAGATCTAAAGGAAAGATTCAAATCATCACTGAATAAATAATCACACCGTTTCATATTTCCTAGCAACGATCCAATCACATTCCCCGCCGGATCGGCCGTGAACTTCACCGGTAAATCGCCGCACAACACCATCAAGTAACCACCTCCGCAGTATACACTCACTCCGGCGGCAATCTCCACCCGATAATCCCTAACCACGCCGGCCATAACTCCCGGCATTGCCACCGTTTTGAAATCGACAGCTAATACCTTCCCGTCTGTTTTGTCTTCGGTAACAAGCCGTCCGAAAACATCCACCGACGTAGGGGACTCGGAGATGACGTCGTCGGCACGAAGGAGACGCGATTTGATTGTATGGAGAGAGATTTTGCAGTCGGAGACCGGACTCATCGCGATCAAACCGATTCTCCAATCAGCAGTTGAAATGTTTGCGTTTACGTCTGAGACGGAGACGGAGACGGAATGGGCAAAGAGGTCCAAGTAACAGCCAGATGTCCCGTTGAAAAATAGTTTTCCTGTACAGAGGAGTAAGATAAGGTAGAAAAAAATAGCCCAACAGGAGTAGCAACTACATAAACAAGCTGGAGTGATCTTCAGTAGCACATCGTTTGCGCCGCGGGATACGGTGGTGGATGCTTGCCGGCGGCATTGGCAATGTCGGAGGCCACAAGAGGTACATCCAGAAGCTTCCATGTTGTTGCAAGTTTAACAATGCTTTATGAAAAGATTAACTTAGTTATAAGGTTTTAGTAAATACAAATGAAAAGTTGATTCTTTATACTTTAGTTTTTTTTTTTTTTTTTTTGTTATAATATCGTAATCTTCGTTTTGTTGATAAAGATCCGCAAGAAATCCTAAGGGAGGTTGGTCTTGTTTATCTACTTTAATTACTAATTTAATAAATAATATATATACAGTTAGTAAATTAAATTATACGGAAGCTAACATAATAATGATTTGAAGGAAATTGGAACTACTTTCTTCTTTCTTACACCGAAATCGGAACTGTTTTCTTTTATTTTTTCTTTTTCTTTCTAATGCCGAAATCGGAACTACTTACTTGTAGGATATGAACGTGATATATTGTATGGAAGAAGGAAAAACAAAATATTTTATTAAATAGACTTAACTTGAAACAAAAAAGAAAAGAAAAACAAGAAGAAGATGAATGAAAACTAGACGCTCAATTTAAATTAAATAAAAACATTTGAATGCATAAAAGAGGAATGACAAATAATATTCTTAATGTTCTCATGGCTTCGGGTCAGATTTTGACATGTTATATCAAAATGTCCAGCTCTATCATCATCTACGTAACGCTTATGCTTCCCAGCGAGTTTGACGTGTAGTAGCTGCCCGGAAGAAGCGGCGTCGTTTCCACTACCCTCAGCATCGAAAGCCAACGAGAAAGCCGTGTGATCTCTTGAACTACGCTTACGAGTGATCTTGAAAACGTCGACGTTTAGCTGACCGAGCCTCACTGAAGTATCGCCGTCGTAGTAGATAGAGTATCTGGAGCTCGGGTTTTCGACGAGGAAGTCGACGTGCCACGTGGCGGAGGAGGGAGAGAAGGCGACGGATTGGATGGAGAATTTGGCGTGGGAGTGAGCTTGGTCGATGGATGAAGAGACTGCATATATGATGATGACGGTGATCAAGCCGCCGACAAAGGGTGAAAGGAGAGCCACAAATTCCTTGAAAGTTGCTTGACCACGTTCTTTAATAGTCAATATTGGTCGTGACCACCACTCTCGAAGACGACTGAAGGTGGAAGACGGTGGCGCCGTTGGATATCCGTAGGTATAAGAGTTTGTTTCGGTAGCCATATTTTTTGTGATCTGGTTTGGAGAGAGAGCAAGAAGAATTCTATATTTGATGTTATCTTATCATAAGATTATTGAAAAATCAATCTCTTAATTTATTAATTATTTATTTTTTGGCTGTTTGTTGAATTTATTGTGCGTGGATAAAGAAAGTTTGTTATGATATAATTAAATTAGTTAAGAAAAACATCATATTATATTGATGTAAAAAAAAGTTTTACCAGAATCAGTTTATGCAACAACTCATTACAAACTTGAAAACAAATACTCAATATATATATATGGTGGAATCCTTGCTTGAATTATGAGGCTTCTTGCTTCTTGCTTGAATTGTTTACAAATTTTGAACTTTGGTCTTTCTTAAAGTATCTTCCTCTTTGTTTGTTTTTTCTTTTATCGTAAGTGTTTTTTCACATCCATTAAGCCACAAAACTATAATGTTTTGTACAGTTATGAAAAAAATATAACAACAGAGCAGTAAAAAATAAAAATCAAAAAAATAACCTAAAGCCAAGAATAACTCGTAAATAGATTTATGCATGATCGGGAAGATTCAAGTTATCCCGGATTAAATAGTCACATCGTCGCATACTTCCAAGCAACGATCCAACCATATTTCCTGCCGGATCCGCCGTGAGTTTCACCGGAATATCCCCGCAAAACACAGTCACGAAACCATGTCCACGGTCTAGCTTCAATCCGGCGACAATCTCCACCCGATAATCCCATACCACGCTGCCGATAGCTCCCGTCGTCACCACCGTTTTGAAATCGATAGTCGTAGACGACTCATCAGTTTTTTCGTACGTAACAAGTGGCTCGAGGCCATACAACGGCGGAGACACCTCGGAGATAACTTGGCCGCCACGAAGGAGACGCGATTAGATTGTATGGAGAGAGATGCTACATCCGGTGAGAGGACTCTTGGCAGCCAAACCGATTCTCCAATCAGCGGTTGAAACGTTTGCCCTTGTGCTTGAGTTTGAGACATAGACGGAGTGAGCAAAGAGGTCCACGTAACAACCTTTTCTCTCCAGGCTGTGAATAACTCCAAAGAAGAGAGGGACGAGGATGAAGAAAATAGTCAAACAGGAGTAGTAACGACACCAACAAGCTGGAGTAATTTCGAGGGCTGCGTCGTCTTCGGAAGCGGTGGCTGAAGCTTGACGTCGTCCAGACGTTTCCATGATGGAAGTTTATGTAAACTGAAAAGATTAACTATTAGTTTAGGTTTTGATGAGGTTTGTTACTCTACGTAATCAACAAGACGAGTTGTTATTCCCTATCCATATATATAAGAAAAAATAATCACCTATTTTAAAAAAGAAAATTCTAGTCCTTTTGTTGATAAAGTCCAAAGATCAGTGGGAAATTATCTATGTTTACCTACTTTAATTATTTATTTAAAAATAGTTTGGGATTTTAAAACATTAAAAAAAACTTATGAAACTAGGGAAACGAACCATATCGTATCAAGAAATCGCAAGTACATGTTTTTGCTATTAAATTTAGTTAAAACACCACAATTCGGAACAACTTATGAAAGTAGAAAGCCTAAGAAGGAAGTTTTAGTTGGAGTACTTGGAGTTGGATTTAGATAGAATTGATTAATTTTAAATGCCATGTTATTTGTTAATCTTACGTACATAGAGTTTTGTTAGATTTGGTAAAACTTTCTTTTTTAATCAGCGAAGATATATAAATAATTAACATCTATGAAATATTTCTGTTATAAGAAACTGTAAGAATCCAGACGTAATTACTCTAAATGTAACTATAACTTTTTTTATATATTCATATAACATACTAATCAAACCCATAGTATTCTGAGATGTATGATTTATAAGTTGTAAATTAATAAGAGTTCATATCCCTATAGCACTATATTTTAACGTAATCACAAAATCATCAAACTAATAACAAATTTCATGAAGAATGTTAGAAGCCATAAACCAATGAGTAAGATTATATATATTAAAAATCTTAAAACTCATAAACCAATAACAACAAAATCTAGAAAAAAAAAATCCAATAATGGTTAAAATTTTAACTCCACACTAAACCTAATTAATATGTAATTTGATAAATTCTGTTTCGATATGGTCTTAAAAACCTCTTCGGTTTTGTAAAAGAGGATTGGCATATAATAATCTTGTCACGGCTTCGCGTCAGATCTTGGCATCGTATATTGAAGTGTCCAGCTTCATCAGGATATAGGTAAAGCTTATGCTTCGCCCTGAGTTTGACGTCAAGCTCCTCAGAAACGACGCCGCTTCTGTTTCCCTGCTGCTCAGCAACGAAAGCCAACGAGAACAACATGTGATCTCTAGAATGACCACGTTTACGAGTGATGTTTAAAACGGCGGCGTTTATCTGACCGAGCCTCACGGAAGCGTCACTGTCGCCGTAGTAAATAGAATACCTCGAACTCGTGTCCTTCACCAGGAAGTCGACCTTCCACGTGTTGGAGGAGACGTGGATGTGTTGGATGGAGACTTTGGCGTGGGGGTGAGCTTTGTCGATTTTTAGAGACAAGATCAAATACATGGCGATGACGGTGAACAGGGCGCCGAGAAAGGGTGAAAAGCCAACTGCAGATTCCATGAATGTGTCTTTACGATTAGGATCGTTATTTGCTGGTAGAGTCACTATTGGTCGAAACCACCACCCACAAAGACGACTGCCGGAGGAGGAGGACGACGGTGGCGATTGGTAAGCATTGGTTTGGGAATCCATTCTCTTTTTTTTTTTTATATTCTTTTGTTGGTTTGGACTTTGGAGACGACAATAGTTGTATATATCGATGTTAGTAGCTTGTCATTAAAATTATAGAGAGTTTTGGGAATCTATATCTCACTTTTTTAAAAAAGAAATTTTTTTGTGCGTGGATAAATAAAGTTAGTTATTTCAAGGATTACCATAAACACTAAAAATCATAATTCAGTTAATTTAGAAAACCATGCTTTTGATACATAAAGCCACATATTAACCAAAATATGGTGGAATCCCCGCTGAAGCTTTCTTGCTTTCAGTATATTGTTTACAAATTTTAAAATTTTGGTCTTTCTTAAAATTATTTTCCTCTTATTTGATTGTTCTGTTATCGTAAGTGTTTTTCCAAATTCAATAAACCACAAAACTATTTAAACTCAATTAGGTAACGTAAACTAATGTTTTGTACAATTATTAAGAAATATAACAAAAGAGCAAAGAAAATAAAACTAAAAATAAAAATAAACCCTAAAGCCAAGAATAACTCGCAAATAGATTCATGCATGAATCATGATCTTGTTTAGAAAAAAAAAGAAAAAGAAAGAAAGATTTATGCATGATCGGGAAGATTCAAGTTATCCCGGATTAAATAGTCACATCGTCGCATACTTCCGAGCAATGATCCAACCATATTTCCTGCCGGATCCGCCGTGAATATCACCGGAATATCCCCGCAAAACACCGTCAAGAAACCATGTCCAGTGTCTAGCTTCAGTCCGGCGACGGTCTCCACCCGATAATCCCATACCACGCTGCCGATAACTCCCGGCGTCACAACCGTTTTGAAATCGAGAGTCGTAGACGACTCATCAGTTTTTTCGTACGTAACAAGTTGCTCGAGACCATACAACGGCGGAGACACCTCGGAGATAACTTGGCCGCCACGAAGGAGACGCGATTGGATTGTATGGAGAGAGATATGACATCCGGTGAGTGGACTCTTGGCAACCAAACGGATTCTCCAATCAGCGGTTGAAACGTTTGCGTTTGTGCTTGAGTTTGAGACAGAGACGGAGTGAGCAAAGAGCTCCACGTAACATCCTTCTCTCTGCAGGTTGTCAAGAACTATATAGTAAAGAGGGACAAGGATGAAGACAATAGTCCAACAGGAGTAGCAACCACACCAACAAGCTGGAGTAACTTCGGAAGCGGTGGTTGAAGCTTGACGGCGTCCAGACGTTTCCATGTTGGAAGTTTATGAATAGATATTCACTATTAGTTTAGGTTTTGATGCGATTTGTTACTCAACGAAATCAACAAGACGAGTTGTTATTCCCTATCCATATATATAAGTAACAAATAATCACCTATTTTAAAAAAGAAAATTCTAGTCCTTTTGTTGATAAAGTATAATGAACAATGGGAAATTGTCTATGTTCATCTACTTTAATTATTTATATAAAAATAGTTTGGGTTTTAAAAACATTAAAACAAACTTATGAAAATAGGGAAACGAACCAGATCGTATCACCTAATACTCTAATAGAAATCGCAAGTACATTTTTTTTGTTAATAAATCTAATTAAAACACCACAATTCGGAACAACTTATGAAACTAGAAAGCCTTAGAAGGAAGTTTTAGTTGGAGTTGGATTTAGATAGAGTTGATTGATTTTAAATGTCATGATATTTGTTAATCTTACAAAGAGTTTTGTTAGATTTGGTAAAGTTTTCTTTATATATCTGCGGAGATATATAACATTTATGAAATACTTCTGTTATAATAAACTCTAAACACGGACGTGATTACTCTATATGTAATTCCAGACGTGATTACTCTATATATATGTAACTAATTTTTTTTTTCTTTTCTTCATATGACATACTAATCAAACACAGTATTCTGAGAGATGATTTATAAGTTAAATTAATAAGAGTTCATATCCCAATAACATTAGATTACCATAATCACAAAATCATCAAACCAATAATAACAAATTTCGTGAAGAATATTAGATGCCATAAAACCAATGAGTAAGATTCTATTAAAAAACTTAAAATTCATAAACCAATAACAACAAAATCTATTAAAAATTCTAACAATGGTTAAAATTTCAACTCCACACTAAACCTAATTAATATGTAATCTGACAAATTCTGTTTAGATAAGTGATTAAAAACCTATTCGATTTTGTAAAAATGGATTGGCATAAAATAATCTTGTCACGGCTTCGCGTCAGATTTTGGCATCGTATATTGAAGTGTCCAGCTTCATCAGGATCTAGGTAAAGCTTATGCTTCGCCCTGAGTTTGACGTCAAGCTCCTCAGAAACGACGCCGCTTCTGTTTCCCTGCTGCTCAGCAACAAAAGCCAACGAGAACAACGTGTGATCTCTAGAATGACCACGTTTACGAGTGATGTTTAAAACGGCGGCGTTTAGCTGACCGAGCCTCACGGAAGCGTCACTGTCGTCGTAGTAAATAGAATACCTCGAACTCGGGTCTTTCACCAGGAAGTCGACTTGCCACGTGTTGGAGGAGACGTCGATGTGTTGGATGGAGACTTTGGCGTGGGGGTGAGCTTTGTCGATTTTTAGAGACAAGATTAAATACATGGCGATGACGGTGAACAGGGCGCCGAGAAAGGGTGAAAAGCCAGCTGCAAAATCCATGAATGTGGCTTTACGATTAGGATCATCATTATTTGCTGGTGGAGTCACTATTGGTCGAAACCACCACCCATTAAGACGACTGCCGGAGGAGGACGACGACCGTGGCGGTTGGTAAGTATTGGTTTGGGAATCCATTATTTTCTTTTTCTTTTGTTGGTTTGGATTTTGTAGAGAAGAATTATATATATCGATGTTAGCTTATCATTAAAATTATAGAGACTTTTGGGAATCAATATCTCACATTAAAGAAAAAAAATGTGCGTGGATAAATAAAATTAGTTATTTCAAGGATTATCATTAACATTAAATCATAATTCAGTTAATTAAGAAAACCATGCTTTGATACATAAAAACTTAAAAGATATCAACACAGACTTTTATATTCACAATAAAAAAAATCTATAAGACTATGCATATAGTATTTTGTTTTATCATTGATTTAAAATGTTTATAAGCAATGGTTTGTACTTTGAACCAGGAAAACAAATAAAACACATGAGCATCATCAAGTTTGAATATCAAATCATAGGAATTTGTTTTATCTTTGTTTTTCACAGTTTGAGTAGATATATGACCATAGGTTAGCTATAGAACTGGGCCCAATATTGCAAACTCATAGGCCCAAAGCTCCGTTCCCAAAACAAAATTGAAAATGGCGTTTCTTCCGCCATTGACGTATTCGATGATGCAAGAGCAAGGGAAGCTCCACAGGAGATTCTTCATGTTTCTCAAGTCACTACACACGTCAATCACAAATTCCTTTTCCTTTCTCTACACTTTCTATGTATATATATTGCCTCCTGAAATCGATTTGAATGAATAAAACATAACGAACAACAAGTAGAAGAAGAAGCACATTCGTCGGAAAACAAAAATTGATTGTTTCAGTTTATTTGGAGCCTGAATCGCCAAAAATGGAAGGTATAGGATCTTCATCTAGACAAGGAAGGAGGGTGGTGGTGATCGGCGGCGGAATCGGCGGCTCCCTCGCCGCGAAATCGCTTCAGTTCGATGCTGACGTCACTCTCATCGATCCGTAAGTTTTTTTTTTTCTTTCTTCTTCAAATTTTCAAAACGCCCATTTTGTTTTAAATCTCAGCTCAAAATTGTTGTTGACATCATCCAAATCAGGAAGGAGTACTTTGAGATTACCTGGGCAAGCTTGAGATCCATGGTGGAGCCTTCGTTTGCAGAACGAACACTCATCAACCACAAGAGCTACTTGAAAAACGGCCGTGTCGTCACTTCTCCGGCGATCAATATCACAGAGACCGATGTCACGACTGCAGATGGAGCTGTGATTGGATATGATTATCTTGTGATTGCTACTGGTCACAACGACTTGTTGCCCAAAACTAGGCAAGAGAAGCTCTCACAATACCAAGCAGGTATGATCTCAAATCTCATATCATCATCATAATCACTTGGTGAATGAGAATGCTTGTTAGAAACATTTGGCGAAATGATTTGATTTGGTTGCAGAATATGAGAAGATAAAATCTTCAGGATCAGTGCTGATTGTTGGAGGAGGACCGTCTGGTGTGGAGCTTGCTGCGGAAATCGCGGTTGATTTCCCGGAGAAGAAGGTCACTTTGGTGCATAAAGGAGCAAGATTGCTTGAGTTTGTTGGGGAGAAAGCTGCTGACAAGGCATTTGACTGGTTAGAATCGAAGAAAGTGGAAGTGATATTGAACCAATCCGTGGATTTGAATTCAGCTTCAGACGGGAACAAAACGTACCGGACTTCAGGAGGAGAGACTATACACGCGGATTGCCATTTCCTCTGCGTTGGGAAGCCTCTGTCTTCTCAGTGGCTCAGTGGAACTGTGCTGAGAGATGGTTTGGATGGTAAAGGAAGGGTCATGGTCGATGAGTTCTTGCGGATTAAAGATCGAAAGAATGTTTTCGCCATTGGAGATATCACTAACATCCCTGTAAGAAGAGTATGATATTGATTTGCAGTTGTGGTTTCGTGATGTCAGGATCTTGTTTTGATTATTATGGTTTTTGGAATGGCAGGAGATGAAGCAAGGGTATATAGCGGAGAATCATGCTAATGTGGTTGTGAAGAACATAAAGGTAATGATGTCGTCGAGTGGGAGAAAGAAGAAGATGTCGAGTTACAAGCCAGGACCAGAGATTGCTATTGTGTCTTTAGGAAGAAAGGACTCGGTGGCTCAGTTTCCGTTTGTGACGGTCGTTGGTTGCCTCCCTGGTTTGATCAAGTCCAAGGATCTGTTTGTGGGGAAGACGAGGAAGGCAAGAGGGCTAAATCCTAAACTTGTACAAGGTTGAGTCCTTTGCTGTGTTTCATCTTGAGAGAGAGATGTTATCATGTTCGCGTTTGTGTGTGTTTGTTTCTGTTTTGTTCCCATTGTTTCAGTGTGGAGTGTGCCTTGGTTTGCTTATGTTGTATAGTGTGTATCTCATGTATATTGTATAAGAGTGTGGTACTGAGTTCCAGTTTTCACTTCTAAACCGGAAAAATCGATATGGAAACTGAAAAAAAGAATGAACCGAAAATAACCGTACCAAACCGATATCTAGTATATTTGTGATTTGGCATTAATAACCAAGAATCTCAAAAATGTCGAGCCAAAACCTGGAAAATGTCTTGCTAAACCAAAACGAACCGAAAAATCAAATAAAAAACCAGAAAATGTCTTGTAGCAACTCAGTTATAGTCGGCGTCCGGCGATCTCCCGACGGAGGCGTATACACCGGCGACTTCAGTCATTACTGTTAACCCGTACAGATTTCCGTTGAAGAACCTGAATTTGAAGGAACTAAGAGGCGTGAAAGGGGAACGTTTACGTCTAAGAGACTTTTTTATGAGTCAAGGTTTGAAGATTTCAGAAAATAACGATATGCCTCGCGGATCAGAGAAGACTGATGATGAATCACTGAAATGTAAGTCGCTAGTCTTGATTAGCCATTTCTACTTGCATAATAAGATCTTGGAGCTGAGGAATCTCACCATTGAAATTTCAGAATTTACATTTGGTAGGATTGAAAATTCTCATTTTTTTTGTCTAGGGACGAAGCTGATGGATTTCCGATCTCTGCTCGTATTCTCGATGCTTTTGCGTGTGTTTCTGATTGTATACGGAGAATGGCAAGATGCTCACATGGAGGTCCGGTACACTGATGTCGATTACATTGTCTTCTCTGACGCTGCGTCGTTGATGGCATCCGGTGAATCTCCTTACAAGAGAACCACATACCGTTATTCACCTCTGCTCGCGCTTCTTCTCATCCCCAATTCAATCTTTCATCGCTCGTGGGGAAAGTTTCTCTTCTCTGCTTCTGGTATGAGTTTCTTAGCTTTATCTCAGCCTTCTTAGAAGAGAATTTGAAGAAAGTTCTACATTTTTTGGGTGCTAATCTTCAGCTTCAGAATACTATTTTAGCAGAATCTGTCTCTGAATCTACTTAAATGTCTCAGATTTGCTGGTGGGTTTGTTTATCCGTATGATTCTGAAACAACGTAAGGTGCCTGAGAAGATATGTACGTATTCTGTAATGGTATGGCTTCTCAATCCGTTCACATTCACAATCGGAACCAGAGGGAACTGTGAACCTATCGTTTGTGCCATGATCTTATGGATCATTATCTCCCTAATGAAAGGTACACAAATATATGCCCTCTTTTTAGGTAGATTATAGCAAAACATCAAAAGAATGAAACTTTATGTGACACAAGAACACCAATATGTTTTTGGCTGTGTAGGTCATTTGTCACAAGCTGCATGTTGGTACGGCCTTGTTGTGCATTTCAGGGTGTATCCTATTATCTACGCCTTACCAATCATTCTGGTCCTCGATCCCCAGATATTTAGATCTGGTCCAAAACCGCTTCTTGAGGATTGGAATACTGGTCAGGTCAAGACGCGTACTAGCAGCAACACGGAGAAGAAAACATTCATCCTCAATCTTGTGTCTTTGTTTTCTAGGGAAAGAATCATGTTTGCTTTGATATCCGGGGGAGTTTTCATAGCCTGCAATGCTGTTTCCTACTATTTTTACGGACACGAGTTCCTCCACGAGGCTCTCTTATATCACCTCACTAGGACGGATCCAAGGCACAACTTCTCCATCTACTTCTACCACATATATCTTCACTACGAGCGCCAGTTTTCTCCTGTGGAGAAGCTTATCTCTTTCTTACCTCAGTTCACAGTACAGTTTGCACTAGTCTTCTGCTTCTCGAAAGATCTAGTCTTCTGCATCTTTCTCCAAACCGTTGCTTTCGTGGCTTTCAATAAGGTATATATGATGATGCATCTCTCTACTTCAGTTCTTCATTGTCTTATGGATTCCTCAGTGAGCTCTGGTTTTGATGGCTCTGTTTGACTCTAGGTGATAACAGCACAGTACTTTGTGTGGTTCTATTGTCTTCTACCTTTGATTCTACCGTGGAGCCGTATGAAGCTGAGATGGGAAGGCTTTTTATGCATCATCTTATGGATCGGAGCTCAGACGCATTGGCTGTTATGGGGATACATGCTCGAGTTCAAGGGCGTTAACGTCTTTCTACAGCTATGGATGGCGAGTTTGGTGTTTCTTGCTGCAAACACATTTGTCCTCGTCAAAATCATTCAGCGCCATCGATTCTCTCCTCTCTTCAGACATAATGAATCCTCTGATAGAAAGAATGTTACCAAACTTGACTGATATACTAATCCAAAAGGTGTTTGCTTTCTAGCTATGATTTCTTTTTGTATATGATTCATGATCTGCAAATTTTGTTGTTTGATATGTCATCTAAGGTTTTTTCAAGGATTTTAGTTTATTGGCGATTTATTTCACCCACACCTACATTTATTGGCTTGGTTTTGGAAGCTCTCAGAGAAAAAAAAAAGCAAAAAAGAAAATAAATATACTATTAGTGGGTCTGTTTTCCATTTGCAGCTAGAAGCGTAGAAACAGAGGTTTGTCTCTGTTTTTTGCAAGTTTTCTACAAAAGACCAAAAATAATGCGATGTAGCTTTGAGATCTGCGAAACTCTGTGTTTTGAAATTGAAAAAAGAACTCCGACTTCACTTCACAAAGAAATTAAGGTTTCTGAGCAGGAGAAGAGCGCAAATAGGTGACAATGAACGAAGGTCTCTTCTTTAGTCTCTTCCTCATTGTTGATTCTTACAATTGCAATGTACTTTAGTTTTCTGATTTTTTTTTCTTATTTGGAAACAGGAGATTCTTCAAAGTTCTTCAAAGTCTACTTACCAGACGAATCCGGAGATGATCTGGTAAAACACACTTTTACTCTTCACTCTGTTTCTTGCTTTTAAGATTTCTAGTTCGTTGAGACTTTTAGAGTTACTTTCAGGAATTTCCCGTCTCTTTCAACAGCTCGTTACCAAAACCTCTGCCTAGAAATGTTACGGTTAGGAGTATTTACGGGAAGACTTGGAAATTGGCGTTGAGGAAATGCGGTGGCGGTGATGTTGAGAGATACGCTCTCGTCAACGGTTGGAAGAGGATTGCAAAGGATGAAGCTCTCAACGGTGGAGATTTCTTGGCCTTTGAGTTCGACGGCTCTGCCTCTTTCAACTTCTGTATCTACGAGGGTCGAACCATGTGTAAAAGACTCAGAAGAACAAGTTCAGAGCGAACGAACGAGATCAAGGAGGAATCTGAGGGTGAAGAAGAAGAAGAAGCTAGAGCTAGTGACAACGTTCCAGATCTTGATGATGATGATGACAGACAGTATCTGGATGATCCAGAAAACCCGTACTTTACTGTGTTCCTAAATCCGAATAAGAACAGCCAAATGGTAAGAATAAAAGTTTGCATTGTTTTTATGTGAATGCATCAATCAAAAATCAGTTTTTTTTTTCAGGTTCTGTTTAATGATGTTTGTGTTACAATGCAGCACATCCCGGCTAAAGTGATAGGGGACTATGGATTAAACTTCCCTCAGCTTATAACGATCGCTGACCCGGTCTCGAACAATTTCGGGACATTGGAGAAGATTATCAAGGTTCAGGGGAATGGCAGCGTGTTTGTCAAGGGGTTTGGGAGTGTTATCAGAAGGAACAAAGTGAAGACAGGCGATAAAATGGTATGCGAAGTGGTGAAGACCGGTAATAACAATCTGGTTCACACAATCAAGATACACATCATCCGTGGATGATCTCTTCTTTGAGGTTTTTATGAGTCTTGTGGATCGTTGATGTGAGTGTGTTTATTGTGTTAGCATATGTGCTAAACATATCTATCTTATTTAGGATTTGGTTTCTGAGAGATGTTTGCAAGTTAATTAAGACCTTTATGTTGTGTTGGCAATTCTAAAGTCTACTTATTAACCAACTTTTTTTTTCTATAAATTCATGTTGCAAAATATAATTTTGCTGATCCCAAATTCCTAATTTCGGACAACTTTGAGTTGAGTAATGCGGTTTTGTTTTAACCTTGTTTTCTTCGAAATATTAATTTATTTACCTGTTTAAATTTCAAAATTGATTCGGATGATATAAATAAGAAGCAGAGAATCAACGCCTTTTTTCGTGCGTGTGAAAACGTGTGAAAATTTTCCGAAAGCGTCAGACTCGCGGAGACCTTTTACTATGGAGAACAAACGGGCAAACGGAGAAGAAGATGAAATCGCCGAACAAGGAAGAATACTAAGTGAACCGAATTGGAGCGAGCGAGTGGAGGATCTCGTCTCAGCCGGAGACGTCTCGGCGGCGATCTCGTTTCTCGAGTCTCTGGTGACCAATTTTCAGTCGCGGCTCGGTAATTCCACCTCCTCCTTTGGCGACAGAAGAACGGAGTTAGGGCTTCAGTTAGCAGCCGCTCTAACCCAATTGGCGGATCTCTACTCTTCTCAGGGACTCTCTCTCAAATCCGATGAGCTCCGCACTCGTTCTTCCCTCATCAAGCAACGAGCGCTGGATTGCGATGTTGCCAATTCAAGGTACCAAATTTGTTGATCGAGAAAACTAGGGGTAGACATTTGAAATTTGTTACGGGAATTGAAGGCGAGAATGTTTACGATTGGTCTCGAACAGATTCATCGATCTTAGGGCTCATATGCGACTTGTGATTGCAGAAGTTCCGGCGATGCAGAGAATCAAGCTGCCCAGCCAATTGTTGATTCCAGTGAACCAAATGTCTCTCCTGCTGATGGTTTGTTCATCTAGTGCCCCTTGTTTTATATCTGATTTCACTTTATTTTAGGCAATTATTGATCGAATTTCATGAATCTGTACAGTGAAAACGGAGAATTCCACAAAAGCCTCCAGCATCAATTCGGCAGCTCATGATTCTTCAGATGATGGTAGGTTTCATAAAGAGCAATCCTTTAGCTGTGACTTAGAAAATGCCATAACCCTCCTGTATCAGACACGGTTAACATGATTTTTTTATCTTGTTGCAGACTGGGAAGCTCTTGTAGATTGTGAACCGAGTAAGTTATTCTCTGTAGAAGAGTTGCCTGAAATATCAAAGCTTTCAGTTGAAGAACCCAAAGTCGAAGGACCTAAGAGGCGTGGAAGGGGGACATTTACGTATAAGAGAGATACCATGTACACTGATCGAGACTTCGGTGAGTCGAGGTTTGAAGATTCAGAAGATAACGATATGTCGCTTGGCTCAGAGAAGACTGATGATGAATCACTGAAATGTAAGAGGTTACTTATAAGATGCATAATTAGTCTGTTTGAATGATTTGTGTTGACTGTTCTAAGCACAAAAGCCTGAATTTCTTTGTGTTATAAAATGCAGCCAAGTATGGCACACGCCATGTCCTCGTACTTGCTAATTTTTCTCCAAGTTTGAGGACTAGTGATTTGGAGAAGCTTTTTGAGGACTACAAAGACCGTGGATTTGTCGTTCGTTGGGTCAATGATACAACGGCACTTGCAGTCTTCAAAACCCCTTCAATTGGTATTCATTTGTAACTTTTCAGTTCATACATGCTTCAAAGAGTTCTTGTTCTGATGTTGCCTTGGGGGTATATATAGATGTTGTTGCATCTGACTTGATCGTAGGGTTAAACCTCGTTAATTATATGGCTTTGTTCATCTGCCTTGGTTACAAATCAGATTAGAGCTTATCTTATATGCTAAGTAACTGTGGTTTTGATAATTGATACAGCTCTGGAGGCTTGCAAAAATGTTCAGTGTTCATTCACAATACGTGTTCTCGATGATCACGATTCTCTTTTGGGCTCGATTTCTGGAAAAGGTAATCTACTCATTCTAGTATCTCTCACTTGTTCACCAAATTAAGAACTTTATAACATTCTTCTTTCTAAATCACAAATGTTGTTATGATTGTGAGTCTAATGCGTTGACCATGTTATGTTCATTTAACTTCAGATTTGGAACCGCCGTCTCAAAGACCAAAGACATCAGCGAGGACAGCTCAACGGTTGATTGCACACAGCATGGGGTTGAAGCTACCGGCTTCTGGATTCGGTTCTAAAGAGCTACGAGACCAAGAAGCTGCCCGCAAGAACCGGATTGTCTCCAGGCAGAAACAACGGGACGATGCTTGGGGAGACGAATGACTTTGACCGCGACGGTTTGCCCAATTTCCCGGCTTACCGGTTTTTCATTTTTTTGTATACTTTAATCCGCTTGAGTGATCTTTTACATGACAAGCATTATGATTAGTGCTTGTTATTGTTTGTTTGTACTTTGTAGTGGGTTTTTGTGTGTAAAACTAAAATTAAATCGTTTAAAAAAGTCTTGAAACGGTTAACCGGAAATGAAAATCTGAACCTAAGTTCTTGACCCATCCGGTTTTATCCTCATACGTAATGTTGATCTTTATAATGAAGAGGTCTTAGATTAATGGTACGAACAAGAGTAGATGAAGCGTTCCAGTGGTCCTAGATGGCAGCCACAAGGAAAAAGATCAGGCTTTGAAGCCAAGAAAATTACAAGCACATGCAGCGCGATGTCTAGTTGTATGAACAAGCAGATCAAGAAAAGATCATCGAAACTATTGTTTTCTTCGTTATCTTGCTCAAACAAGTTTTGCTTCAAGTCCAAGAAATTACTTACCGAGCATGCTTTACTTACACAACCATGTTGTAGTAGATGGCATTGAAATTTTGTAAATTTGTTGTTTTCTTACCTCCTTTGCACTTACTTAAAATGGTGGATGTGTTTTGGTCTGTATAAAATAAATGTTCGAATAAGAATGTGTTTGAATTCTTTTAACTTGCAACTGCAAAGGACTTCGATTTGGTAAACTATATGAACTAGACTTGTTTGGAAAGTGAAGTACCTCAAATAGCTCTGTTTTGTAGTATTGCAAATATGTTTTAAACTATTTTTTATTCAAAAAAATATTCTCTTTTTTTTTTTATATATAAAGTTAGCATCTATTAGAGTGGTGGAAAAAATTAACCTATATTATGATCAACTTTTAAGACAAGTTTGTCTTTTTATGTAACTTTTCTTTCTCAATGACAATTATTTTTTGTATTTTTAGAAAGAGATATAAGTTGTGTGAAGAATCATGTGAATATATTCAGCTTGCTCTTTCTAAAGTTGGTATTGTTCTTGATTTATACATGTCCAGTGCTAACATTCCCACCGGGATCTCAAATAAAACGCAACCTTCAATTCCACATTTATCTTTATTAAATATCTCAACAGCCCTATTGAAATAGGGGTCACCTGAAATGACCAACACTAAATTCTTGTACCTTTTGTCTTGTAGATCAATGGAGTCTTTGTAGATTTCATTCAGCATCCCCATCTCTAACAGGATACGCTTCTCTTCACCTTCAACATGTATGGAAACCCAAATAGTTTTGTACAATTTTCACGCATATTCAAGACTTAATTATTACAAAAACACAATAAATTAATTAGGTTTGATTGATATCAAATCGCGGATAAACTTGTTGTCATGAAGTCTTACATGAAGACTCTGAGACTGTGAGTACAATCACATTTTCTTGATCACCAATGATAAGGATTTCATGGAACCTATTTATGAAATGAACTATCGGCGAGGTCTAGGTAGGAAAGTTAATGTGATGCTAGCTAAAATTCACAACTTTGTGGTGTAGTAACTTGGATTTGGAAGGAGTTGAAAGTGGGAGGTGAACCTATTAGATCGAACAAATTGGTTTAGTGGGGATGTTTGTTTTGTTTTGTTTGTTTTGTATTTTGTTTTGAGAACATTCAAATTTATTATGTAAAATTGCAAATTGCTATATTATTCCCAATAGGGTTATTCTCAAGCAATCTTCCAGTTGCTCATCATTAGTGTTTTTTGTCTTTTTAATTATGAGAAACATTTTATTTAGAGAGTAAAGTTCTATAACCAAGAGATTGTGTTCTTCGGTCAAGAAAATGTCTTGAAACTATTAACCGGAAATGAAAATCTTAACCAAAGCTTTAGACCCATCCGGTTTACCTATTGATGTAGGAAAGAGCTCGGAAAGAGCGAAGGTGAGAGGGCTAATAATGTAAATACGTAATAGCACAAGCGGAAAATTCATTTCCCCAATTAGGGCTCTTTCCGACATTCGCTTCCCGCCGATTTAGGGCTTTTCAGGATTTTCCCGCCAAAAAGAAATGAAAGAAAGAGAATAGGAAAAAAAAGGCAGAGAAATCAGAAAAAAAAAAGAGTGAGCGAAAATGAGTAGCAGCCTAAGGAAGAAGATACAGAAGAAATTCAAAAACAGAGGCTACAACCTCAAAAAAGACGCCCTAAATGAGGTTATCGTATACGCCGAACAATATCCCGATGACGTCGACGGTGACGCCCTCGATCTTCTCCTCGATTACCTCCAGGAGGAACCGCGTATGTCCAATTCTCTTCTCGTAATTTGCTGCGAATTGACTAGTATCCAAACCCTGATATCGTTTAGGATTTGTTAAAAATCGCAGTTAATTCTTCCACCGTCGATGCGGAGCCAGTTCGAAAAGTGATTAATCTCTTGGCGGGAGCTGACAACGCGCCGGAGGAATCCACCGCGACTGCTTCTTCCTTGTCGGTCATCGACGCCTTTGTGATGCCAAAGTTTCGTTACGATGATGTTAAAAAGCAATTCACCGAGTAAGGCTTCCTTCCACTTGTCCTACTTAATCTCAATCCTGGGTCAATTGGGAAATAAGAATTTCGTTGTAGATTTCAGTGTTGATGGCATAAAATTCAATTGGATTATGATCAAAATGAAATTTTGGTTATTGATTCTAGGCATACGAGTAGCCTACCTGTTCATGGAGAGGCTTCAGCTAAAACAGCAGTATACAGGGAGAGATTCATGTTGCTGTTGCAGAGAGTGTCTCGTGCTGAGCATTTTTCTCGGCCAGCATTTGATGCTGAGATGTCGCAGTTTGAGAACTATGAGGTTGGTCTAAGTTTTTTTTTTTGACAAATGTGTTTTCTTCTCATTTTTGTTATGGTAAAGCTGAAACTAAAGGGAGATTTGTTGAATGTTTCTTTCTAGTAGATATCTTCGATCCAGTCACTTATTTTCCAAATGGGAAAGAAATGGGTGATGGGCGTAATATCACAGTTGGAAGATGGACATTTCTACCTGGAAGACCTTTCAGCTTCTGTAGAGATTGATTTGTCCAAAGCAATATCCTTTTTCTTAAGTTGGTTACATCACAAATCTGCATTCCTTTTATAGAAGCATAGTTCGAGTTTTTTTGTGCTATGAGTACTTTTCTTTGACAATCAGTACAAGATAACAACAGGATTCTTCACAGAGAATACTATAATTTTGGCAGAAGGCGAAATGAAGAATGGTATCTTTCAGGTATAGATTCAATGGAATATGCAAATGTGTGTTCCCATCAGCAGAATGGTGGCTTGTGACAAAGCTCAGTTTTTCTAGATACATTTTTCGTCCTCTTCTAATAGCTTACTCTGCTCTTCTTGTGAAGGTGATTACATGCGGATTTCCTCCTTTAGAAGACAGAGATAAAACGCTAAAGATACATTCAGGATACGACTTCTTTGGAGGTGGCACGCTAAGTAAAGAAGAGACGGTAATCCGTGATTCGTTGTATTAAAACATTTCAATGGAATCCCGTACGTATATAAGTCAGAGCAGAGATAATGATATTTTGGGCTACCAACAGGTTAAACTTGCAGACTTGGAAAGACAAGCGGTGAATGACACATTTGTCATATTGTCTGACATATGGTTGGACGATGAAGAGGTGAGTTGGAGTACCAACTACTCTGTTTTAGCATCAATTAATCTATGTGACAATGCTTCTTCTGTGATTTGAGAGCAGTTAAGATCATTGCTTAATAACGAAAATGTGTTGTCCTTTGAGAAGGTTCTCGGGAAGGTGGAAAAGGTTCTTGATGGTTTTGAAAGCGTGGAGATAGTACCCTCCTTGTTTGTTTTCATGGGAAACTTTTGTTCTCGCCCGTGCAACTTATCCTTTGGTTCTTATTCAAGCCTTAGGTAAGAAGAAATCATTGTAGTTAGAATCTCTTCAATCGTTGATAGAAAATTGTTCTTGTGTTTAATGACATGTATCCTTTTCATTCGCAGGGAGCAGTTTGGGAAACTTGGGAGAATGATTGGAGACCATCCACGGCTAAAAGAAAATAGTCGGTTTTTATTCATTCCAGGTCCTGATGACGCAGGTACCATCACCACCATTACTTTCTAAATAAGCTTTAAGACGGTCCATAAGGCAGTACAACTTATTAAAGCTCATGATATCTGACAGGTCCCTCGACGGTCTTGCCAAGATGCGGTTTACCAAATTATTTAACCGAAGAGCTACGAAATGTTATTCCCAATGCGATATTTGCAAGCAATCCTTGCAGGTGAGCTTTCTATACGGTGTGTGAAACTTCTCTATTGCTCATCATTAGTGTTTTCGTCTTCTGAATTATGAGGAACGTTTTATTTCCAGGGTAAAGTTCTATAACCAAGAGATTGTGTTCTTCCGTCAAGATCTTCTGTACCGGATGCGTCGTTCTTGCTTAATAACCCCTTCCACAGAAGAAACTGATGACCCTTTTCAGCATGTAAAACAACACATCTCTCGTCTCCGTTATTATCCAGTTTTATGATCTTTATTCTTAAACCCCTGAAATGTGTTTGTTACAGCTTGTCTACACAATAACGTATCAGAGCCATCTATGTCCTCTGCCTCTCATGGTGCAACCCATTATTTGGAACTATGATCACTGTCTTCGACTATACCCAACTCCTCATACGGTATATTCTTAAATCTTACTAACAGATTGAATTTCGCCTTAGTTTTTTTTTTTTTTGAAACACAAATTTCGCCTTAGTTTAGTCTTAAAAGTTATAACCAAGGATTGTTGTTGTTGTTGTTGTTTTGAAACTCAACAGATAGTGTTAGGTGACAAGAGTGAGCAAAAGGTTTGCAAATTTGGAGGAACGACATGTTTCAATCCAGGCTCCTTTTCGAGTGATAACACCTTCGTAGCTTATAGACCTTCCACTCAAGGCGTCGAGCTCTCTAAATTAGACGAGGAATGTTAAATTGACTTCCATTTTTTTCAGACAAGCCTTAGCTTTAAAGAGAGTGACAAACATACTTTTTCAGTTTTTCATGTTCCTCTTCTTTACTTCTCTGTTGTATTTTATATCTTCTCCTTCAATTTAACCAAACATTAATTACTCGAAAATCTATAGTTCTGTGAACAATCTTGAATCTTGCATTGCATATATACCGAGTAGGATAAAATCGTCCAATTAATCCAAAAAATGGACAGTTAGTGATCCCAAATGGTCATGCAAAATGTTCGAGTAACATAATAGAATCAAATTCGGAAGTCGGAACTGTCAATAAGATAAGTTATGAGCATGGAAACTTACTATGTTTATCTTTCTTTGAACGTGAAGCCTCCCGAAGAGTCGGCAGCTTTACTTGTATCCCTAGCAAGTAAGAAAAATAAAAAGAATCATTTCCTCAAACGTAATGTTGATCTTTATAATGAAGAGGTCTTAGATTAATGTTACCAACAGTCGATATTGAAGCGCTCAAATGGTCCAAGATGGCAGCCACAAGGAAAAAATCAGGCTTTGAAGCCAAGACAATGATTGGAATTGACTCTTATGTGCAAGTGTTTTGTGACGGCAAAGTGTCGGTTGTGTTTTACAAGCACCATGCAGCGCGATGTCTAGATGTATGAACAAGCAGATCAAGAAAAGATCACCGAAACTTTTTTTTCTTCGTTATCTTGCTCAACATGTTTTCCTTGAAGTCCAAGAAATTACTTACCGAGAGCATGTTGTATTAGATGGCATTGAGAATGAGCATGTTGTAGTACATGGCATTGTGAATAAGCATGTTGTAGTAGATGGCATTGGAAAAACTTTAAATTTCTTTTTCTCTTACCTCCTTTGCACTTACTTAAAATGGTGGATTTGTTGTGGTCAATAAGAATGTGTTTGAATTCTTATAACCTGCAACTGCAAAGGACTTCGATTTGGTAAACTTTATGAACTAGACTTGTTTTGATAGTGAAGTAAATAGTTCTGTTTTGTAGAATTGCAAACATATTTCAATACTTTATAACAATAAAAATATTTTACCTACTAATTCCAAAAATTACGTTTTTGTCATAAAGTTAGCATCTATACTAATATTAGAGTGGTGGAAAAATTTAACCTAAATCATTATTAACTTTTAAGACAAGTTTGGCTTTTTTCTGTAACTCTTCTTTCTCAATGAAACAAATATTACTAAAGAAGTTTAGCTAATTCTCAAAAACCACATTCACGAATTTGTTTGTATTGGTATTTTCTTTGTCATGGTAAATATTTGTTTGGCATGTATTACAAATATATGAAAAACAAAATGTTATTCAAAATGAGTTTTTGAACAATTTTCACACATTTTCAAGACTTAATTAACACAAAATCACAATAAATTAATTAGATTTGCTTTGTGGTGTTTGGGTAATTGTGTGTATCAAAGGTTTCAAGTGATAGGACTTTGGGATTTTGAGAGTACGCCTCCGACTGATTAAGATGAAGAGGAATATGATGTCAACACTTTGTTTGACAAGATCGACGAAGGTCTCAAGGAATCCAATCCACTTTTCGTTTTGCAAAAGTTGGTTGCTTTTGGACCATGCCAAGAAAAGAAGTCTAGAAGCATCTCCAACAACAAAGACATTATGTTCAAGCTGATACCTAAGGACGATTTGCATTTGATAGGTAAACTCTTCTTTAGCTTCTTATGTTTCTTTTCTTTAAATTTTTTAATGAAGTCTAAAGACTATAATGACATTTAAGATAATCTTTTGTATAGGTGTGGAGGAGTATTACATGTTTCTTTTCCCGAGAACAAGAACAACTACAAAGGTAAACTCTTTCCTTTTAAACAAAAGATTATCTCAAATCTTTCCTTTTAAATTTCATACTTGACAAAATCGTCCAATTAATCTTGCATTGCATTGCATATAGTCGAAAATCTATAGTTTTGTGAACATGTTGTAGTACATGGCGAGGTCCAGCTAGGAAAGTCTAGGTGATGTTGGCTAAAATTTACAATAAGAAGAAAAAGTTTTGTGGTGTAGAAACTTGAAGGAATTGAAAGTGGGAGATGGACCTATCCCATTGAACCAGATGGGTTGGTTAGTAGGGAATATTTGTGTTGTTTGTCTTGTATTTTGTTTTGAGAACATTCAAATTTATCATGTGAAAGTGCAAATTGCTTTCTATATGTTATTCCCAATGGGATATTCTCAAGCAATCCTTGCAGTTGCTCATCATTAGTGTTTTCGTCTTCTTAAATATGAGGAACATTGAATTTACAGAGTAAAGTTCTATACCCAAGTAATGAAGTGATTGTGTTCTTACGTCAAGATCTTCTGTACCGGATGCGGCTCTCATGCTTAATAACCCCTTCCACAGAAGAAACGGATGACCCTTTTCAGCATGTAAAACAACACATCTCTTGTCTCCGTTATGATCCAGTTTATGATTTTCAAGAGTGACAAAACATACTATTTCATGTTCCTCTTCTTTACTTCTCTCTTGTATTTTATATCTTCTCCTTCAGTTTAACCAAACATTAGTCGAAAATCTATAGTTCTGTGTTCAATCTTGAATCTTGCATTGCATATATACCGAGTAGGTACGTTTCTCTGAGACAAGAGTTGATCTAAATAAGCAAAACAAACAAAATTTGCATTAATTTTTAATGTGAAATCGGTGTTATACGGTCAATGAACACACATTCATTTAAAATATAAAGGACAAAACTGCAAAAGTTGATTGTGTAAACAAACACTGAGAAATCAAGACAGCTTTCTATTGAGATTAGGCAAGCCACTTCCAACGCAAGTGAGAATGACAGTTCCAGTCGAAGGATCAGGTTTGATATCAAAAGTAACTTCCAAAAACTCCTTTATGTTCCTCAACGTCTCCACTGCATAAGGAGCTAACGTTCCCACTCGAACCTTTGAAACATCTTGTTGACATAGCGCACACAGTGTAAACAACAATCCCTGTTCCAGAGATCAAGAACACAACCACCTTAATGCTTACTTTCAAAACGATTTGGTGTTAACTTAATGTAATGATTAGAGATTTTTAGACGAACCTGGTGTGTTGAATCAACAACTCCGCCTTTTTCAACCTCCTGAAGAAGCCATGAAGCTACTTCATCTCCTGTGTCCGCTGCTGGCTTTCTCTCTGGCTTCTCCTCCGCATCGAGCTCCTCTGTTTCTTCTATTCTTCCAAGAGACACTGTTGTATCCGCAGAAATGTAACACCCTGAATTTGTTTCTGCTACCAGTGATATTCCATATCCAGGAGATCTGCAAGCAAATAAGTTTTTGTTAGCTCTACCTCTACATACTCCTTTCTTCTCTCCGTTTTCTTGTTAAAAGCGTTATGAGATTTTCTTACTTTCCAGCTTCAAGGCCACTGACGTGACTTTGGAAAATGTGAACATCAGGCAAGAGGTTGTTAAAGATTCCACGAGCAGCATATCTCATGGAGTGTTCAAAGTCGACAGACACTTTTGCAGAGAACGTCTGACCACGTATCCTCTTAACCATTCCTTCATCCATCCACTCAACAGACTGAAGCAAACAATGCAACAGATAAGAAATCCCGATGAAGCTTGCAGTGAGGAAGAAAAGAAAAGGCAATGAAGAAGTTACATACAGTTAACTTCGGAACGTTTGGAACTGTTAAGAGAACTTCTCCACCTCCGTTTGGTGCCACTCCACGTGCTTCGATTTTGAGCTCCAAACCTTCAGAAGGGACTCCAAAACGCTTTAAGATATGTAACGTAGTGGAGCGGATTGTGTCAACGCTCGGGTCTCTTGGATCATTTGTAATTCCTGCAAAAGTTTACAAATTTTGGTTTATAATTCTTCTGAGCTTCTATCTTCCTTAAGCTCACACCAGAGAGAACAAAGTAACAGAAATTAACGTTTTGCAAATGCCAATGAATTATTTGTGAGTAAAAAAACGAACTTTACCTTTGAGCCTAATGGAAAGAGGCTTCTTTGCAAATAATCCTAAGACAAGCAATGGCTCCACATAATATCCAATGGATCGACTCAGAGCACAGTTGTGAACCAAATTCTTCCCTCCCATTATGGTTCCAGGCTTATACTTCAATTGAGTCCCTGACAAAGAGACATTGAAACCATTTTCAAAACCAGGGACCAATTTCGAAATTCGAAGTCATCAACTCTAACTAAATTCCGAAGCTAGAATTGAAGTTTCCTGAGCTGAGAAAATTAGAACTTGAGAAGAAATCAACAAAATTCAAATCGGTAAGAACGTAATTACCGGTCTCGTTAACCTCGACGACGCCGTCGTCGCAGACAGTTTCGAAGAGGCGGAGAAGAGACATCTCGTGCGTGCGGAGGCCAGGTATCGTTTCATCGGCACGAATCTCTTTGATGGTGATAGCCTTACGAGAAAGGGTCGATAGAAGTAGCCTCTGCCTAAAGCTCTGGCTTCCTTTCAGCTGCTTATAATTCGTCTTCCCCATTGTTTCTCTCTCTCTCTCTCTTTCGCTCTCTCTGTGGAATTTTTCTCTGCTTTTCAAAAGTTTTCTTAAACCCTAAATCCTAATTTTCACCAATGAAGGTTTTCTTCAGTTTCAATTTTGGGCTTTTCACTGCTTTGTGGGCTTGCTTACAGGCCCTTTAGAGATTTGTCTTTTTTCGTATAACTTGTGATACAGGAGATGAAGTAGCTTCATGGCTTACAAAGATTTATAACAAATTAAACGATCAATCTGAGTTTTTTTTACACTCTTTTTTGTCGGTCACTCTATTTGTGCTTGTGCCGTCAACTTTTTGTATTAAATCAAAACAAACAAAGAGATACGACCATGAACCATCCCCCATAGATACACATAAGTTCATAAAGAATAACCAACCTCGTATAATAAGAGATAAACAAACAATCATAAACAGAAATAGAACAAAATCTTGTATCACTTATAACGCAGTCTATAACCAACCTGAGAAGATGATATTCAGATTCGAAAAAAACATATAAATTCTTGTTTCTTCGACTCTATACAACTAGTTTGAGTCATTTCAGTATAAACGTATCATGCATGGAGCTAGCAGTGGATGATCAAATTTTTCTTTACTACATATAACATTAAAGATATATAATTTTTTTTACTATGAAACACCTCTATGACAATATCCATATCGGTTTTGTACCGGAAGAGAGTGGGGATTTGCGAGCTTCTCCAAATTAATAATTAACCAAGAAATAACATCAACCATTGCTCAACTTTAAAGATTTCTTGGGAAAGAAGAAGAAGAAGAAGAAGAAAAACACACTTTAAAGATTCGGTGATTACCCACCATTTTTGGGTTTTTTGTACGATTTTATGCTAGCTCCAAAAAAATATTGATCTATCAAAACTCGACAGCTAGAATGAAAACTTCAGTGTATTATAAAAGAAACTAGACTTTTAGTAAATTGAAATATGTGAGATAAGTTGAAAGAAATGAAATATGCGAGTAAAAAAGTTATATTTCAAAATTACTTTTAAGAATTAAGAGACATGATTTGTTGATTTGTACGTGTCTTGTCATTGTGTTACTATTCAAATTCAAATCAATAAAATATATGTTCATTAAAAAAAAATACTAATTTTTTTAGGCATAATAGTGTGATCATCAATACAATTTCACACTTGATCATTTTTGGGTTTTATTGTATTTTATCATCAACTAAACCAAAAATATTAATTGCCTGATCTATTTGACTCATAATTTAAATTAATTGGTGTATTCCTTCACCACTCACGTTGGAAATAAAATTAAAATGAGTATAAATTTCAACATTTTGTTTTGAAGTGTTTTCTTTTTGTTCTTGTCACACATTACTGAAAAAAGGTGGTAAATAGTTTTCAATCGGGTCGAATGTCTTAAAAATTATGATTTGAACGGAATCAAAGTTGGCCCCCATCACATTTGTTAAAAGTTCTTACGAACATACATATTGTTAAGAAAAAAAAGAACAAGATAACATCGGTGTGACCGAGCACTAAACACCATATACTATTTGTTTAAAAAAGAAAAACATAAAACAGTAAAAGCGATGTCTCGTCAACAAAAGATGGAAAGACATTACAACCTCCTTAATTGCGATTGCGATTAAACCCTCAATCGTACGGACAATCAAATCTAATCCGTCGTTTTGTCCGTACTTTTTTAAATCAGCGTCACTCTTCATGCTCCTCCAGTCTTGCTTTCCATTTTCATTTTGCACCTTGGTCCTTTGGTTTCCTATTTCCTCTTACATCAACCGCTCTAAATTTTTTTACTCGGTCGGTTTTTAAACTAAATTTTGTTTTGCTACGTAAGTTATGTTATGTAAGTATAAAATTTGACATATACAACTGTTTAATTTTTATTTCTGAATAAATATTATAAAAAAAGCTGATTTGGAAAAATGTGACATGATTTATATTCTACTTGCTTGTTGATCTACTTGCGTTGCGTGTGGTAAGGCGTTATTTGATCCTTGCTTCTTTATTCTCAATTAAAATTTTGAAATAGAAATAAGTTGTAACCACATACTAAAAATATTTATAACAATGATCGAAAGCTGCTTTTTTCACCTTTTGTTGTATGCCTAGTCTCATGAATCGGTGCCTTCTGAATCCTTATTTATTGTCGGCCACCTTTGTACTTCTTAGTTCTTATCATACTAGTTTCACTGACATTTTAATTACCCTGAGGTACATTTCAGTTATAATCTTGATTTCTGTCAATTAATATTTATAAATCCAGTAAGTTAGTAACTGGCAAACTAATATTTTCCATGTGATTTTTAATTTTATTTTTATTTTTTATTTATCTAGCACCATATGTTCATGTTTCATCAAATCGTCCAAGTAATCCAAAATTGGACAATTTTTGGCGAAAAACATTATGTTCAAGTTGAAGCTTTAGTGATCCCAAATGGTCATGGAAAATGTTCGAGTAACATAATAGAATCTAATTCGGAACTGTCAATAAAATAAGTTTTTGGCTCTAGCTAGTCTCTAGCGCTGAGACCACTGTATATGCCACCACGCACAAATTTTTTCCATATGAGAATAATTAGTAGATTGAAAATGACAATACGATTCCAAGAAAAAGGGTACCACAGTTTAAATCTTACAACTCTTGAGACAAATCGTGCAAGATAGTGAAGTCGATTCTCAACAAGTTAGTAAGTACGTATAGTCAGTGTACATATACAATCTAATCCTATCCATAACACGTGACATACAAAAATGGCAAATGACTTGGGATCTACGAGTCTCACGTGCGAATATATCATAAACATTACCGTACGAATTTGCATGAGATGATCACATCCTTGTTTTAATTGGATGGTCGAAAGAAATGGTGAAGATATTATCATTCTCTTTTGTTTTAGTTTTTAAATTAGTTTCTTATCAACAGAGAGATAATAAAGAATATTGTGAAAAAGATTAAGTTCCTTCAGGTTGTACACCATTTAGCATCTCTTTTGTGGCTACGTACGTTGCGTTCGGTCGACCTTTCACTTCGCTTCCAATGATTCCTCCAGTTAATCAAAATCAATATGGTCCGTTGATCCCACCGCCATTAGAACGGTGGCTCAAAAGGCTCTCGAGACCATACCCTTTAACAAAAAAATAGATAAATTAATAATCAGGCCATGGTGCATATAACTTTTACCATTACGCGTTGACGTTAGGTAAATTAGTTATATGTTTTTTTTTTCTCTTATACCAAAATGCATTATAATTTTCTCTGTAAAACTATCTAAAATGCTTTAATAAATAAAAATTAATCTATCTGAAATGCTTTTATAAGTTTACAACCATTGATTAACAGGTATCCATTTACAAGGGTTATTAGTTTATTAATTTAAAATATATTCTACACTAACCTATACGTGTTAGGTCATGTCGTTGACACACGTGGCATCATCCCATTTGTCAATTTTGCTACGCTGAAATAGACAAGACATAATGGAAAAATTCCATCCAAAAGAAGAAAAATTCTCCCCAATCTTCTTTGCTTTCTAATTTCCACCTTTGTAATTGGTTTTCCTTTTCTACTACAAATATATAATAAGTCACAGAAATAGAAAAAATGTGTTTTTAAATGTTAAATTTTGTTTCAGATCTCTTTGTTTCTCTGCCACCGGATATAGCATCCACTCCACTTATTAGTTATTACGATCGAAATAAAGAAGATCCCCTTGGTTAAAATTTGTTATCTAAAGTAGTGATCCATCGATTCAATTAAAAACTGTAAGAAATAGCAGTTAAACAAAAAAAAGGATACAAAAATGCTTAGTGTGCTATGAGGGTACAAATAATCTCAACCTATTATACCACTATAAAAAAAAATGAAAACGAAAATGACTATGAAATATGAATTAAGAAAATAAACTGTGCTCAAAGTACGTTTCAGTGTAATTAGTGGGGATACGTACTTACGTAGCTTTATTCTGGAAAGAGACCGTAGGCCACTATTGACCATCGGAAAGGTTATGGACTCACGGTGCTCATAAGTTTAATGCAAGTGATAAGACATAAGAGTGAATTATGGCTGAAACAATAATGCACATCTCTTTATATTAGAATCGTGGTGTTCATATATAAAATATCCAATGATAAGATCTAATATAACTGTAAAAATTGGGAGATAAAGCTATATATCAATAGACAATAGTAAACTATGATATATATATATACGTTTATGAGATATTTTATAACAATGTACGTTTTATAATCAATGGACATTTTTATAAAAAAATATTACCCGCGGCCGTCCGAATATTAAGGTGTCTATATTCCCCGCTTTGAAAAAAACATTTTTCAAATAGCAAAAAAGTTGAAACTTCACGTTTCATTGGCCTCCACTTGTTCTGGAATGTTATCCTACCCTATGCCTAACCTCCCTATTTGTTAATAGTTTCAAATGCCACACTAATAGAATCACGAACCCATTGTTGACAATTATTTGTTTATAAAAATCGTAAATCCCCTAATTGAATAATAATTTTGGCTTCATATATCAGAATTTCATGTCGACAAATGAAGATAAAAAACAGAATCTCGTTTTAAAACTTCACCTGACTAGAACTTTCAATTAGAGTATTAAATTTTGAACTAGCACAGACGGTGGATATCTGTTGAGTTTTATATATAGGACAAAAGAATCCTAAGGTAAACAATATACTTTCAAGAATACTGTTGACTACATAAAGGGAGTTGATAGACTAATATCACTAACAGCTGATTTGTTATTCGTTTAAAGAAATTATATTTACAGTTCTAAAGTGCTAACATTTTAAATGTACTTAAACAAGAGTCAACTAGCTAAGAATCGATCCATCCATATGGCTGGAAACAAGTAAACCGCAATATAAATAGTACAGCTAACGACGTTTTCAATTAAGAGTGCGCGGTACTAAATTATATTTAATTTTAAAAATATTTTATGTCTGATTCTTTTTTGGTTAAACGTTAAAACA